GGGGAGGCATACCTTGGATGGTGCGGCCTTTGGCGCCGGTGAGAGTGACAGTTGCCATATTGGTCAGTGTATAATTTGCTTGGTGGTTTAATTGATAGAATATGAAGTCCTGAGTGCTCTAGATATAAAGTAGGGCTGGCATTCCGGGGTGGTTCCGTCCCCGGAATGGTTCCGAGCTGACGTGCGGGGATGTCATGGGAGACAAAGACAACTGGCGGATTACAGTTGGTATTCGGTTATGAGTTCGGAATCATCGGAATGATCAGTCATTCAAGCTGTGCCGTGTGGCTGACGATCGTGGCAGTAGCAGTGGCAGTAGCAGAGCAGCAGCAAGCCCTATAGGGCTATGGGAAATCCTTCAGCCGGTCCGCGAGAGGCATGCGATGACTATTATTGCAGCGTATTATTGGTGGGTCAATGTTGAACAGCTTCCCCTCATCGGTGACGATGATGACTACGCATGCAGCGATATCAGCTGCTCATCGGTTCCCAGCCGGTCAGTCTGCTTACTGCCATTCCCAATAATATCTGGACGAGGTGCAACGTGCAGGTCCGACATAGCTTAGCTAGTAGCTAATGCAGCATCGACCAGGATCTATCCTGATGCCTAGCTGGTGCTGCACGAGGACCTTGTCGTCCCTCCACATTTAATATATCTAGAGTGGTTCGCGGATGCCTCATCTGCATAGGCCAGTGACAAAATCCCGCATCGCTTGCTCGTGTCCATAAAGCGTGACCGTCTCAGCAGCATTCACTATGGATTTTCTTCTTCTCGTCATCTGGCTGCCCCTCATCCGAGCCACGCCCGCCAACTACACCTTCAACCAGCTCTGGTCGCTGACCACCCACTTCTGGGACAACTTTCTCTACCCAGCCAACACCGCCCACATCAACCCCAACGACACCACCATCTTCGCTGATAATGTACCTCCCCCTGCTTCCCCCTTGCAGGACAGCTCACTAACCTCCGCAGGTCCAAGGTCGCGTGGACGTCACCCGCACCTTCAGCAACCGCGACCTCAACAACGAGTATATCTTCGGGCTGTTCTCACAGCCCTCCCACCCCGGCATTTTCGGGGTACCCATTGCCTACAACATCACCCAGTTCGCCGCCACCCAAGACACTGCGGTCTCCACCACGGTGATCACCTTCAACATCAGCACCTTTGATCTGGTCATCCCGGGCGTTATCACCGCCTGGTTCCAATTCAACTCCGCCGGCCAAGTCACGCAATACGACGCCGTCTTCCGCTGGCTGGATCTCCTCTTCAACCAGATCCTCCAAGCGGCGGGGCGGCAATTCCACACGTCAGACCCGGTGGGGATCCAGTCGCGCGTGGCGGATCTGTTTGCGCGGACCATCTGTCAGACACATGAGAGGCACTGCCTGGGGGCGAATCGACAGTATCCCTCTGAAGATGCGTGTTTGGAGTTTCTCACGCAGCAGATTCGGTTCGGACAGCCGTACGAGATGGGTCGGAACACGCTGCTGTGTCGTGAGGTCCATGACAATATGGTTCGGTATAACCCGGACGTGCACTGCGCGCATATCGGACCGACCGGGGGAGATTATTGTGTGGATGATCAGACCTACGATGGCGTGGTGCTGGAACGGTATTTCCGGGACTCGTGGGTGCCGGAGAACTATGCGCCCGAGAATGTCTGGGTGGCATGAGGGACCAAAAGGAAAAAAAGGTAGGGTGAATTGAACAAGGAGATCGATGAGGAGAGCTATCTACTTGACATGCCAGAAGGACAGAGCAATGGCCATGATGAACTTGAGACCGGCGATGATCCACAGGGCAGGCCAGACATTGCCGGTGGCCTTGCTGATCCAGCCACCCGCGATGGCCCCCACCAGAGTCAGCACAAAGGCGACGATGCGACGGTCGCGCTTCTCATTGCGCAGCATAAACACCTTGGGGTCCATCATCAGATCGCACAGCAGACTGGTGATGACCACGGTCGGCACCTCGTTATAACCGAGCACGCGACTGGCGACCGTCTGACCGGCCGACTGCATGCTCAGCAGCACGATGGTGGCCTCTTGGCTCCAGTGGGTAATGTAATGCGTCGAGTGCGCGTCGGCCAGGTCGCCGGTGATGACGTGGCTCTGGACGAGAGCCGCAGCGATGATGAGCAGGACGACCTGCAGCAGAAAGGCCGTGACGAGGGTGCCGCGACGTTTAGGGCCGAGATAGGCCCCGATGCGTGAGAAGATGAAGCTACCGATGGCGTAGCAGACGATGGCGGTCAAGGAGCGAGCCCAATCATACTCTCGGGTGTCCTGCTTGGAGGCGCCCAATCCCAAGAAGATGGTGTTTCCAGTCTGCATGGAGACGAAAGTGTTGTATTCTGCAATGTGTGAGGGGGAGTCATTTCATTCACCGAGGGATGGACTCACGGTTGAACATGGTACTGTCCAGCAAGCCGGAACAGAAGCAGCAGGCCAACAACAGCAGGTCGGCATATTTGGTGTTGATTTCCGCGCGAACATAGGTGACCACGGGGCTGGCACCTTTGGTGTCAGACATGCTTCAGGCAGAGATCCAAGCAGGGTTGGGAGGAAGTGGTTGAGATAGGGTTGCGGGGAGGCACAAAGGTCAGCAGCAACAACAGCAACAGGGACGGCCTCGGATCAAAGAACGGACGGCGTGCAGAAGACCCCGTCAGCTTTAAGACCTCAACGACGGGGGGCACCAGTTTGGGGGCCCGACCGAGACGCGGGATGGCCAGGCTTTTCCCCCCCAAGTTGCCCACCGATCGCCCAGGCTGGCCAAGCCGGACGAATCCGGAGCCGCTCTCGGCCTTGAGGTGATGCCCTACGCCACTAGCCCTCACTAGACGCCCTCCGCGCCAGGACTAGTCGGCCACGCAGCCTTTCGCACTCTCCCTCACTGCTCGGTCTGCTTGGCTCGATCCTCGCCGTCTCTCGGACTCTTCTGGCCTTGTTGCTCTCCACCCACCAATCGGCTGATTTGCGCCTCACCCTCCTTGGGCTGGCCTCCCTAGCCTGCTCCCGGACTAGTTACCTCCCCCGGTCCCCGCCCCCCCTCCATCATCACCACTGCTCTTCTTTTCCCTTTTGGCATGAGATCGGCCTGTGTCTAGGACCCGTAGTGCTGTCGGGCCCGTGTCGTCCCGTTTCACCATGCGGGACCGTCCAGCCGGGTCCGAAATCCTTCCCCCGTTACACAGGATCCTGATCACAACACAGTCACCGGAGGATAAGTCGCTAACCCTCTCATTTTCACTCAGCGACTACCGAGGAGGGAAGTAGGCACTAGGCAGACAGCAGGTCCTCGGGGCTGGACTCAGCTTTTCCCCCCCAGACTGCCAAGACCCTTGGCTCTGCAGCGAGGATGCACTTAATGTCGGCGATGAAAGTCCGCACTGCAGCTGGCTTTGGCCCATCGGGTTCGCCGTCGGCTGGTCGTGTTGCTGCTGCTATCACAACCCTGCACGCAGTTTTCCCCCCTCTCTTACCTCATCGCCGATAAGCGGCGACACCAAGACGCTCCGGTTTCTCCGCCATTCAGCGTTGGCAGGCGGCCAGCAGACCCGTCACCCGGTGGCCCTCCACGGTGGACTGTTCGAAAGTGGGATGCCGTTTAACTTCCGGCGCATCAGCCGAGCCCTGGCAGGCTATCGGTGCAGATCTGCTCCCGGCCAAGCGCCAATCATGCCGGGCGTGCTCTCTGCCCAGCTGAATGGCCACCGGAGGACGATTGTTCGGCTGAACCCCCCTCCTCCCCCCCCCGGTAGTGTGAAGAGTAACGGGCCCCGTGCGTGCTCAGGAAGCGTCTGACATGCAGTGTGCGGTACGACTAGCCACCGAACTCGTGCTCGTGTGCCACCCAATCTCAGTGACACGTCTCGTCCAGCCGCGGCGTCTGCATGGGCAAAGCACGTCCGAACTGGCCTGCATGCCCCTATTTCTACCGGATAAGGAATGTTCCTAGACAATCCCGTCGCGCCTATCTGAAACTCTTGCTACTCTTTGTGGTGGCAATCCAGCCAGCCATGCAGTGGGTGGCCGACAATCAAAGAGGGGAGCTTATCTACGCCCCTGCTGCATTGCATTCGGACATTTTTCGACTTGTCACAGGGCACAAATCATAGTCCCCCGATGGTGGCTCGGCTGGGATGGTGGCCAAGAAAATTGAATGGCAATGGTTCCCCGGAGGGGGGTTGACCATGATTCTCGGCCAAGGGCTTGAGTTGCAATCCAGTTCCGGAGAGGGGGTGCAGGATAGCCGGGGGATCTTCTGAGGTAATAATATTGATGGATAGGAACCCTGTTCGACGGGCTGATATTGTCCCGACGAGTCTATATAAACCGGTGTCGTCCTGGTGCTTCTCGTCATCATCATCCTCCTCCTCATCAGCTTTCTCTTTCCAGCCTTTCCTTCTTCATCATCTCCTCTTCATTCACGCCATGAAAGTAGATACCCCGGACTCTGCCTCCACCATCAGCATGACCAACACCATCACCATCACCGTAGAGCAGGACGGGATCTATGAGGTCAACGGAGCTCGTCAAGACCCCGTCATCAACCTCCAGATGGTGACCGGCTCCTCCAAGCTGCGCAAGCAGCTGCGCGACTCGGATGACTTGATTGTGTGTCCGGGTGTGTACGATGGTCTGTCGGCTCGGATTGCCATCAACCTGGGCTTCAAGGCCATGTACATGGTGAGTTTATTCCACTTTCTTCCCCCATGTCATCTCCCCGGATGCCCACTCACCTCGCCCATCCAGACCGGTGCCGGCACTACTGCATCCCGCCTCGGCCATGCCGATCTCGGTCTGGCGCATCTGTACGACATGCGCACCAACGCCGAGATGATTGCGAATCTGGATCCGTACGGACCGCCCTTGATTGCGGACATGGACACCGGCTACGGAGGTAACCATCCCCCCCTCCTCCCATGCCCTTGACTCCCCCCAACCCAAGCACCAAACAAAAGCAAAACTAAATATCCCCCACAGGCCCACTAATGGTCTCGCGCTCGGTGCAACAATACATCCAAGCCGGCGTCGCAGGCTTCCACATCGAAGACCAGATCCAAAACAAGCGATGCGGGCACCTGGCCGGGAAACGCGTCGTCAGCATCGACGAATACCTCACGCGGATCCGCGCCGCCAAGCTCACCAAGGACCGTCTCCGCAGCGACATCGTGCTGATCGCGCGCACCGACGCCCTCCAACAACACGGCTACGACGAGTGCATTAAGCGTCTGAAAGCGGCGCGCGATCTCGGCGCCGACGTGGGTCTCCTGGAGGGATTTACCAGTAAGGAGATGGCGCGGCGGTGTGTCCAGGACCTTGCCCCGTGGCCGTTGTTGTTGAATATGGTGGAGAATGGCGCCGGGCCGGTCATTACGACTGCGGAGGCGAAGGAGATGGGGTTCCGCATTATGATCTTCTCGTTTGCGTGCATTACCCCGGCGTATATGGGGATTACGGCGGCTTTGGAGCGGTTGAAGAAGGAGGGGGTGGTTGGGTTGCCGGAGGGGATGGGACCGAAGAAGTTGTTTGAGGTGTGTGGGTTGATGGATTCGGTGCGGATTGATACGGAAGCTGGGGGGGATGGGTTTGCTAATGGGGTTTAATTTTTCTTTCTTTCTCTTTTGTTTTGAGTGTTTTGTTACCCTTGATGCCTTCGGGTTTTTGTGATTGTGATTGTTGTGGCTTGCCCGCTTCATGGTCGGGGTTGGGTGTTTCTTTTACATACTTCACTTTCGATGGATGGATCGTGTTGATGATTGGGATATACATATCTTGTGCGATGGTACATACATACCAGAAGAATGGGATGATTGGCACTTACTTACTCCTGATATTATTCTTCTTGTCCATAGGGGTAGGTCTGGATCCGTAAGCGATCTTATATCTGAATCTTCTTCCCCCTTAACTCTCCTCCGTAGAGAGAATAGTTAGTTGCCTTCTGTAAATCCTACCGACTATTCCACTCCCATACCCATCGTTCTATAAATATAGATACAATTCACCCCAAATATGATCTATAACATCCCCTACCCACTCACCCACTCACCCACCCACCCATTCCCACTAAAGAACCACCGATCACCAAGACATACCCACCATCACTCAATTAAGTACATAGTAAGTACGTATGGCACGGCGTCCCCGGTACAGGCGTGCAGCTCTGCAGTAGTGCAGGGTTCGATTACCACATTCGGAATGATCAGCAACTCTTGGCGTTTCTTTCTTTGCTTCTTTTATTTCTGTTCTTTTTTGGGATTGGGGGGGGAGGTTCTCCACTTGCCATCCAATAAGTATGCAATTATTTTGCAGGTGGGGAAGGGCGGCGTGGGTAGCCTTACAGGGTTGGGTACTTTTTTTTTTTTTTTCTTTCTTTGTCATTTTAGTTTGGGTTTGGTTTGGTTTGTTTGTTTTTTGTTTGGTTTGTTGGAGGGGGTTAGGGATAGATAGGGATAGCGATGAATGGATGGGTGGATGGGATCATCATATCACGTAAGATTCATGTCACATGGAGATCATTGGCGAACTAATGCACTAGCTGGGAATACCACAAGGACATAAAAAGAAAATCGACACGCGAGTCAGAGAGAAGCAAACGAGAAAAAATCAAGTTGCATCAGGGATGCGGTCGGGATACTCCGTAACAAGGGTCCGTTCAGCCAGCCATCACCATGACCCTAAGGAAGACCCTGAAATCACACCGCTGCATCGCATCGATTACAGCAACGTCTCCTGATGCACCACAATCCGCCATTCCCCATCACTCCCCTGACTCCAGGTCGTGGATCCCGTGCCGCGGAAGACATCCTGGCCCCGACGCGCATTGATCTTGTAGGTCACCGTGCCGGCCATCAAATCAATCACAATCACTCGCACCTCCTGCAGCTCGTATTCTTCAAAGTGGTGGAACGGCGGCTTCAGCGCTTCGCTAATCGACGGCTTCGAGTACAGGTGGAGGACCTCGCGCTTGGGAAACAACAGGTTGGCTTCCTCATTGCACATCTTTTTGATTTCTGGCCCGGGGTCTGCCGAGGTGAGCGCCGTCCAGAGACGACGTTCTTTGGCGAGGAGGTCTTCGCGAATGCGTTCGTGAATGGAGCCGACCATTTTGTCGGTGGAATCTCTGTGGAATCTGTCTGGTGGAATCTGTGGGTGTCCGAAGTTGGGTTGGTATCGTTCTGGTGTCTGATGTTAGTTACCTCAACCACACTGGTATGTTACCTCAACCACACTGGTATGTTCCTCAACCACACTGGTATTACTCACCTACACAGCAGGGTATCAGTCTATGGGTGAAAACTATCCGCCAACTCCATCCGTGCAGATGGATGCGATGCGCTGCCAGGTATAAAGACTCCCGGACGGGTGACGTCATGTCCCCCACGTGGATGACGTCGTGCCGTCGGATGACATCTGGCAGCCATGGCAGCCATCGTCCATATATCAAGGTGACACCATGCACCCTCACGCAGCCAGACTCTCAGCACCGGCGGAGATGGTTCCCGCGATCGGCAGCATCTCACATGGGGGACGATGACGCGGCACATTTTTATGACTGCTCCGGTGCAGTCGGATCCGATGATCACTGCATTTATACCATCCACTATCCAGCCAAGGCAAACGCTGAACTGCAAATCTGGATCAGCGGTGAGGCTCTGAACACTGTCCCGTGGCACGGTCTCATCGGACAGAACCGTTGTGTGACCAGGAGTCAGCAATGACAGCCACCGCTGCACCGAAAGCGGATGCAGTCGTCATGACATGACTGTTCACTGAACATGCTTGGCTGTACACCCCGGCTAACTGTGAGACGAATGCTGCTGCCAGGTCGTAGTTGTCCGACCGTTGTCCGCAGCCTTAACCCGCGAGGCGGTCACGGCAAGGGATGGACAATGTATTCTGGGCCTCTGGCAGCCAGCTCTCCACTGAGCCGTTTTGGCGTTCGGGTACACCCGACTAGGGACGGTGGCTGCATCAGATCTGACCGAGAAGATAGATCCAGTCCACGTCAGCGTGGCTTATCCCCTGAGTGGATGGCGGTCACTGATAAGGTTTGAGCTTTCTGAAATAGGGGACTGTGGACTGTGGAGGGCCGGTTTAACTTCAATAACGAAGGCTGGAAGGTCTCCGGCTTCCAGAATGCGTGGTGCGGTGGATCATGATGGACCCGACTCGAGGATCAGATGGCGATCACAGATAGATAGGATAAAGCAATGAATCGTGCTGTGTAGAGTGTCCTGTGTAGTGTCTTGTGGAAGCTGGACGCGACGGTCGGCGGATGACGCCATCATCGGAGCGATACGCGTGATCACGTGGCGCCGCGTTGGCCAACTGGCGGACATCGCGACTATCCAGAGTGAAAATGCAGGCATCGCGCAATCATGCTTCTCCCACATTCCATGACAACCTACTACATAGCATTGAGCTTCCCTCCTCATAAGCCTAGAAGGTCGGCTTGTATTTGTATACTGCTAGCTGGATGTGGAAAATGGCTGAGAGTCCGGTTAATTGTTGACATTCTTTGCCTGGATAGGCGTTCTGGCCACTGGTTGGTGGCTCCATCGACTCTGAAGGCGCTAGAATATAGAACGATTTCTTCACAATTCTTCAGCGGGATTGGGAAATATGTCAAGTGATCCTGGGCAATCAATTGATCCATACTAGCTAAACTTGTGAGGACTCGACAGGTGCAAAATCTCGCAATTATGGTGTGATTGGTCTCTGGTCATTCGGAATATATATCCCGCCTGATTTAGATACTCCTATGTTACTATGTACTACAGTACTATGTAGTACTACGCAACTCAGTTGATTGGATTTGCATTACTGTCTACCGATGCTGCAGATGTCTTTCCACCATCCACTGACTCCAACTTCATTTCTATTACCAAATCTCTCCAGCGGTTGGGCAATCTTCGGTTGCAGTTGCACGAGTGGTGTTGGCACGTGCTTCCGTTCCCCGCCGAGTCGCCCACTTTTTCCCAACCTTTTGCCGTCTTCCACTTCCAGTTGCCAGTGACTCATGCCAGGTTCAAAGTCCATCAACCCATGGAATGTCCAAGTCTATCCTTCCTGACACCTTACTGGATGTAGGTGGTCAAATACTATCAGGTCCATGTTTATGGCATATCACAACCCTCAAAGGCGAAAGATAGAAGAATTATCCGATGGGGCCTGCTGAACAATGGCCTGCTGAACAATGGCCTGCGCTGAGTGGGTGATGGGCAATGGCAATAGGCATGCCTCCACCCGTCGCTGTGCAACCGCGATAAGGCAATCTAAATAAATTAATTCGTGCGCGATATCTGCTATCACCTTATCTCTGCCGCTCCGTTATCGCGATCGTCTCCAATTTTCACATTTCTCGGGGTTCCTGCAGTAGCCTCCATCCCCAGGCTGCCCCCCGGAGCCACTTCGCATGCTTTGAAGGCTTGCTGGCTTGCAGCAATGCTCATGGCAGGACTGGCAGCATGACGTGCAGACTGCTCCCATCCAACGGTCATCTTCCGTGATGATCCGCGACCCAATTCTTCAGCTTCAGCTCCGCAGCCCCCGGCTCGGTTCGCGCGATGGGTCCTGAAGAATCCGTCGCCATTGGCTTCCGTCGGCCTTCTCGAAGGCACCAATGCTACCGTCTCCGCTATCATCGCAAATCCTTCCTAATCAGCTAGCCTCCAAGGCAGAGTTTTTCCAGCTAATGGACACCTTTCACGCGATAGTGGATCGGCCACCCCCGATGCTGCCTCGATGATGCGTTGAAAAGCCCTCATCGCGAGCTATAAAGCTCCCCTCCCAGCACCGCATTCACTCCCAGCACCGGTGACTCTCAGACCAGTGACAACCGCACCATGCAGCTCCTTCAATCCCTCTCCGCGGGCCTGCTGCTCGCCGGCAGCTGCCTCTCCCTGGCCGGTGCCCGCTCCATTCCCCAGGCCAAGGGTCTCGCCGTGCGCCAGACCCCCCAGAAGATCGCCCCCAAGGTCTTTATCATGTCCATGGTGAGTTGTTTTGTCCCAATGCCCGGAAGCCTCTCTCACAACCCCAGTTCGAGCCCGAAGCCGCCATCTGGTGGGGCATTCCTGAGTTCGACCTGCTCGCCCACAACATCACCATCCCCGGTGCTTCTCCCCTCTTCCCGGATGTCCACTGTACCGCCGACTACAGCATCTGCCAGCTCGTCACCGGCGAGTCGGAGATCAACGCCGCCGTCACCGTCTCCTCCATCATCTTCAACCCTCTCTTTGACCTGACCAGCACCTACTTCCTCATCGCCGGTATCGCCGGTGTCAATCCCGAGGAGACCACCATCTGCAGTGTGACTTTCGCCCGCTATGCCGTCCAGATCGCCCTGCAGTACGAGATTGACATCCGCGAGATGCCCGCCAACTCCACCACCGGCTACTTCCCCCAGGGCTCCTACTACCCCTGGCAGTACCCCGGTAACATCTACGGCACTGAGGTGTTCGAGGTGAACGACAACCTGCGTAAGCTGGCCGTGGCCTTTGCCAGCAATGCCACCCTGGCCGACAGTGACACCGCCAAGGCCTACCGTGCCAACTACGCCACTGCTGATGGCATCTACGCCGCGGGTGCGGCCGCCCCCTCCGTCGTCGAGTGTGATGTGGCTACCAGCGACGTCTACTACAGCGGCAACATCCTGGGTGAGACCTTCTCCAACTTCACCACCCTCCTGACCAACGGCACCGGCAACTACTGCGCCAGCGCCCAGGAGGACAACGCCAGTCTGGAGGCGCTGCTCCGCGCGGCCAAGTTCAACATCACCGACTTCTCGCGGATCATCGTCATGCGCACCGCCTCGGACTTTGACCGTCCCTACCCCGGCGAGTCTGCGCGGGAGAACCTGCTGTACGCGTCCACGGGCTCGTACGAGCCGTCCGTGCAGAACCTCTACAACGCCGGTGTCAAGATTGTCGAGGGTATCCTCAACAACTGGAACAGCACCTTTGCTGCCGGTGTCAAGCCCAGCAACTACATCGGTGACATCTTCGGCACCCTGGGTGGTACCCCTGACTTTGGCCCGGGTCGCTACGAGTCCCTGGTGGATGCGGGTGTGTTGAAGAAGCGTGGTGTGTCGAAGCGCTCCATGCGGGGGTTGTAATGTGGATGATGTCTATGAATGATGCTGTTGATAGTATGAGTATGAGTATGAGTTTAATGGATATATTTAGTCGCTCTGCATAGCCTACACAGATCACTACTTTTCTACTGCAAGAGGTTGAGTATGTTGTCCGTAGACTCGAACATGGGTCGTCACCAACTCCCTCCGGTTGTCAGAAAATCTTGCTGATCGGTTCGATATATTATAAATAATTGTATTGCTGCAACTCTAACTGTATACAGTGGGCTCTTTCAATACTTCGTCTGCAAGACTTGAATACAGCGTCCTGGCTTAAATACCAGCTCGACAGTGAAACCCCTACAGAATAGCACCCCATAATACGACCTTCATTGGTAGATAATAGAACTTCAACACTCGCAGTTTCCCTTTTCACTGTTCTCCTTCACCCAGAAAGATCATTGTCCTCTCTTCTTGATACAACTCCCTTCTTCACTGTGTTTCTTCACTCCAGAGGGTCCAGTGCATACCTACCCGGTGCTTATTCCCGCGCTTCCATTCCTTCCACTGCCCACTTTCCTCATTCTATCCACATCAACCACCCCACATATCGAAGCAACCCCCCGATCCCATCTACATCGAATACACCGCAACCCATCAGACCCCATTCAACCATCCTCCCAAGACTCCTCAAGACAATCACGAACGCACGATCACGGGAACCCACGGAGCTGACATATTCCTGCTGATGTCACCCTGGGTTCGATCCCTCGTCCGCAGGGAAGTCGTTGAACGACGGAGCGTGAAGTATCCCCCCCCCTCCACAACTCAACTTGCACTTCTCCTTCTCTGGCTAACCAGATTGCAAGATTGAATTACAATTCAGTTTCTCGGGTCTTGTGGATCCGAACCATGAATGCCCCAACATGGATGAAGGACCAGCTTGATGATTGGAGGATATGGGGATTGATCAAGGTCGAATGCTCAAGGATTCGGGAGTGTCTGTCCGTATACCCCCCTTCTCTTCCTTACGCAGTATAATTCCCCATCTGACTATGAGAAGTGGACAAGGATTCACCGATCCATACCAACAGTCTCGAAAAAACGAGTGACTACCAGTACCAGTTACGACCTAACAACGATCTCCTCCCTTCGTTCGTCATTGAGACCAACCGGGTTGGTCGGAAACCTATAAGAGGTTGAAAGAGATGAGTCTTTGGTTGATTGGTGGCTGGCATATGTTGATCTTGTCTTGATTATCAATTGGACCAAGAGAAAGAATACCAACGAGGTGAAGGGGTGGTTGGGGTATGGGGTGTGATGCGGTGGGGATGCTGTCTTTGCGGCAAGTGAGGTATGAATATTGCATATATGGAGATATGTATGGATGAGGTGTGCTGACGGGTTGACTATATTCCCCATGTGTGGTCGTCTGATCTGCAGATAGCCTGGGGCGAGATTTTGGGTAATATCTCTTGCCTGGGAGGAATGCTGGGATGTTCTATCCTTGAGGATTTACTGGCTTCGGGTGGAAGCGAGAGGCGTTGGGTACATACTGCTTGCTGGTGCAGTTTGTTGTAATTGCTAAGATGAACTTGCTTGTTCAGATTGACTCGTCATGCATGTAGCACTCTGCTAGGATGCAAATAAAACTACTAGTTGAATGATATCCAACTACAACTTGGTGTATCCCAACCCCCATAACCTACTAGTCAACTGCACCCACTCACTCAAACAACCCCACCGGAAACCCCCTCGCCATAGCCTCATACCCCCTAGGATTCAAATGCAAATGATCCCCAGAATCAAACTCACTCCTCAACACCCCCGGATCCGACTCACTCCTCACCATCGCATCAAAATCCACCACCCCATCAAACCCCCCCGCGTCCCGATCCCCACCCCGAATCCACCCATTCACCCTCTGCCTCGTCCTCTCCCTCTCAGGATCCGAATACGGCTGCACAACCGTGGCATTCGCCGGCGTCCCAAACGGCGTGATCGTCGCCCCGAAGACTTTGATTCCGGCGGCATGTAACCGGGTGATTATCTGCCGGTACGCACGGATGATCCTATCGCCGGTCATCTGTTGGGTAGTAGTATCATTGGATGCCGTGCCGATGTCATTAACGCCTTCGAAGACGATCGCGTGCGTTACGGCGCTGTGGGCTAGCACGTCGCGGTCAATTCGCGAGAGGAGGTTTGGGCCCAGGCCGTCGTGCAGGATGCGGTTGCCGCCGGCGGCTTGGTTGAGGAGGGAGATTTTGTTGAGAGTTGGGTTATGGTGGAGGATGGGGAGGAGGAGGTCGGGCCAGCTGGATCATTATCATTATCGTTGTTAGTAGTAGAATGGGTGATAGGGTGTGTGGTGGGGGTTAAGGGGGGGGGAAGGGTACCGATTATTCTCATCCGTATCACTTCCCCGTCCATCGGTGATACTATCGCCTAGGATGGCGCAGCTGTGGTATGGTGCAGGGAGGAGGGCTTCGATGGCGGAGAGGAAGTACCTATCTCCCATACATTGTTCATCAGCTCTTATTCTTATGTGGAAGTATGGGGTAAGAAAGGGAAGAGAGGGGGGGCTTACCAATGCTCCACACTCGCTAGATCAGTCCCGGTTAAGTTCTCGTTACCGACCTGTTCCCCAAATGTCATCCATGATGTTGTTCGACTGCCCGGGTGCGATGTTATATCTTCGCCTGTTTGTCCGGTTGCGAGGTAGAGATCTATTGATAGGGTGGTGTTTGTTTCCTGGGGTAGGTTGATCGGGTCCGAGACGGCGAGACTACCCGGGGGAATTAGGATTGAGGGCTCTCCATCGAAGGAGAGTGGGGTGATGGTGCTGGGGAGGATGGAGGATATGCCGAGGGTGTTGTTAGGAGGGAGAGCAATGCTGACGTTTGTGATGGGGAGGTCGGTGGTGCCGAAGGCATTGGAGAGCCGGAGACGGATGGTGCTGGCGGGTTGGGTGAGGCGGAGGGTTTGGCGGAGGGTGGTGTTGGGGAAGATGGAGGGGGTGGAGTTCTATTTCAGACTGAATTAGACGGTGATTGCTGGGAAATGGGGGTGCGTACAAATGGCACTGGGGGTAGATTGGCGGATTCGGTTAGCTGGGGCATTGCCGTCCAGATGTCCACCCAGTGGGGAGATGAGGGAATTGCCCCCGATAGAGCGGAGAAGAGGGCAAGGACGGAGATAACATTGCGGGCCATGGTGATCATCGCTAGGCATGCTGCATGCAGACTTTTGTTGATGGGGTTCAAGTTGATATACTATGTATTCTGGCTAAATGGCTAATCTGCGGTTTGATCGACCACCACCGGCTATAGCAATGCGGGGAAGCAGAACACGAATGCTGGCTATAATACAGTCTAGACACCAAGGTCGAAAGAGACAACTATGGGTATACTAATACGCCACTAGCGTATCAAACCACTCCTCAAACAACTGCACCTTCGCATCCGAAGCCACCGGAATCGCTCCCCATCCGTTACCCACATGCTGCACCGTCGAGTTCGAGGCCGTGGCCGCCCACTCAATCAGCTGCTTTCCGTTTGGATTCCCCGTCTTGATAAAGTTGGCCCAGTACCCGTTCATCCTCCGCGCAATCACATAGTCCTCCGCCGTCCACGCCAGGTCCGTGTCGTACAGGTTGTTCAGCACGTAGTTGATCTCCGACTCGTGGTAGGCCCCCTGGTCCTGGCCCGGCGGCGCATGGTCCCAGAAGTACGTGTAGACCGGACTGGTCTTGGCCGTGGCCCAGAGACGGGCCCACAACCAGGTGCCCACCTTGGACCGATCCGTCCATTGCGAGTTGTAGGCCCCCGAGGCCGTCAGCGACGTGTTTCCGGGGTAGAGCTCCAGGAACCGAGACAGCCAGGGCTCGCTGAAGGTCTCGTTCAGGTCGGCCAGGTATTCAGCCACAGTGATGTTGAGTCCATAGGTTGCTCCGCTCTCGTCCTTGGTGTTGCCGGTGATGATGGGCACGTCGTTCCCCAGGCCCTTGATCAACGTGTTGAGATAGGTGTCCGGCATGACATAGTAGTCGAGGGTGGCGGCAAAGTCCCATTCGCTGTCGCTGCCAAAGGTCCCACCCGACACGATCAAATCATCCATTGGCAATTCTCGCATCTCGGCGATGGAGGTGCAGTTCAGGCTGGCCATGAAGCGCTCGCCCTGGGCCAGCGCGTAGTCCAGGGTTTTGTAGCCCTCTGCCAGACTGGTGCACAAGGGATCATGCGGATCCCGCACCCCACTCTCAATGATTCCGCCCACAATCAGACCCTTGGTCAATGGGCTGTTGACAATGTGTTGGGTAGCGGCCGATCCAGCCGACTGACCCATCACCGTAATGTGCTCGGGATCGCCCCCGAAGGCGGCAATGTTCTCATGGATCCACTTCAGCGCACCAATCTGGTCCAGCATCCCCCAGTTCCCGGAGCTGTTGGATCCGGTCACGGCGTAGAACTCCTCGGACAGCTCCGGGTGTGCCAGCCATCCGAACGAGCCGGTCCGGTAGTTGTAGTTCACATAGACGATCCCTTGGTCCGCCATGCCGCCCCCATCGAAAAGAGCGTCGGCGGCCGTTGACAAGGCTGGGTAGCTCCACATGACAACCGGCAATTTCGCGTCCGTCGAGTTGGCCGGACTCCAGATGTTGAGGTTCAAGCAGTCCTCATCGATGGTGTACTCTGAGGTCCCCGACGTGGCAGAAGGACAGACATTGCCAAATGACTTGGCGTCACGGGTGCCATTCCATGCGCTGGCTGGCTGGGGGGCTCTCCAGCGGTTCTGCCCGCCGGTGGTGGCTGCAAAGGGAATGTTCTTCCAGACGGTGATGTCCTTCCAATGGGTCAGGTTGCCAGTCGGCTCACTGGTGAAGGCCGGGTAGCCTTGGAGCCGACCATACTGGGTTTCAATGACGGTATCATAGAGCGCCGCATTGGCCCCAGCCAGAAAGGGAATGAGCGAGACAAGGGCGAGTCTCGCACGCCGTGACTGATTCATTCCGGGGCGAGGATAGCAGTCTGTGAAGTAAGGTTGACTTGAAGCTTGGATGGACATTGCTCAAGGCGAACAGCACGCTTTAAATAGATGTTGCAGATAGAACTGCCATTTTGGGTTCAACGGCGCCACAAGTACTCATGGATCACCGAAGGAACCCCGGAGTGGAGCAAGCCAATGGACGCGCGGCCTGACATCCCGCGATGAGGAGAATTATTCCACCCTGCAGGCATATGCGAGCATATCCTCGGCCTAGATGACGCAAACAGACTATGATAAACACATAGGAGTGGTTTAGAGTGAGATGATGTCCCGCTCCATACAAATCCGGCAAGAATCCCCCTTCGCCAAACGCCATTAATATGGTAAAACAAAGGTCCGCAGGTCGGAGGTCGGAGGTGGCGTTGATACCATCTCCGATGTTGACCCTGGCCCTGCCCTGCGCAGCCCGTGCAGCCCGTGCAGGTTTCCAGCGGTCAAGCTTTATCGCGGACATGATCTGCACGGAGGTGTTCCCATTTCCTGATTATGTCCGACTGACGCGTACCCCATCACTAAACGGAGCCAGGGTTGATCGCGCCATGAACATTGACCACGGAAGTCGGAGTGTTTCACCATATCCACCGGCGTAATAAGGTCAGGGTAAGCAATGACTGTAGACGGGATTCCGATGGCTAAATCAACGATATAGCGTTTCCACTTGTAGCATACAGGTAGCGGTCTGGGTCATGAGCATGATTCTCGCAAAATTCGGGACAGTTGATTCTATCTGCGTGAAGGGCGGTAGAGACGCCTCGACTGTAACAGAGCTGATAAGGGGCTAATGCCCTGCTGTCGATACTTTCATGATCTCGTCCTCCATTCCTTCCACGAACTCCACCAGGACACCGGCATCCTCGAGCCGCTTCCTTCCCGTGTTCTCGCCGATGAATTTCTCTGGCTCTCTGATTCCGACGTAGATCACTTTAATTGCGCTTCCCAGCGCCAGTATCCGCTGCACGCAAGTGCGACTCCCGCTCAGCCTTTTGTTGCACGGCTCCATGGAATATCCGGTGGAGAGGATTTGGTTTTGGTCTGCGTCGACGAGGACCGCCCCGACACAAAACTTGGTGGGGGCGGGGGGTGAGAGACGGGCCTGTTCGGAAGCATATTCCATGTAGGCTTTGTGATTGCCTGCTGGAAAAGTAGGATGGGGTGCTGAAGGGATAGTCATTGTGCTAGTCTTTGATTTCGTGTGGTGTAGATGGCTGGGAGGAAGATTGGAGGACACGAGATGAGGGGTAACCTTCCCAATTGGGGGCCGCTCCGGGCCGCTCCCACTAGTCCTGATTCTCTGGTCGGCATCTCCCCTCTCTCTCTCTCTCTTTTCCCTCGTCTCGACAATATGGCTTCACTTCTCTATCCCTGTGGGCAGCCTAACTCCATCTGAGATATATAACAGGGTAAGTTGCGTCGAAGGATCCGGTCTGCATTGTCGCTAATGATCCCATCATTCTAGTCGACGAAAGCCGCCGCAAGTCAGTCATCCTATATAGCCACCTCTACCTGAGTTTCTAGCATCCGTGCTATCGCCAAGGTGGCACAGAGCGGGAAAGACCCTAGAGTCAATCTTTACTCCCATCGGAGCCCATGTCTATTTGGTCTATGTCCACGGCCTGTGCGGCGATTCAGAAGACGGAGCAGGACCCCAGTAAGATACCGCTCGTGATGGCTCTGCCGACCTCGACCAACTCAACGGTAGTCAGAGACTGCATATGCAGCACTTCCCCTGCCGCATGAGTGCCCCGATACTGGGGACCTGATTATCAGTGCATCAATTCTCCCTGCGCGTGACTCAAATTCCAGTTTTGAGGGAGCCTAGGGTAGCACAAGTGGTGGGGACATAGAGCTATCGGATGTTACTTCCGGTGAAGGAACTACTCTAGCATCAGCAGTACGGCACTTGAGGATTGACTGTATCATTGAGATCCATCGACGATAAACCTTAATCACATCCTCTTCCCCGGATTGTCCATGGAACCCACCGCATTGGTGCACCCACGTCATGGCGATGCCTCGATGCGGGGAAGCCGGTGTAACCCCAACAAGCGCAAACTCAATCCAATTTCGTCTGCTCTGTACTCCGTGCGAGGATATTGCAGTCGACGAGAGTCGAGTAGCTATCGAACAAGCGAAACACGATCCAGAATGACTAACCTGGCGGTGAATGCAGCCAAGACCTCAATCTCAGCTATCTATCTCTGCCGACCGGGGTACTGATAGCTGGCCCGATATCGCTGATCGATCGACAATCGACAATCGCCTCGCGATAAGACCGATGCAACCTCGCCGGATCCGTCGTCCATCACCAGATTTGCGGAGAAGCCGTGGGGTTTGTTATCATGCACCACGGCCGGCTGATAAGCCGCTCAGATTCTTGTTTTTGCATAAAGGAGTCCGTCCTCCCTGGATTCCTCCTTGCATCCCCGTCTCTTTATCATCCGGCTCTCCTCCCTTCCTCGTCACTCATCCACCGCTGGCGGAGGAACCATGACTTTCCCATCCTCAGAACCTCTACCCAAAGACAACAAGTCGGTTGCACGCGACTCCATCACCGATGATACCTCGCAGCTCAACCGCTGTGCCTCCGCCCCGGGGGTCATTGATGATGTCGTCCAGGTCATCGACCACAAGGCCGAACGGCGTCTCTGCCGCCGTTTCGACATGCGTCTTCTCCCAGTCCTCGCCCTGATGTGTATGTTCTCTCCCGTCTATCTTACTTTTGTCTTCCCGCTTCTTGTCTAACAAAAACAGACCTATTCAACGCCCTTGACAAAGGCAATCTTAGTAATGCCGAAACGGCTGGCATGAGCGATGGTATGATCCCTCTTTCTGCATGTTGTCTGCCTTTCTAACCTTTCAGACCTCCATTTCAAACCCGGGCAATACAACCTCCTCCTGTCCATATTCTTCGTCCCCTATGTCATCTTCGCACCACCGTTTGCCATGCTCGGCAAACGCTTCAGTCCGGCCCGCGTTCTGCCTATCCTCATGTTTTCTTTCGGCTCCTTCACGCTGCTCTCCTCGGCGACCAAGAACTTTGGCGGCATGTTCGCCCTGCGCTGGTTTCTGGGCATGTCCGAGGCTGCGTTTTTCCCGCTCGTCATCTACTACCTGACCACCTTTTATCGCCGCGGCGAACTCGCCCGGCGCCTGGCCATTTTCTACGCGGCCAGCAACATTGCCAACGCTTTTGCAGGCCTCATCGCGTTTGGTGTTTTTCAAATTAAAAACTCCCCCATTCCCAACTGGCGGTACCTCTTTATCCTTGAGGGGAGTGTCACGGTTCTCTTCTCCTGCTTCGCGTTTTGGTACCTCCCTCGGTCCGCAGCCACGGCGTCCTTCCTCAGCCCGGAAGAAAAGCTGCTGGCCCACCACCGCATCCAAGTTGACAGTTCGGCCATTGTCAACGAGCCTTTCCGTCTCCGCTCCGCCCTCGGCATCTTCTCCCACCCCTCCACCTACGCCTTCCTGGCCATTGAAATCTGCCTCGGCGTGCCCCTGCAGGGTGTGTCCCTCTTCATGCCGCAAATCATCCAACGCCTCGGCTACACCACTGTCAAAACAAACCTGTACACTGTCGCCCCTAACGTGTCGGGCGCCGTCATGCTGCTCGTTCTGGCCTTTGCCTCGGACGCCACCCGGCTCCGCGCCCCGTTTATTATTCTCGGCTTCCTCCTCACCTTTATCGGCTTCATGATCTACGCTGCCATTACTGATGTCGAACAACAAATTCACGTCGCCTACTTTGCCACCTTCATGATGACCTGGGGGACTTCTGCCCCGTCGGTGCTTCTTTCCACGTGGTACAACAACAATATCGCGGACGAGAACAAGCGTGTCCTGCTCACGAGTATCGGGGTGCCCTTGGCAAACCTGATGGGTCTGGTGGCGAGCAACGTCTTCCAGGAGAAAGATAAGCCGAAGTATTTGCCTGCATTGGTGACTGTGGCGGCGTTTGGAGGTGTCGGTGCAGTCCTGTCGGGGCTGTTAGGGCTGTACATGATGATAGATAATAAGAGGAGGGATCGCCGGGAGGGAGTCAAGATGCGGGCGCAAGATGTGCCGACGGAGAGGTTACGGGATGGGCCGGGGGCGGATGGATTTAGATGGTTTTTATAGACTCTCCATCTTTGTAGACTAGGTAGATTGGAGATTTGTGCGTGGGTAGATTTATAATGACTGATGATATACTATTGCCCCTTATTTCAACTCAACCCTCGTCCTGCCCCCAAACAAAGCTGCAATCAACGCAACCATTCACCCATCCCTACAAATACCTACCACCCGGACCCCTTCACATTCATCCATGTCCATACAAATTAACCTCCAACCCCAACTACCCTTACCCGAATACTATCCATACCTAACTCCACTCACCCTACCTTCAACGGCGGAGTTCCACCATTTCCTCGGGCACCACTGATTACCGCCGAAGGAACGAATAGCCGAGTAGCCTAATGCCGGCTCTACTACAGTTGGTAACAACAATTAACGCTACGAATATAGTCAGGGTCCGACTAGGGAGAGTCCCCACTCATCTCTCTCATCCTTATGACTTGTGCCAGACATTCTTCAGGGATCATCGAGATGGATACTTCAAGAATAAATGCTTGATAATCAATCCCCGCTGTGGGGCCACGACAATGACATCAACCATCCCGAAGATTTTCCTCTCCTCCTTCTCAACCTTCAATCTCATCCTGAACAAAGAAGAAGAAGAAGAAGAAGAAGAGAAGAAGCGGAATCATGTCCCTCCAACAATGGACCACCGACCTCACCGGTCTCTCTTCCCTCACCCAATCCACCGCTCCCCTGCCCACCCCGGGTGACAATGAAGTCCTGGTGGAGATCCACGCCGTCTCCCTCAATTACCGCGACCTCGAAGGTATCCCCCCTCCCCCCCTCTCATTCTCCTCCTCTATATCCATACGCGTACTAACCCATGGTATACACAGTAATCAAAGGCGAATACACCCACCACAAAAGCATCACCGCCACCGACCGCAAAGTCCCCTGCTCCGACATGTGCGGCATCATCACGCAAACCGGCCCCAACGTCACCCGCTTCACTGTCGGTGATCGCGTCCTCTCCACTTTCCTCCCAGACCACATCACCGGCCAAGTGACCGAAAAGGAGTTGACGACGGGGTTGGGCCATCCCATGCCGGGAGTGTTGGCTACGCACCGCGTCTTTGCGGAGTCCGCGCTCGTCAGGGCCCCAAGTCACTTGAGTGATGAGGAGGCGTCTACGTTGCCGATTGCGAGTGTCACGGCGTGGATGAGCTTGTCGTCTCGAGCGAGAGAGGGCAAGGTGGTACTGTTGCAGGGGACGGGGGGTGTGGCGGTTGCGGGGTTGCAGATTGCGAAGGCGTTGGGGGCGATTGGTACCTTCCCCCTACTTCTCTAATATAGATTATGATACTGATACTAATGGTGACTTGACAGTGATTATCACCTCCTCCTCCGACACCAAATTATCCCAAGCCAAATCCCTCGGCGCCGACCACACTATCAACTACCGGACCACCCCCGGCTGGGACCAAGAAGTCCTCCGTCTCACGAACGGTCACGGCGCCGACATTATTCTCGAAACCGGGGGTGCGCAGACCCTGCGGAAGAGTTTCGAGTGTATAGCCTTTGGGGGACTGATTAATTGTATTGGGTACACCTCTGGGAAAGTGGATGATGATGATGATGAGGATCGGATTAATGTGAATTTGTTGACGTTGCGGCGGAGTGTCACGCTGCAGGGGATTATCGTTGGGCCGAGGGATGAATTTGAGGAGATGGTGGGTTTCTATCAAGAGAAGGGGATCAAGCCGGTAGTGAACCGGGTGTTTGGGTTTAGGGAGGCGAGGGAGGCGTGTGAGTTCTTAGAGAGTGGGGGGCATTTCGGGAAGGTCGTTATCAATACTGCCATCTAGATTTCAGCGATAGAATGATTTGCCAGGCCAGTTTACTGCTGTAGTATAGTATACTGTACTCCATATAGCATCATCATCAGACTCAAATCTTCCCCTCCTCCACATGGCTCAACTCCGCCCCCCCCAAATCCTCCCCCAACACCCTCCCCCCCACCTCAACAGGCAAACAATCCTGCAACACAAACAACATCCTCACCCACTTATCCTGACTCGGATTCCTCCACGCATGCATCGTCCCCCTCTGCACCGCCACATCCCCTTTCTTCAACACCCTCTTCTCCCCCGAATCCAGCTCCATCACAATCTCCCCCTCCAACACAATCCCATAATCGAGACTCCGGGTCCGATGCATCAATGGTTCTTGGCCCGGGGCGAAGTCCACGATCCGACAGACGGTGCCGCCGGGGGAGACCAGGCCGAGGGTGCCGCTGGCGATGGTGGCTTCGTGGGCGTGGATGTCGGCTTCGTTGGTGAGGTTTGCGGGGAAGGTGGTGGTGGTGTAGGGGACGCTGAATGCGAAGGCGTCGTTTTCGAAGGTTGTGAAGGTTGCGGGGGTGGAGGAGTGGATTGTTGCCTTGCCGGTGGTGGGGTCGTGGGTTGTGATGTGGCGGGTGAAGGGGGGGAGGGGGGAGGGCATTTTGGGTTTTTTTGGTTTGGTGTTGATGTTGATGGTTGGGTTTGGAGATAGAGGTGGGAGGTAGAGGGTTGGAAATACTTTTTTTCGTAAGGTAGGGGGAGATACTAGGTAGGGAGGACGGGGAAAAGAGGGGGAAGTATATTTATGACAAGTATCCGGAGTACGGAGTATCTGTTACTCACCGAGAATCATGACTGCATTCCCCGCAGGGATATGCATGGTGAGCTGGCACACCAGATCGGTAGGTGGTGATTGGTTCGGAATCTTACTCGCATTTCTTCATCGGTGAGTTGTTTGGGTGCATGCCTTGCTTCTGCTGCGTTGGGCAGTTGCAGTGGTGGTACGAGATCGGCGGGTGATTGTGAGGGGTATGTTGCATATGATTGTATGTACATTATTCTATGGAGGGGTTGGGGTTGTATGAGATATCTTGGTATTTGGTTATTCTATATTATATTGGAGCATAGATGCTGAACAAACTACTAATGTGCATACTGGTATTCGCACCTGCCGTATATGCTCACCTGCAACAAATCGTTCCTTCCACAACCCGTCAACATTTATCTACCAGTCATCCATCCACTCATCAACTTACCACTCATTCATACACTCGTTCAAGATTCAGAAATTGACTTTATTTATGCAATATGTCGATGTCCGCCAAGGCAAAAGGCAAGCAGAGGGACCCCGGTGAAAGCCCACCCCCGGAGACTTCGGAAGAGGAACGGAAAAAGGAAGAGCAGCGGATACAGGATGAGCAATGGAGAGAGGAAATGGAACGGAGGGAAGACGAACAGCGGAGACGGCGAGAGCAATGGAGACTGAGAGAACAACAGAGACTGGATGAACACCGGAGAGAATACCGGAGAGAAGAACCATCGCAAGAACCACCGAAAACGTTGGAACAGGTAGAAGAGCCACTCCGACAGGAAATCCAACAGAGACGGGAAGTGTTAGCGCAAAAAGCAGCAGAAGAGGCCAAACAACGAGAAGAAGAAGAAAAAGAAGCCGAAAAGAGACGACGAGAAGAACGAGACAAAAGAGAACGGGAAGACGAAGAAGCAAGGAAACAAGCAATAGAAGCGATACAGCAACAGCATGAAGCAGAGGCAAAGCAACGGGAGGAAGAAGAGCAAAAGGAACGGGCAGCACGAGAGGCAGAGCGACTGGCAGCAATAGAGAGAATGCGACAGGCAGAAAGGAAGGCAAGGCAACGGGAATCAAAAGTGTCGGTGGCACGTAGTAGAGCCATGGCACGGGAACGGGCAGAAGCGATACAGCAAAACAGAGCGAATATCCTAGAGGAGCAGCGAAAACTCGAACCGAGCCGGCTAGAGCGGTTGCTTTGGTGGAGGTACCGTCCAGGACGAAACCCTGTCATGGTCAGGCTGGCGGGTCGCGACGAATTGATTCGAATAGAAAATCCGAGACTGGCATTTCCAGACCACGCGGACGGTGCCACGCCAACAGACTATATTACAGCAACGGACTGGGCGTATATCACAACCACCATACCCGCTCAGGGAAAAGCATCGTACCCAGACCTTCCGAACCCTAGTCTTGGGGTCATCAAACATGCCATCACCCAGACGTCCATGATCCTCGACAAAACCAGATGTGCATGGCGGATCTTGAGCCGGATCGAGAAGAGCCACCCCAAGGAGAAGGCCGTGACCGTCGCCGTGGTCCATGCCATCCAAGTGAGGGAAATGGCCGAGTCCCTCTTTGAATTTCTCGAGAAAAGCAAGATGGCGCTAGAGCAGACCCGAGCCAAGCTTGTGGATCTGCCGGCTGGCGACGCACGCTGGCGCTCCGGCGCCCGTGCGGCCAAGTTCAATGCACATGTCACGATGCTCCTATACCAGGACCTATTTGAGGATGCGAATTTCACAGTGGCGGGATTCCACACTGCCCGAGCAGACACACGGTGGCACGCGGCAGAGGAGCAACGTGGAGCGGGTGAGATCGAAGCGTTAAGAAAGATGGCCAAGAAGCACAAGGCCAGCGAGCCGGTCCGGCCACTGGACTATGTGGCTCGGACTCAAATCCCTCTGACAGGGCCTCCAAAGCGGAGTGTCAGCCCACATCCGTTGCCCGTGGAATTCGTCGAGGGCGCAGTCGCGTTTATGCAGGTCTCCCAGAATCTTCTGGAACAGGGGAGGCGCGTTCGACCTACACCGCGTTCCTAATCATTGTCACTTCATTCCCAGAGGGCGAACAGATGATTTCCGGGGCGCTATCTTATCTGCCTGGATCAATCCCCACGGGCTATATTGTTATACCACCCAATTATTACGGATGGAGATCCATCATGAACACAGCCAATGTGTGGCGAGATAGTCTAGCTTAGTTAAAATACAGATCATCCCACAAACTCAGAAACATACCAGTAGAGACACGAACCGATCCTGTAGATTTCCCGTGATATATACGAGACACGCAAGTAGTAGCCCCACCATATAGATGGCATCATACCTTCAAAGAGAAGGATACCACGGTTTGATGGCCCGGCTGGCATCTGTCACCTAGACCCACCATCATGCCCAATGCTAATCTGGTGCTACATCAACGATAGCCACCAGGCATTATTCGCTGACAATGCTCATACCCTCTATACCTGTCCGACATAAATCGGCAGCCCAAGTCACGGCCCAGAACTAACATTGGTGCAAGGGTCCAAAGCTGAGTTAGTCCAGTCAGCCCTTGGCTGACAGGTGGATAGCTCCACAAACCAACACTCCACAACTGATCCAGCAGCCATGGTTGGGTAACACGACCTAGCTTATTTGTGGAGACACCGCGCACGGAAACATTCAGCACAGTCGTAACTCAACAAGTAACCCATGGATAGGATACGACATGTCGGGCCTGAGCTGCTCAGCCGGTATATGAACCGCGGCCGCCCCTCCCGTGTTCTGTGACATGAACGGTGCTCGCCATCTGTCGTTAACTTGCGTCATGGCATACGGTGAGTTCGTTTACGGTCGGAAATATTATGAGAAGAAAGGCTGACGCGAATAATGTATAGGGTATGAGAATGATAATGCACGCCTGTCTGGCTCAGTCGTGGGGGAATATCCGCCCAAAGCTGACGTGCGGTCGATGATCGCCCGCCATCCGCTTCCTACCGTCGCTCCCGGAACGATCGACCCTGTTACCGTGGCTGGCGATGAGTCGACCAATAATCATGTTCGGCACGTGTTGGATCGCTTCAATGCTGCGCTAGTCAACAAGGACGCGAAGGTTCTTGAGGGTTTTTTTGCAGATCAGGCATACTGGAGGGATGAATTGGCGTTTACCTACCACCTTCGCACATTCTCCGCCCCGGATACCATTGCAGCGGCTCTCTTGGAGACTGCGGCTCTCCGGGGAGTTGTAGGGGGGGTGTCCGTTGATGGTGCAGCGCAGTTTGTTCCGACTTCACCGACGTTGGTGAGTATCGAGATCCATCATTCCGATGTCGCTCACCATCTAGCAATTTATCGAGTGTGGAGTCGTCTTTCGAACGGCGGCCCCAGGTGCCATCTGCAAGGGAAAGGTGGTGCTCTTGCCGGTGAAAAGGGATAGTAGTGACGATATTGAGTGGAAGATCTGGGTCTTGGTCACCGTGCTCGATAGTCTGGATGTTCATCCAGAGGATGAGTCGTTGCTCCAATGTCCTGGGAGGTCATTCGATGGGTTGGAGACATTTGAAACGGACGTGTTTATCATCGGAGGCGGAAATGCGTAAGTTGGTTGCTTTCACTCAAACAGAAGGATATTGTTAACACGTGGAAGCGCTATCGCTCTCGCTGCACGACTCAAGGCACTCGGCGTGGAGAGCGTCATGGCCGAGCGAAATGCCGTCATGGGCAACAATTGGGACCTCCGTTATGATTCCCTGCACTTCCATATTCCGGCTTCGTCTTGTGATTTGCCCTTCTTACGTGAGTCATCGGCACCATGGCAACTCAGCCACTGACGGAATTCCAGGCTATGAAGAGCATCTTCGAGGACAACATTTCCTCACCAAGGACGAGTTGGCGTCGCAGGTCAGACGATATGTTGCGGCCTTCAACCTCAACTGCATCACTTCAGCCCAGATCCAGTCGACATACTATGATCTCTCGGCCCAGCGATGGAAGATCCGATTCCAAACCCCGGCGGGCCAACGCACGGCGGTCGCCAAACACCTCGTTCTTGCCAAGGGACACGGATCTCAAAAGCCCCGGACCCCGGTCATTGCAGACAGTCACCTATATCAGGGCATCAGTATCCACTCTGTGCAGTACCGCAATGCCAAACAGCTGCGGACGCAGGGGGCCAAGGTAAGTCATCAACAAGGCAGAAATCCTCGAGGCTAACTAGATGAGTGCAGTCTGTCATAGTGGTCGGATCTGCAAATACCGCTTTCGATGTAATAGAGAACTGCCACGCTGCCGGACTCCGCACGACAATGGTAGCCCGATCTCCGACGCATATGATTCCAGTGGACCACATCTGTCACCCGCTCTGTCTCGGGTCCTATGAATTTGGCGTCGAGGCCGCGGACTGGCATTTCCTCGCGTTTCCATTAACCGTTCGAGGTCAGCTCGCCAACCAGGTGCTCAAGCAGTTGGCGAGCCAAGAACCGCATCGCTACGACGCACTCGCAGCAACCGGCTTTGATTTCATGGACGGCAACCATCCGGACGCATCCTTGGTGCATACCCTCTATGAACGGGGAGGCGGTCACTATGTAGATATGGGCGGCACCAAGCTACTAGCGGACGGCAAAGTCGCCCTCAAAGCCGGTGTTCAGCCGATCGCGTACACTGCCACGGGTTTACAGTTCTCGGACTCCAGCCGTATAGACGCCGATGCCGTAGTGTGGTGTACGGGATTTTCGGACCTCAATGCGCGCGATACCATTGTAGAGACTTTGGGCGACGATGAAACAGAAGATAACAAGCAGGTGCTTGGTCCTCATGCCATAGCTGCTCGGATGGATGCCACCTGGGGCGTTGATGCCGAGGGCGAAATTCGTGGCATGTTTAAGCGTCATTCGCACCTTGATAACTTCTGGATCATGGGTGGATTTACCCAACAGCACCGGTGGTACTCGCGCACCTTGGCCCAGCAGATCAAGGCGGCCCTGGAAGGCGTGTTGCCGCCAGCTTATCGAGACACACCGCAGCGAAGTCGTGAGTAGTCTCGAAAGCAGATAGCTCTTTGCTTTCTGGATACTTTTAAGGACGCAAGATGAGGCTTGTACACAATTTACGAAATGGTGAACGGGATGGAGGAGGGAGAAGATTGGGAGGCCGGTGTCAGCGCCCGTCAGGTGGCCGAGTGCCAGCCTCAGCAACCCATCTACAGACACAGATTTACAAGCAAGCAGCTATACTCGATCATGCATAATACGTAAATCACTTGGATCCGTACATAGCTCTAACATGCCGTGAACAGGAGTATCCAGCCAGCCTCATACAACACCATACATTATGCAGGGTAGACATTAGGACGACATCAACATACAGTAACCCAAGTGACCCGATTTCAGCCTCGCCAGCCAGGAGAGAACACAAACAACAAACCCCAAATCTATGGAGAAGCAAAGTGGAAGGGTATATGGCGAGAATCTAGGTCACAGAATAAGCAGGAAATGGAAGGCGCACCCGCTGGAATTGAAACATGGTTGCAATTAAAACAGACGGTAAAATGGAGCCGTCCGTGAGATTATTTAGGTAGACGAACAGCCATCAGAATATCATATCATCATCAACTTGGTGGTCCGCCGCTCGGGGAAGCGTCGCGCAGGCGGGAGCGGCCCGGTCGCGGCGTACGGTCCATCAACCGGTCCCGGCGGCCGGAGACCGCGGCCCCGGCCTCGGCCGGGTCCAGGCATCGGTCCAGGGCCCGGGTATCCTGGAGGGGGAGGGTATCCGCGCATGGATGGCGCCAACGGAGAGGAAGGCATGGTCGGGCGGCGGGGACGAGGCGGCGGCGGCGTCGCTGCTGCAGCCCGTCGGGCGTCGCGCTCGCAGTAGACTTGGCCATACCACTCGAAATACTCCCCTTTCAGAGGAATCTGACAGGTGCGGCACTTCAGACAATCAGGGTGAAATTTCTGGCGGTCCGCCGGCCCACGCCCACGACGCTCCACCGTTTCCAGGTACTGGCCCTCGATTCCGGTATGGCAGGTCTGGCACAAAGAGCCATTTCGCTCGTGGTAGTGCTGGGCGCAAAAGGGGCGGTCCTCCAGGACGTAAAAGTCGGCCGTCTGGAAGGGTGTCCGACAATGGTGGCACACAAAACAGGCCCGGTGGTATTTACCTGTCAGACGGCCATCGGCGGACGACACGGACTTGCCCAGAATCATTTCACCGCAGCCACGGCAGGGCCCCTTGGGGCGCGGCGCCGGTCGCGGGGCTGGGGCTGTCGCGGCCCGCACAGGGGGTCGAGGTGGCTGGTCCTCCTCGGGACTCCGGGGGATCTTCTCCGGCACGAGGGACAGGCTCCCCTGGCTGATAGCCGGGTCGGTTGGGGAGTCTGGACTGAACAAAGTTTCAGGCATGCGAGGCGGCTCGAGCGCGGTCGGGCTTTCTACGACGGCTTCGTCCAGTACACCTTGCTCGGGTTTCTTTGCACCCTGCAACTCCTCGACCACGAGGCCTAGCCGGCCCTGATCGGACGGCTTCCGTCGCGACATGCTGGCCTCCGATGGCAGACTAGATAGAGATGTGCCGCTCCGCGTCTCGGAGGGAGACGAGTCCGACGAGGTGATAGAGTTATTCACGTTGTTGTCCTGGTTGTTGGGGAGATCGAGTCCCAGGGCTCGCGCAAAATTCGAGACGGAGGCGTTCCCTTCACTGGTGGTGTCCGAGTCCTTCCTCTGGCTAGTCTCGCGCTCGTTGAAGCGTGCAGATTCCGCATCCGCGGGCTGAAGGAATTCGGAGCTGGAGGGTTTGAAGGCTTTGTATTCCCCGTTGGCCGGCGTTGCCGGAGAGGCTAGCGGCTCCCCCGGAAGCTCAAAGTCGACGGGAGGTCCGTACGAACTCTGGGCCGGACTTTGGAAAAAGAGTTCTGCGGAGCCGCGGGAGCTGCTAAGACGATCGGAACCGCTATGCGACGAGACTCGTAGCGCGCTTGCGTGCACATGGTCAATCTCCGCTCTGGCGCTCGTTGGCCTGTCTGAGACCCCAAAATCGAAGCCACTGTATATTTCGCCTTTACCTTCGCGCTTGTCCGCGACTTCAGCCACGGAGGACTGGGAGATTCTCGACGGGTGCAGCAGCCCCTGCGGGGCAGTAGACGGCACCGGAGGAGCGTCTTCTGAGTACTTGTAGGGATCGCGTGCCACGCTTCCAAACGACGGCCGGCGGCTCAACATAAAAGTCGACCGTTTCGAGTTTCGGATTTCTCCATATCGGGTGCTGGCCAATGAAGTCCTGTAGCTGCTTTTGCTGTCTATCGATGCGCCATGTCTGTGCGCGGCGCCCATAGCGGCCGAGGGAGGGTCATCTTTCGGTAGCGGAGGAGGAGGCACATCGTCTGCATCCCGTTGCAGTGGCTTTCCGAATCGCGGGGACGGCATGGGCGGTACTGCCTTGCCTCCCTTGACATCCAACATCCCGCCAGGTCGTCTGTCCGACATGGAGCGGGGTAGGGGAAATGACGCAAAGGCGGTTTCTAGGTTGATCGAATCCGGGGATTGCGGTTCGTCGGGCAAAGGGGACGTATGGCTCCGTTGCAGTGCCCTCAATGGAGACGAGGTAGAAAGAGGAGAGGGGATGAGAGGGTCGTGGTCGGCTACCGGACTCGCGGGATGCAAGAAGGGACGATCTGGACGACATGTTACTGGCTGAGACGCATAATATATGACTCGGGTGGTGCAAAACAAACATACTGGCCATGGCAGGGTCGATGCGAGGCGGAGGGCCTGACCTGCCGGGCTTGGAGGCCCAGGCATCGCTTGGATTTCTGGCGGGTAACACATTGTCGGACTTGGGCGGGGGCGGCGGAGGCGATTGGGAGGGGGAGGGAATCGCTGCAAGGGACCCGTCAACACATTGCATTCCATGCGTGGGCCGCATAACTGGGGAAGATGGGGATGGTACCTGGCGTGGATTTGGCACACACATGATCCCCCATGGCGGAGATTTCCACGCTCATTCCACAATTGGAGCATTTGATCATGGGCAGCAGGCCCGCATCCATTGCGGACGCCATGCTGGGAGACCCAACAGTCTACGAGAGCGAGAAGATATGCGCCAGTCGCGGGCTCATTGGAATGAGCGGCCGGAGAGGGGGGAAGTGGTCCAGTCCACAGGCGCGTGCTTATCGGTAGAATACAGTGGATGACAGGGACGGACGGTAGATCTATGCAGTGCAGGCCTCCTCGCGTGAGGGGGACGGTCTCATGGCCGGAAGTGAGGAGCACGACAGGAGAGGACGATCTGGATGGAGCCGAAGGAGTTGAGTTAGAGACGCATGGATGCTGGATGGAGCTGGAGCTGGAAGAGGGAGAAGGAACAAGCACCAACCATTGTTGACGGGGGAGGGCCCATCCAAAATACTAATAGTCTGTTAGCCTGTTAGGCTTAGAGGCAAGCTAGTGCAGTTGTCTGGGCAGTGGGCAGGGCAGACAAGAGGGAGAAAGTGGGAGCAGTGGGACTTCCTCGTGTGTTCGCGGTTGGGGCGATCCACGAACCCTTCCGCCGCGCCCGCCCCTGATTGGCCCAGGGGCCCTTAGCACCGCTTCATGTTTCTGAGAGTTTCCGATACCAACAGAGTCTTTCTGCATCAGCCGGGCCAACTTGAGTACTCAGGAGGATGCTACCGGACTGGTACTGGCTCGCAATGTGCTCCTGAAGGCTCACGAGAGATTCCTCGCGACCAACTCACTACAGCTGACTCTGACTGCCCTGCGGAACCGGTCGCAATCCATTGCTTTGCGAAACCCCATATGTGTTTGACATTCATTTATTTTTATCGGCCCCTTTTCCCTCCCCCAATCAGTGTGTGACTCTGGCGTGTTTCTCGACGTTCAGACGATAGTGCCTCCAGGCTTTTCAGCCCCTGAACCATCCACCGCAGATCATCCTTCAGGGGCAGCCCGCCCCGTGACTGACCACGATTCGCCCGTCGGCCAACACTCCCGTCTACAGAGTACACAGTACATACTAGTAGTAGTAGTATCCGTTGATGCGCTGGTTCCTGTGACGGACTTGCAGGTCTCCAACTGGGCACGAGCCGTGCCCTTGAGTAGATTGGGTGCTCCAATCACCTGCCTTCCCCTTTCTTTCCCCCTGGGCCCCTACAGCCCTTGGATGCGTGACAGCCTCCTCCGAATGCTTCATCGCCTTCGATCCTTGCCTGCTCTGGCTGTCAGAGGCTCAGCGCTCATATCATACGCCCTCAGACCCCAGTGTGAGATGAGATGACAATCACCCCAACCAGACCCCGCAGTTACATTTCCATTACCCCATCTTCAAAGTATATCCCGGAAATTAAGAAAGCAAGGGGCCTGGTTTTAATCGCTGTCATCCCTTGGTTGGGCCGTCGATCCTTGGCGAGATAGCCTGTCAAGTCCTGGCAGATATATCTTTAGAACCATCCGAGTTTCGAGAACAAATGACGGTGGGATTGACTTGGACTTGTCGACTCCTCCCCCAACGGTGTGGACACCGGACTACTGTCTGGTGATGCCGATCGAAGCCTTCCAGCTGCTTCTTAGCTCTGCAGTATCCAGGAACCGACGGTTCCGGTACCATGGCTCGATTTAAATAGTACCCGACCGTCGGAAGTTGCGTCTTCTCCCAACTTTGGGACGAAGCTTTCTAGTTTTTTCGATGATGGCATGTTGCCATTTTGCCATGTTGCTCCAGACGATCTTACGGTCTGGCTGACGAGGACTCGTACCTGCTTACGGGACATGCACGGCCGCTGTCCCGTGTCCGATTGGCGGACAATCTCTCCACCCATCTTCCACGCAAGCAATATCTCCAGGTAAAACCCCGGCAAGGAGAGTTGCTCCTGGGGAGGAAATATAGCGTGTCTGACTGCGTCGAGCCCTTATCCTCAGCAGTCGCTTGTATTCACCCCGGTTCGTACCGGGGTCTGGCCGAGTCGATGGTAATGCATCAGCGATCACCACCTCAGGCAAGGCCAATCCCATTGCTGCCGAGTTGCCTGAGATCTTGCAGCGTCAATCACATGATACACGAGACGTGAAACTTGATTGGGGTGATTAGCTAGAACCCTAAATCGGCCAAAAACCCACAGTGCAGAGTGTGGAGAAGACCAATGGCTCCTTTTCAGGCAGCATCGTTCCCTTCCCTTATGCACGCATTGGGTTTGCCGAGGACACTTCATTCAGGGGCCGGATGCACACACGGCACGCTGCCGAGCTTTCCGCTGCTCACCGCACCTCCGCTGCACTGCTGCGTGGCCCGGATCAGCACATAGGAAACTATGTACTCCTACCGCATGCCATGGTAAATGCTATATAGCTACTCCGTACGTATTTCTACAGGGTTGGCACATGTCCGGTGTCGCTTGACGGTTATCGCGATTCGCGCGACGCGCCAGCGGAGCCCCGCGGGAGTCTGCAAGGCCCACTATTGGCGATGATGGAGCCCAGGCCACCTGCTGTCCCCAGCCTGTGTCCGTCGCCTGTCTTTGAGTCTGTTCCTTCTCGGGAATGGACCATCCGCTGGCACTTTTTGTGGATAATGCTGGTACGATCCTCCCCTCGACCGAGGTGCGTTGTAGCAGTCATGTTGCGGGAGGCGCGTTGACCGGTATGAGAGCGTCCAGGTATGCAAGGCAATTGGATAGGGTGCCATCCTGGGGGGCTGATCGGAGGGAATTGGTTTGGGGATGGCCTTTTCAGGACGCATTCACTCATCTGCAGCGGTTGATTTCATATATCAGTCAGTCTCACGGCGTCACTGTAAGCAGTAGGAGTGAAATACGAGAACACGGGCCTCACCGCCATTGCCAGATGTCTTCATATTGGCATCGCTTGAAAGTCAGGATCTCGCTAGATTCCGTATGGGGCTGTCATTTGCCAGGGCGTAAATAGCGGGGAGGTGAAGCCGGATGGGGTGCGGAGCAGCTCGGGTCCTGCGCATCCGGCAAGGTGACCTCCGCCGTATAAGTACTGCCTGCCTGCCTTCCCTCCTCTTCCTCTCTTCCTCTCACCACCGCTCAATTCCTTCAGTTCGTTCGCAAATCGTCTTCAGACTTCCATTGAACCTTCGATCACACTCCCCGAGGCGTGATCTCAGAAAACCGTCAAAATTTTCGCCACACTTCTTAACTCGTGAGTTCCCCGCCAGTTTCCCGCTGCTATGCCCCTATCTCCCGTCTCCCAGAAGAGCAATTGGACTTTCCTTACGCAACATTCCAATGATTCCCATACTAACGTATCTCCCTTCTAGGCGGCACCACCCGTTCAACGGCCGGCGCTCATCCAACCGTGGTGGGGCACCGGACTACTCATTATACGTCCAGTAAACACTTCAATCCGAACACTCGATTCTGCCATACCATTTGTTCTCACGCCAATCTCAACTGAACACAATGGCTCCCCACGCTAGCTCGGATGTTGCTGCCAATGGCGCCGTGAACGGGTCCGCTCGTGCCAACGCTCCTTTGTTTACCGTCAACTCCCCCAACGTCGTGTACACCGACAACGAGATCAAGAGTCAGTATGCTTACCACACCACCGACATCACCCGCACCGCCGACAACAAGCTCGTGGCCACCCCCAAGTCTACCAACTACCACTTCAAGGTTGACCGCAAGGTCGGCAAAGTGGGTGTCATGATGGTCGGTTGGGGTGGTAACAATGGTTCCACTGTGACCGCAGGTCTCATTGCCAACCGTCGTGGCCTCGAATGGGAGACTCGCGAGGGCGTGCGTGCTTCCAACTACTACGGCTCTGTGGTCATGGGTTCCACCATCAAGCTGGGCACTGACGCTAAGACCGGCGAGGAGATCAACATCCCCTTCCACGACATGCTGCCCATGGTTCACCCCAACGATCTTGCCGTTGGTGGCTGGGATATCAGCAGCTTGAACCTTGCCGATGCCATGGACCGTGCCCAGGTGCTGGAGCCTACCCTCAAGCAGCTGGTCCGCAAGGAGATGGCCGAGCTGAAGCCGCTGCCCAGTATCTACTACCCGGACTTTATTGCTGCCAACCAGGAGGACCGGGCCGACAATGTGCTTGAGGGCTCCAAGGCCAGCTGGGCTCATGTTGAGAAGATTCAGAAGGACATCCGGTGGGTTTCGTGCATTGTCCCACGGGATGTGAATACTTACTGACACCACATAGCGACTTCAAGGCTCAGAACGGCCTGGACAAGGTCATTGTGATGTGGACTGCCAACACGGAGCGGTATGCCGATATCTTGCCTGGCGTCAATGACACGGCCGACAACCTCCTGAATGCCATCAAGGAGGGCCACCTGGAGGTGTCCCCGTCCACTGTTTTCGCCGTGGCCTGTATTCTGGACAATGTTCCCTTCATCAACGGCTCTCCCCAGAACACGTTCGTGCCCGGTGCCATCCAGTTGGCGGAGAAGCACAAGGCGTTCATCGGCGGAGACGACTTCAAGTCGGGCCAGACCAAGATGAAGTCTGCTCTGGTGGATTTCCTGATCAACGCAGGCATCAAGCTCACCTCGATTGCCAGCTACAACCACCTGGGCAACAACGACGGCAAGAATCTGAGCTCGCAGAAGCAGTTCCGGTCCAAGGAGATCTCCAAGTCGAATGTCGTGGACGACATGGTCGCAGCCAACCATATCCTGTACGAAAAGGACGAGCATCCGGACCACACCGTGGTGATCAAGTACATGCCTGCGGTGGGCGACAACAAGCGTGCGCTCGATGAGTACTACGCGGAGATCTTCATGGGTGGACACCAGACGATCAGTCTGTTCAACATCTGCGAGGACTCGCTGTTGGCCTCGCCTCTGATCATCGACCTGGTGCTGATTGCGGAGATGATGACTCGGATCAGCTGGAAGGCGGACGACGCGGCCGAGTACAAGGGCTTCCACAGCGTGCTCAGTGTGCTGAGCTACATGCTCAAGGCCCCGTTGACTCCTCCTGGAACTCCGGTGGTGAACTCGCTGACCAAGCAGCGCAGTGCCCTGACCAACATCTTCCGGGCGTGCGTTGGCCTGCAGCCCGAGTCGGAGATGACTTTGGAGCACAAGCTGTTCTAATTTCTCCACCCCTTGTCTGAGGTATCCTTAGATATCCTTAGACCGTTATCCATAGCCAACTAGTGCCACTCCTTGACATCAATACATTGATATATCAGCAATCGTTCTTGATTCGTAGATTGACATAAACAACCAGTCCACCTTTCCCTAAATGTAGATAGACTCATCACTTGTCTACAACAGCTTCACTTGCTAGTCGTCCGACCCAAATCCGAATAAGCATTCAAGGCCAACTGCCCACCCAAATGCGCAAAGAGAATATTGCCCTCAATCTCCCCCTTGCGCACCAAATCCATCAACCCCGCGAAACTCTTCCCCTCATACACCGGATCCGTAATAAACGCCTCCGTCCGGGCCCCAAACTCAATGGCCTCCCACGTCCTCTGATCCGGCACCCCATACACACCCCCATGATACTCCTCCCTCAACACCACATCCTCCTCCGTAATATCCTTCTCCCTCAACCCAATCCTCCCCGCCGTCGCCCTCGCAATCCTCAACACCTGCTCCCTCGTCTCCCTCGGCTTCGCCGACCCATCAATCCCCACCACCTTCGTCCTCCCCCTCCCATTGCCCGCCTCCTCATCCATCCTCTCCAACAACTTAAACCCCGCCACCATCCCCGCCATCGTACTCCCCGTCACCGCACAAACCACCACCGTATCAAACCGTACTCCCAACTCCCTCTCCTGCTCCCGCACCTCAAACGCCCACCGCGCGAACCCCAATCCCCCCAACGGATGATCCGACGCCCCAGCAGGGATATAATACGGCCGTTCTCCCCCCGCCACACACTCCTCCTCTAACCGCTTCAACGTGGACTTATGCTCGATCCCAAACCCACTCGGATCCAATCTCACATCCGCCCCCATTAACCTCGACAGCTGGATATTCCCCACCTTGCCATACCCGGAATCACTCCACGGCACCCAGTCTTCCTGAATCAATCGCGCCTTGAGACCCGCGACGGTGGCCGCCGCGGCCACTTGCCGGGTATGGTTGGATTGGATCCCGCCGATGCTGATCAGGGTGGTGGCGTTCTGGGATAGGGCGTCGGCGATCAGGTACTCGAGTTTGCGGGTTTTGTTGCCTCCGTAGGCGAGGGCGGAGTTGAGGTCGTCTCTTTTGGTGTAGATTTTTGTGGAGGGGGAGGGGGGTGAGAGGGCGGTTGTGATTAGTGGGAGGGGGTGGATGGGGGAGGGGCCGAGGGTGAGTGGGTGCCGGGGGATGGTGGAGAAGGGGGGTGGGAGGGGGATTTCGGTGGGCATTTTTGATGTTTGATTCTGGTGAAGTGAGTTGGTTTAATTTGGATGATGGGAGGGATGTTCAATGTAATGGTTGTGGTAGTGATGGTGGTGGTGGTGGTGGTGGTGGTGTGATGGATATATATAGGTGTGGTGTGTATGGTAGCGGGAGGTATATGTGGATGTTCTATGATTGATGAAGGGATGCGTCCGATCACGGAGCGCGGAGCGCGGTCCGACCCCTCTTCTGAGTACTCGATCATCCGAGTGTAAGCGTGCATTTGATCGCTGATCACGTCAATTGCTCGGAGGTTGTCCGTGAGATTATAGATGTAGTGATAAGATTGTCGGGTGGTTGGTTACTATCTATAGCTGAGTGATATCGAGATAAGGATTAGTTTAGATAGGAGTGGGGTGCTGATAGTATGATTTTCTTACCGTGTACTGTGTACTGTGTACTGTGTAATGTTGGTGAAGGGCATGGTGATGCTTTGAAAGACAGTTTCACTCGAGTCAAGCACCCTAGCAGAGTAACCACAAGGTCCTACTGAGGACCTTGAGAGCCTCCTCTATATATACTGTCGTCTACTCCGTACTTTGAACAAATTAAACATAAGAAACGTAATTTTATCATCTGTACACTACGACATATCAACAACGCAACGAACACAATCGCCAGCCTTCATCTGCTCAAACGCCTTGTTGATCGCCGACAGGTTCTCCCGGTGCGTAATAAACTCGTCCACCTTCAGCTGGCCGTTCAGGTAGTCGTCAACCAATCCCGGCAGCTGAGTGCGGCCCTTGATACCACCAAAGGCACATCCCCTCCACACACGTCCAGTAACCAGCTGGAAGGCTGCATCCAGTTAGCACAATCCCTCTATCGTCGCGAATGGGCCACTTACGCCGGGTGGAAATTTCCTGGCCAGCAGCAGCAACACCAATGACAATACTCTCACCCCAGCCCTTGTGGCACGCCTCCAGGGCAGCCCGCATCACACCAACGTTACCGGTGCAGTCGAAGGTGTAATCACAACCGCCGTCCGTCATCTCAATCAGCTGCTCCTGGATGGTCTTGCCGCCGAGCTTGGTGGGGTTGACAAAGTCAGTGGCGCCGAACTTGCGTGCCCACGCCTCCTTGTCGTCGTTGACATCAACAGCGATGATGCGACCAGCCTTGTTCTTGACCGCACCCTGGATGACCGAGAGACCGACACAACCGGCACCGAAGACGGCAATGTTCGAGCCCTCCTCAACCTTGGCGGTCTCGACAGCCGCACCATAACCGGTGGTGATACCGCAGCCCAGCAGGCAGGACCGGTCGGTGGGGATCTTGGGGGTCACAGCCACGACGGAGATGTCGGCCACGACGGTGTACTGGGAGAAGGTGGAGGTGCCCATGAAGTGCAGGAGGTCCTTGCCGCGGGCCTTGAAGCGGGAGGTGCCGTCGGGCATCACACCCTTGCCTTGGGTGGCACGGATCTTACCGCAGAGGTTGGTCTTGCCGGACTTGCAGAACTTGCACTCACGGCATTCGGGGGTGCTGCAGAGGTTAGCAGTGCACCAACGACAGTGCCAGGATGCCTACTAGAGAGCAATGACATAGTCGCCAGGCTTCACCGAGGTGACGCCCTCGCCGACGGACTCGACGATACCGGCACCCTCGTGTCCGAGGACAACGGGGAAAGCACCTTCGGGGTCCTTGCCGGAGAGAGTGTAGGCATCTGGTACAGGTCAGCCTGATGTTCAGTTCCAGCCGTCCCAGCAAACCGACCTGTGTGGCAGACACCAGTGTGAAGGATCTGAATGCGAACTTCGTGGGCCCTCGGGGGAGCGACCTCGATGTCCTCGATGGAGAGGGGCTCTCCGGCGCCCCAGGCGACGGCAGCCTACAACTCAGTTGGTATCATTGAGCGGATAGCTCGAAGGGTTCTTACCTTGCAGGTGATGGTCTGATGGGTTAGCAATCACACGCGTCAATGATGCCATAGCTGGAAGAGCTGGTAGACTCACCTGTCCGACAGTGCTGGCCATGGTGAACAGTTAGAGATGATGGAGGGATGGATGAACGAGAGGAAAGGAAGAAGAAGAGAAAAATGAAGCTGGAAATCCGGCCGGCAATAAATCGGGAGCGAAGTGGCAGGTCGGCAGTGCAGTGGAGCTCTGGGTGAGGGGAGCACGAGGGGGAGGGGACCAGAGAGGGGTGTGAGGGGCAGTCGAGCCCGTCATTACTCAGCTGTCTTCCACCCATGTTCTCCTCCCCTCTTCCTCGCTAGGCATCCGATAGAGAGTCCAGGCTCGGATTCCCACTCCGAACCGTCTTTCGATCCCCTCATGCCTCCGCAGGACAAAGCATTACAATGCATCATGGGGGGCAAGCAGTGTGCCCGGCTGATTCCAGACCGTTGGGGTTCAGCGAAAGTATTCTAAAATGGGGCAATGGCCCCATTCCATCCATTCTTTAGCATTGAGTCAGGCTCTATCTAGTAGTACTATGTACTCCATGCAGTCGACCCAGACAGTATCACCGTCTTGATGCGCTGCGTACTGGATATCTCGATTGGGACAGACGATGCGATGACTCAGACCTGACCCCAATAGGCAAAGTTTTCCGCGCCTGGTCCGTGCACGCCAAGCCTCCACCCGATCGGGAAATCACCGTATCAACACGCTTATCCAGTATCACCCCTAGATTCGCTCTCGTAACCGCTGGTAGCACCGTGACGCAGAGATCACCGGTTCTTTGGAGAAAGCTACTATCATGATTCCATCAGCTTCCATGCACATTCAACCTAGACCTGTAGATGTACTGGTACACTTTTGGTTACGATAGTTGTGGATGTCCAGTCAAGCATTGTAACGCCAATTGCTATTCCATATATTACACACGGGTCACCGACTCCATACGGTGCCCGGAACCCGACCCATGCTCGAGAACCATCGAGAACCATCGTCGGCCATTGGGGGATGTCATCATTGCAAAATCTAATATTTTATACAGAACCACCGAAATGAATGCGAAGCAGTCGAATCCCGAGAACCATTTACCGCCCCAGACCACCTCCCTGCATCATGGCCGCGTTCTGCTCTTGGAACCGCTCGTTCAGGCGAGCCGATCCCTTCATGTACTTGTCGACACAGCGAAGAACGCAGCCCTCCTCACGGTTGATCAGGGACTTAGTGGTGAAGTCGTTGACGCAGTCGTCGAAGCACTTCTGGACGAGCTTGGAGTACATCTGGAGAGGATCAGAATCTGGTGCAGCTAGGGATGATCTAGCGGATGTGGACGCGTGCTAGGATCAAGTCGAGTTGCGGGCGAAGGTTGTTTGGGCGAAGGCTCTGAGGGTCTCAACGTACGGTCATGAATTCCTTGAGCTGCTTGCGTTCCATACGAGCAGCGAGCTCGCGCTGTTCCGAAGCGTTGAGTCTGGACGAGTCAGTATATTCTGAAGATGGGGTTACCAGGCAGCATGTCGAGCGATGCTATCACTCACCCGTCCATTGTGATAGGGTTTGATGTCGGAGCTAAGATCAAAAGAAGTAGCGTGGACACAAGAAAGACGGTCGTGATGTCCGTAGCTCCGGAGCTGCTCGACCGCAGGCTCTGATGGGTCACGTGGACACGCGCAGCCATCGATCAGCTGACCGAGTGGTGCTGACTCATCCTGCCGGAACCGAGGGATCCCAAAACGGCAAACAGTAGGACAATCCCACTGGGTCAGCAAACAGCAGCGGCGTTCACGCTTGCGCTGTTCCATTCTTGAGCCAAGGTTAAAAAAAGCACAACGGCCAGCTGGCCCCAGAAGTCGATGGGCGGGAACCATGGTTCGCCCGTCCACAACCGGGGGCCCAGGCAGCAGAGAAGCAACCCAGAAGGACAAAGATCTTCTTTCCAGCGGTTACCCAGGGCAGACACGAATACCTGCTCGTCGAAAACCAACCAGTTCCAGATAAGCTGGTTCGACAGCAGCTTCTGAAGGTCAGTCCCACATTCCGCCCTCTCGAGTGAAGGATTGTGTTCGGAGTGATATCGTTACTTTTTTCGGGAACCAAGCTCGGTAGGGTCAACGTTATGGGGTGCTGGTGCCGGTCATCAACTGACTTTGAGCGGAGCCAGTATCGGAACTATATACTATGCTGTTCCAATAGGCGATTGCGCGTAACAGTAGCCACCGATCAGCAGACCGTAGGCCATTATCTGGAGAGGTTGTGTGGTACCAGCCACCATCGAAAAGAAGCCTATTGATGTCCGATGACGGCAATATACATAGTAGTAGTTCCGACGAATAGCAGTTGGTATTATACCGCGTAGATCTCTTCATATACGACGCGTACGCATCAATCTATCCAGATGCAGAAACCGAACTTTATCTTAGATACAATCCATCATGTACGGAGTTCTGTGTAGGCATCCACCCATACACCGAATGTCCGAGCTTGAGTAGCATCTTCCACTCGACCATGAACGCAGTAGCCCCTGTTGGATCATTCTCCCGAAAGACACGCGGAATAAACCAACAGTCGCCGCAATCCAGCCAACCATGCTGTGGATATCTGTTCGATGTAGATGATGACCATTTGGAGCCGGCTGAGATCGGCAGCTGACGGGCTAGTTCGGGGCAAGCGAATCTCGCACCACGACCGAACTAACGACTAGACGCGGGGTCAGCATTCTCTCGGGCCGTTTGGGATGACAGCCACATCAGTCGATGGTTGGAGAACCGCGGTAGGACCCTGATGGTGCGGCACCGTCGCTCAAGGGGAAGCGCCTTCGAGGTTGCATCAGGGGCCATATTTTTAGCTAGAACCACGAGCCGGCCGGGCTGCCGCTTGGCGATGGGTTCGCTCATTTTCGGGGCTGGATCGGCCACGAGGATCGGAGACCTGAAGAGACCATTCGGATCAGTCAGGGAGACTGGAGAGGGGAACCTGCTTTCGAGAATCCAGACTCAGTCATGACCCGGATAGAGATGGCTGGCCCTATCGAGTTGCTGGGGACTGGGGACTGGGTATAGCCTCATGTCTCACTGTTGGCTTGACGCAATTGGCTAGAGCTGGCAATCTAACGAGCGTAGCGGAATGATTGAAGAACGGCCTGGTTAGTGCCCCGTGCTAGTCCCTCGTAGGGTCGACTAGATCCAGGGCCAGAACCGACGGACCTGGAAAGGATCGTGAGAGGGGGAAGCAAAACGGAAAGAGTAAGAAGGAAAAGGGAAAAACAAAAAAGAACAAGAAAAAAAAAAGAAAAAGGCCCTTTTTCTGCCCAGGTCAACCCTGGATCCCTGGGGTCTGGTCCAACTACTAGCAGCAGCTCCCAGGAGCATCCATCCCGATGCTTGGCGGACGAGGCCAATTTCCCCCTCGAGCGTTTGATTATTATTAGTTGATTATTATTATTATCCTTTTATTTTATTATCCGGTGCTGCTGGCGATGAAGAAAGCCCATTCATGACTGGGTGACTGACTGACTGACTGGTCATTCCTCTCTTTGGGGTCCCGCTCTCCATCCATCCATCCCACCTCACTGGGTGTTGTGTCTCTGTCTGTGTGTGTGTGTGTGTGTGTCTACCTCCAGGCTGTTGGTCCATCATTTCCTTTTCCTCCTTCATCTCTTTTCTTCCCTACCGACTTAGTTCATCCTTCTCTTCCTTCTCCTCCACAATCTTCACTCACCACCATCTTCGTCCTCATCTGCATCATCTACATCATATCCTCACGGGTACCGATCTGACTACAGACAGCATCATCAGCCCCTGTTTTCCAGGTTCAGATGATGGTCATTTGTTTCACCCCCAGACCGGCCAAGAAGCACTGCTGCTGCTCACCACCCCATCCACCCTGTCGGAGCATCCCAAATCAGCCTCTCAGCCTGAGGTTCCTTCGTGATTGCTAGACGGCTCCTCTTTCTACACGGACAGCCCGGCATCCGTTGATTTGCTCGTGTGGTCCAGCCGGTCCCTTTAAACCCCCCGCCTACATCTACTCCCACGCCTGCTTGCACTAGTTTCTCCTTTCATCCTCCATCCGATCCTCCTATCCCTCCCTGTCTCCCCTGTCATCTCCGTCGATTCCCGCCCTTCACTACCGCCGTGCCTGGTTCACCCCCTTCCCTACACCGTTGGAGAATTCCCCAGGGCCCGTTTTACCGGTCCCCTGCTACTGTACGTGTTTCGGACGGCGCGGCACTTAAACCCGCTGCCTGACTAGCCCTCGTGCTATTTTGGGATCACGCCTCCCAGCCCCGGAATTTCTCGCGCCAACCCAAGGGCGGTGACGGAGGCCTCGGTTTAGCACGGTCTGGTCCGGTCGCTGTATTTCTATACCTCGCACTCACGTCGCTTCTCGCCTCATCCCCATTCCCTCCGCGTCCTGCCCATCATGGTGACCGGCAAGTCGCACCCGGGCGTCGATTCCCTGCACCGGCTTCCCCCCACCGCCGCCCACCCCGAAGCCATCGCGACCTCGCCGCCGTCCAAACGTGATCTGGCTTCCTGGTGGAGGCAGTTCAAGAGAAATACAAGGAAGGAGGAACCGAAAGGTATGTGGAGGTATACTACGGTTTTGGTTGCGAGCTGGTGCGCTGCGGGGGTTCAGTTGCGATGCGATCGTGGGACGTCTGTCCGCTGAATGTTCAGTGTGATCTGCTCACATCAAAACCGTCCCTCTTCGGCAGTACAAGCTCTCTCGGACCTTTCGCTTAAACCTTTTATTCTCAATAATTAATCTCCGTTTGCGCAACGTACTAATGAGCTGCAGAAAAACCCCAGGGCATCTTCGGCATCCCCCTCAACGTCAGCATCAAATACGCCAACGTCGCTATCTCTCTCACGAACGATAACGGCGAGAGCTTCATCTACGGATACGTCCCCATCGTGGTCGCGAAATGCGGTGTGTTTTTGAAGGAGAAAGGTATGACGACCACGATGCTCTCGCTACGAGATTACTAAATCGTCCCAGCAACCGATGTTGAGGGTATTTTCCGTCTGAGCGGATCGGCAAAGCGCATCAAGGACCTTCAGGAAATCTTCGATTCACCCGAGCGCTACGGAAAAGGCTTGGACTGGACTGGTTACACCGTGCATGATGCTGCCAACGTTCTTCGGCGCTATCTCAACCAGCTCCCAGAACCGATCGTCCCGCTTGATTTCTACGAACGATTCCGCGAACCGCTGCGCACGTATCAGAGACAGGTCCAGGAACAGATCCAGAACAATGCCCCTCCCGCGGAAACGGAGGCTTTCGACCACGCGAAAGCGGTCTCATCTTACCAGCAGTTGATCCGCGAGCTTCCCCCGTTGAACAAACAACTGCTGCTCTACATTCTCGATCTGTTGGCTGTCTTCGCCTCCAAGTCGGATCAGAACCGCATGACCTCGGCCAACCTGTCTGCCATCTTCCAACCGGGGTTGCTGTCGCATCCGCAGCATGACATGTCGCCCGACGAATATAAGCTGAGTCAGGATGTGCTGATCTTCCTGATTGAAAACCAGGACCACTTCCTGTTTGGGATGAATGGCACGGCGGCCGATGAACAGACCGTCAAGGAGGTCGAAGGTGGCCTTGCCCGCCGACCCACCACCCATTCCAACATTCGACGCTCGGTGTCGAGTGCCAGTGGCGGTGCAGAGAGCTTCAGGAAGTATGGGAGTATTCGCCGGAATGTGTCTGTCTCGTCAAAGAATTCGCGCAACTCCAACAATGCGAGCCCTGCGACACCGACGTCACTGGGCGCCGTGGGAGTACATCGCAGCAACACGTTGCCCTCCAAGATGTCCCCCGCGATCCCTCCATCACGATATGGACGGGCGGTGGAAAACACAGGCGTGAACTCGTCGACGCGCACTTCTGCGCAACACTCCCGCTCATCTAGCCATGCGCCGCCGGAGGATAGGCCTCAGCCTGAGGTCCCTGAGACCAACGGCCAGCCCAGCCAAGCCCAGAATAACATTGCGCCGTCAATTACTCCCCCAAGCAATGGTCATCCCTCCATAACAGAAGTGGTTGAGCCGGGAACCGGAATCATCTATGTTCACTCGTCCACTCACGGGCCCGTACCAAAGACAGCCATCGAGAATGGAGTTCCCGATGCTGGAAAGCCTGTTTCTGAAAAGCCCATTGCCGACAAGCCCATGGTTGAACCGCCCGTGGCTGAAAACCCCATCGGTCAACAGCCCGTTGCCCAAAAGCCCGTTACCCAGCCGCCCATTGTTGAAAGGCTGGTGGCCGAAAGACCGATTCCGGAACGACCCATTGCAGAGGAGCCCAGTACCGAAAAACCCGTCGTTGACAAGCATCTCGGCGAAAGGCCCGTTCTCCGCGAAGGGTTGCCACCGATAGCAGCCTCACCTCCGCCAGCGGTCGTGACTCCAACGAGGGAACGCAAATTGTCCAGTCTATTCTCCAAGTCACCGCCACCGAGTGGTGAGCATAAAGACGCGCGACAGCCGAACCGTCTGAAGAAGAAGCGGATCCCTGGAAGCGCGAGCGAAAGCGCGCAAAGCTCATCTCAGTCGCTGCAGGCTGCGACCTCCGATACTGGGTTGGCCGCAATCCTACATGCGTCCCGCGGCGCTGACGTTAATAATGATGCCGGAGGGGCCACCCCCCGAGCCCCCAACACCACCAGTTCAGATGAGCTGAGTCCTCCGCGGGAGGGCCGGCCGGAAAGGCAGGTGTTGCCGAATGAGGGAGGACACCAGACTAGCGACACCACTCTGCGGCCGTATGGCTCGCGGACCCCGTCAATGAACTCTCGCTCGTCGTTTACGGACTACTCTGATGCCGACCCTGCTGATGACACGTCTCGAGCGGACCGCAAAGAGCATCGCCGCAGCTGGCGGTTCCCCCGGTCGTCCAAACGCAGCAACGAGCATATCGGACTTGGACTTGCATCGCCCCCACTCATGGCCACGACTCCAGGAGCCGATCGCAGCACCAGCTCGATTGGCAGCTGGCACCACTCCAGCCGTAGCTCCCCTTCGGACCTGCAGCAGTTTGCGAACGACCCGTCATATCAACCGCTTAGTCTAGACGCGGAGGTCAGCAACAACGGGGTGTCCAAGGAGGCGTCTCTCGCGGGGGAACCGGAAAAACGGAGCCTGTTTGGCAAATTCAAGGCCAAGGTTGCGCAGGTGCGGGATGGGGTCAAGGAGTCCACCGAGCGCGACCGCACCAGGAGTCCTGTGAACTCGGAGGCCGACCGGTCGGGGTCCAGCCATACACTGTCGCCTTCTGGCAAGGATAGTATCAGAAACCGGCCGGCCCCGATCGATGTGGTCAGCTATCCGAAAGAGGGTCAAGTGAGCTCCCCAGTCTCTCCTCTCCCCGGGGCCGGACTACCACCGGCAATTCCTGAGGAGCCACGAACGCCGGAGAGCCCGGTTGCGGTTCCCAGCCTGGACCAGAAGAAAGAGCCCGTCGCGGCCGTTCCAGCAGGATCGCCTCCGCCTGTAGAGAGCGAGGGCGTTGATTGCGGACCGGGGCCCGCTGTACCTTCATAGAATCCTTTTTAACCTTGTCTCTTTTGTTGTGGATTTTGGGTTACGGTCTGATGATCATCCGGAGAGATGAGACGGCATGATTCACGTCTGAGTGGCTTGAGGCCGCCCTGAGAATTGTCCGTTCTTGATGCTCGTTACGGGTCACGAATGATGTATGTATTGCTTGCTGGGAAGGCGTGCCATGTGTTTCAAATAGCCGGTGTAGATTTACGAAGAGCTGTACGGATAGCATACTTGATATGATCTTAGCAATGGTAGTACTGCCTGACCATTAATTCTGACACCTGAGGCACACACAAGCGCTAAAGCTACTAGCTTCATGCTCCGTGCAAACCATGCAAACAAAATCGTTCCTCTTCCGTCACCTCCGGCCTCCCCTAACCATTTATCCATCCGTCCATCCATCCATCCATCCTCGCCAACTCAATTCTTCTCCCCTCCCCTCGGCGCCATCGCCAACACCACCACAATGGCCTCCCCTCCCCCCTCCCCGCTGACCTCCCCCCTCGCCACCTCCGCCCCGGACCTCCCCAAATCCGCGCCCCCGGTCCCCATCCTCCCCAGCCAACTCGCGCGCATCTACTCATTCCTCCACCCGGCCGCTCTGCTCTCCGTCTATGCCGCCCGATTTCCCGCGCTCGTCGCAGACCCGGTCTCCGAAATGGCCCAGCAGCTTCCCATCCTGGCCGTCGCGCACGTCGTCTACGCCATGATCTGTCTCCCGCCTGCGGGGTCGGATGTCTCCCTGTCCGCACCGACCTCGCCTGCCGCGACGGCTTCGGGATCCGCAACAGCCACCGGAACAGCGACACCAACGGGGAATGTCATTCTTCGACCGGGAAAGGTTGGACGTCGTCGTACGAGGGATTCTGCTGCGGGTGGTGCGAGTGCCTGGGGGGCTAAGGTTGCGGTATGTTTATCCTCACACCTACCTACCTTACCCATATACCCTTTACATTCTTCCCCAGACTTAACTCTACTCGCCCATTCAAACAATGAAATTGACACTAACTATATAAAAAATGTAGCCCGCCCTCCTCTCCCTAACCCTCACGACCCTCCTCGCAACCCCCACCCTCGCCATCCTCCTCATCCTCTTCGGTGCCCCCTTCACCACCCACCACGTCCAGACCCTGCTTTGCGCCGCTCACATGGCGATTCTCTCCTCCACGGGACTGATCTACGTGCATGGTGTTGATGGCCCCGTTTGGAAGGAAGTCTGGGGATGTAAGAGACCCGGTGATGCGGTTTGGGGTGGTGCGCTCGGTACGGCGGTTGGGGCTTGGTTGGGCGCGGTGCCGATTCCGTTGGATTGGTAGGTTTATACCTTCTCTTTTCTCTGTCTTTTATTTGGTTTTCTGTTGGGAGGGGAGGAGAGGATGAGATGCTTCACTGGGGTGTTGTTGGGTATGTGCTAATTGGTGTAGGGACCGGCCGTGGCAGGCGTATCCGATTACGCTTCTAACGGGCGCGTATCTGGGGTTCGTGGGGGGTACTATGTTGGGACGGTCGGTGTTGTTTGGTAAGCGGGTGCGGTTTGATGAGGGTGAGGAGTCGAGGAACAAGGTTGATTAATTCATCACTGATTCAGTGGTTTATCTTCGTGGTTGGGGTATGCAAATGGTTACTTCTAATGTAGCATAGTTGATAATAATGTTCTATCAAGTCTACAGTGCAGCCGGTGCAAGGAGAAAAAAGAAAAGGAATGGTGGATATACAGGTCGCCTGCAGCCATTCATGCAACGCAATTTCATGCCGGATATCATCAGAACCACGCAGTAAGCAGAGCCTTTCAAGCAATAATGAATGGGTATGAGTGCAAGTGTCAAGTCGAGTCGTTAAGAGGGGAGAACCATGTTGTTCAACAACGGGATCATATCATCCCGCCCACTTCCACCCGTCGGGCCGATGGCCACCGCGGGTGGTATACATCTCCCTTCGGAGGCAGTTCCGGCCGCTCCTCCGAGTCGCTGTCGCCAGGGCAGAGCTTCTCCGTCGGCGCCGAATTGGTCGGGGACGGACCCAGGGCTTGACGCATGCGGATGATGTCTTGCGGGTCAATCGTCCGCACCGGGTGCATGGGCCCCATGGACTCCCGCGCCATTCGCGTCAGCTGCTCGACGTCCCCGCGGAGGCTGGACACCTGCTCCTCGAGCTGCCGGCGCGCGGACTGCTCCCGGCGCAGCAGCATCACCAGCGCGCTGTACTGCTCCACGGAGATGGCATTATTGCATTCGTGCAGGGAGGTGGAGGACGGCGCTTGCAGCGTCCGTGAGCGGTGAAGGTGGTTCGGGCGAAGTGTGCTCGTGCTGAGCGGGCGATCGGCGCCCGGCGACTTGGCATTCGGGGCCTCATCGCCTCCCGACGGCGACCGCGCCGACGACTGCTTGCGCTTGTGTCGGCTCGTGGTCGGTGATTTCTTCTGCCCCGATGTCTCGGCCGGCGTCTCGCTACGTCCACACTGCATCCGCGCGATCGCACACTCCAGGTCGATCAATTTCACCTCCAAGGTGGTTAGGCGCTGTTCCAGAGTCACATTTTCATCATGCTGTAGGGAATTGACAAGCGTCCCGACCATCGGGGGAATGTTTTCTTCCTGGACTTCCTCCTCATCCTCGTCCTCTTCGTCCGCCTCTTCTAGGAAGGACGGTTCCGTCGTCGGCTTCGGCGCACTGGCCACGGTAGTCCTTGTTGGGGGCCGTTCAGATGCGTCTACCTCGGAGGGCGCCCCAAAAGTTGTCGATCCAGCGTACGATTCGAGACTGCGTCGCCTCCACTGGATCGGAGACATCAGGTGATCCTTGGCCATACCGCGCAGAGCAGTCGCGCTGCGCGAGCGTCGTTTGATCTGCCGCACCTCTCGCCGTCGGGCCTCATCCGGATCACTGTTCGCATGAGGATTGTTGTCTCGCTTGCTGGTAGGACGGTCCGAGTTGACCACAGCCTCGAGCGCCCCGCGCGATTCGTCGTCCGAGAAGATCAAGCTGGGCAGGGTCGCTCGTCGGCGACGCGGGTGCGGTTCCAGTTTCTGCAAGGCCTCTTCCCACGATGTTACGGGTCCGGTCTCGTGCTGCAGTGGGCTGATTGATTTCCCGTTCAATGAGCCGGAGAGGGGAAGAGGTTTGTCGAAAGATCGGTCCGAACGCGGACTCTGGTTGCCGAAGCGGCCTGGGGCGGGATCTTCGTCCCCGTCCTCATGGCCTCGACTCTTGCGAGTGAAGATCTTCCGCATGACGGTCTTGAGAGTGCTGCCCGTCCGACGATGGGTGCTCGGCCCCCGGGCAATGGTAGTGGTCCCTGGCGAGTACTGTAGCGCGGTGACGGCGCGATTGTTGCCGCGGAGGCTGTTCGCGATCAGGGACGATTCGGAACCACGGGGAGGTCGACGCGTGCTGACGACCAGTTGTTTGGAACTCATGGGCGGCAAGGCAGTATCAAAGCATGGGTCTGCAGAGGTCGAGTCAGAGGTTGGAGGGTCGGCCAGATGACTCTGTGCGGAGCCACTGCGGGCTGTACTTAAGCTGGTGCCAGACATATCGGGATCCGGCTAGAGATGAAACATGCAGGCTGCAATCACGGCGGGGTCCAATCGCATCCACGCGCGACAGGGAGTACAAATATAGACAAATGAGCCGATCGGTAAGGACTGACACGAAACGCAAAGATAAGGAATGATTGGGTATAAGCAACAGCGCCGGTCCACCAGCTGAACGAGTAGGGTATCTAAGGTGCAAGGCTGGGAGCTGGCATCAGTAGGAGTCCACTGAGTGGGCGGTGGAGGGGACGCTGACCTTGGCAGTAAGCTCAAAACATGATCTATAGGCTGGCGGTGCTGGCGACGGAAGGAAGGGAAAAGTCAAAGGAGTCAGCACGAGGGAGGGAGGGAAGAGAGAGGAGGGGGGAAGCAAGCAAGCGGGGAGAGGAGGTAGTGGTGGTGTGATGTATGGTCAGTACTGTGTAGGAGAGAGGGAGGGAGAGAGAGAGGGAGCGCCGTGACTCGGGACTACTGGAGCATGAGGGCGTCACCGAAAAAGAGAAGAAGCGGAGTAGATGGGGAAGAAAGACGACAATTGGGCAATGGAAATAGGCATTCGCTAGTCCGACACGCAGTGAAGGAGGAGGGCAGCGCGCGGTCACGATCGGCAGCGATAATGGAGTTCTGGAGCAGAATACGGGAATCCCGCGAGCTTATCAAACAGGGGAGGAAAACTGGATCCTCAAAAAGAATGGACACTCCAGAGGGGGGAGCAATCAGAAGCGAGAGACCAACAACAACAACAACAACACAACAAGAAGGATTGACAAGATGACACACGACGCAGAATCATACGGGCATGGAGGGATGAAGGTGAGCAGGCTGCAGAGAAGATGAAAAGAAGGCCGGGGGAAAAGACCGGCCGGCCGGCCTGAAGTGGAGCCCCGAGCCTGGCGTTTCAGGCCAAGGCGCGTCAGGGGTATTTTTAGTTTCTTTCCTCCAGTACTCTGTACTATACACTGTATCCGTACAGTGTGCACAGTAATGTACTAGGTACGGAAGAAAAGACGCTGGTAACTTCAATGGTCTCCGATCGACCCTCCTGCCAACCGTGTCACCGGAATCGCACTATCAACATCCTCTGAATTTCAATCCTCCTCCTTCTCCTTCCATTCCCAATCCAGCCGCATGCCCGCGCCAACTCATCGCGATCCATGCGCTCCTTCGGCCCCATTGCCAACCCCTCCACTGCTCGGATATTCCCCTCTCGCCTCTGCTCGTCATTGGACCACGACTGCAATCCTCCGCCCTGAAACACGCCAAGTGGCCTTCCTCCGCTCCCGTTCTGAACCGATTAAGTTGTCCCATCAGACGCTCGGAACCGTTCGCTTGCAGGCATCACGGTCGCTCATCTCGAGTCGGGCAGAATCAGCGCCGCGAGGGCCGGCCAGCCCGCTCGTGGGATCTAGATCCTGCACTAATCGCCACGCCGCGCGCACGATCTTCCCCCTGGCCGTTTCGGGTGAGGGGCGTAAATCCATCGCGCCACATGGGAGCTAACTACGGGGCGTCGATAGTTGGGTGCGATCATGACATCTTTCGGATTCTTTGTCCTCGATTTCTGCTGTCTCTGCCTGTTGTGGTGATCCGCGTAGATAGCGCGCCGTTTGACCTCTCACCAGACTCGCTGCAAGGAACAAGCATGCAGGCGTAGCACGGGGCTGCCAATGGCCGTCCCGTCTGATTGCAGGACACCCAGCGTGAACTCCATGCCTAAGCAATGGGGATGCTTACAGCAACTCGCCCGCATCGGGATATCGCAAATCGGCGTGCTCCTCCAAAAACGCCATCCAGCGCTTAAGGAACCCACTGCCCCTGTGGAGAAAGGGTCACGTCAATCACCTGCGCTCTACGAAATGAGAGGGGTACTCACTTGCTAATCGTCTCCGAGTCACCGCAGATGCACAGATGCCGTTTCGGCCGCGTCATGGCCACTAATGCTGTCAGTCCATGCAGGCATCGGACTCCGCAGGGGTCCTACCGTTCAATCGACGCCGCTCTCCTAAGAATCCGACTTCGTGCTCACTGTTGCTGCGCACGAGACTGACCACAACGGCCTCCTTTTCACGACCTTGAAATCCATCTACGCTGCCCAGCTCCAGGCCTGGGTACTTCTCCCGCAACATCTGCGACAAGACGGCCAGCTGACCGTTATATGGCGTAATCACCGCAATGTCTTCCGGGTGTACGCCTGCATCTACCAAGGCGTCGACATGCCGGGCCACGACCAGGGCCTCCATTTCGTTGCTCTTGCTCTCCCCAAGGCGGGCTTTCTTACTGACATCCACGTCCTCTGTCTTCTCGGGGAAATCACCTCCCTGAGTATCCCAGAACACCACCGGTTCCTTGGTGTCATCGGTCTCCTCGACGTCGTACGGTAGATCTTTTAGGAGTCGCGCTTTGACAGCCTCTGCAGCCATCAATTTCGAGTCATATAACTCGTCCGACGGAAACTGCATAATCTGCTCATGCATTCGATACTGCGTCGTGAGCATCCGTTTAATTCCGGGCCCGTGCATCGACAGCAGTCGGTCGAACAGGGTTGTCTCGAGCGAGACATTCTCCAGCAACTCGACCCCGCTCTCTTTCTCTTTTTTCTCCTTCACCTTGGACTTTGAACTCTGCATTTGTTCCTTAGTAGACTTGACGGTAGGAGGCAGCTGGAGGTGATCACCAGCCAGAACCACCTTCGATGCCAACAACAGCGGGATCCAGCACTGTGCCTCCAGGGCCTGGCTCGCCTCGTCGATGATCACCACATCGAACTTCTGGCCCTTCAGCTGGTGTCCACCCGCTCCATGCAGCGTTGCCAGCACCACATCACTCTCGCGAACCAAGTTGTCCACACACTTGGACTCGCGCTCTCGGAACTCGCGCCGTAGCTCCCTGAGATCATCGTAGATAGCCCGTCGCTCCCGTGCGAACCTCGTCTTCCGGATACTAGCCTGCTTCTCATCGATCTCCTTCCGGACATCTCGAACGATGGCAGCAGCCTCCGACGTGTGGGTGAGCACTTCCAGGGAATGATCCAGGACAGATGGGAGCAACCGCGCGGGGTGCCCGATGCGCACCACGGGTACCTTCTTCGGCGCCAGTCTCTCGACGATATTGTCGACCGAGATATTCGACGGGCCGCACACCAACACGCGCATCTTCCTCTGCACCATCTGCAGGATCAGCTCAATCAGGGTATGCGTCTTTCCTGTACCAGGCGGGCCATGAATGAGCGCGATATCCCGCGACGCCAGCGCAAAGCGAATAGCCTCCTTTTGAGAGTCATTCAACGTAGGATCAGTAAACTCGACCGGGCCAACCGCATCGTAGTCGGGCAGCATGGGCGTGGTATGACCAAAGGCGACCCGCATGAAATGAGTATGCTCTGTTTCAGACATCTTGGCCATTCTCTCCATTGTCTGGTTCATCCTGCTCCCATTAGCCTCTCCATCAATCCTATGGATAGCCACTTACCGTCGAAACGTCACATCATTAGCAAGTTTAATCCTGCAATCGTCAGTCCATCCCAACCCCCCGAATCAAACACTCGAATCGAAAAAGAAACATACATCCAAACCTTCCTCCCCCACAACTCCTCCACCGCCTCATCCTCCCCACCCTTCGCCTTCCCTCCTCCACCACCACCCCCCTTCCCCCCAAAAGCCACCCAAACCGCACTCTCCCCCACTCTCGTCACCACCCCTTCCACCCCTCCACTCCCACTCCCATCCCCATCCCCCTTCCCTCCCTTCCCCTTCCCCTTCTCCTCCCCCCTCTTCCCCGTACCACCAACCTCCACAACCCTCACCACATCCCCAACCCTCAACCCATGCACCCCCAACCTCAACTTCCCATCCCCGTCCCCATCCCCGGTACTCTGCACCGCCGGGTCCGGGGCAAACTCCCCCACCGTGCGTCCTCCAAGGCCAGTCCGACACTGGTTCAGGATTATCCCGGTTAAGGCGTGGCCGGCGGCTTGGAGGGCGCGGCGGGTAGCAGGGGCGGCGAGGAGGGTCGCGCTGGTGGAGAAGAGTGTGGAGGAGGTGATTTCGGCGGATTGTTCGGTTTCGAGGAGGGATTGTTGCGTGATTGCGAAGGGGGGGATGGGGATGGGTTTGGTGGATGGGGTTGGGGGCATGGTTGTGGTGTGTGGTGTGGGCGGGGATTGAGCTGGGTTTGTTGTCGAGTTGGTGTGATTGCGGTTGTGATTGAAGGAGAGAAAGCGTGCTGATAAATGGAGTATATAACCTATCGGAAGATATGTAGATATGCAGTATGCGAGGTAAACCAGAATCGCTGTCACTATGCATTCAAACAAGTTGAAGAAGATAGACACAAATAAATAACTTCCGCGGGGAAGATCAGCGGGGATCCGTGACTTCATAGGCCCAAGCTAGCCACTGCACTGCCGCAGCTAACTAACTAACCAGCATGCACAACCCTGCTTACTCATCCCTACCTTTTATGCACTAAGTAGTTATATACTTCCCCTCATAGCCAGCCAGTCAATACAGTGAAGAAGTAAAAAACCATGAACAAGGAATATCGACACAGCCCCAGCAGTTAATATAATCTGAAAGAAATTCCACTCACCAATGAGAGGGATAAAAACCTGTTAAGGAATGAGGAAGTGGAGGACTTTCACTGACCAGGTGAAGAATATATTACGGGGGATCCGCACGGCGGGGGGGTTTCCTCTTTCTTGAGCTGGCACTTGCTGGCAGTCTGTCGGTGGATACACGACCATACAGGCGACTAAGCAGGGTGGCTGGGTTTGGTGCCCTAGTTTGAGATGATGTCGTTGAACAGAAGAGAACAAAGCATGGGATTAATTATTAGGTACATGAGACCGCCGGCGGCTGGTCGTTAATCGGCCTGCTCTTCGTGTTCAACTGTCATGCAGCCGTCGTCTCAGAGGACACGGTGAACCTTCCGCAGGAAGTTCTCCAATCCATACCTGAAACATCAGCCGCCTTGACACGATCACAGAGACGAGGCAATAACATGAAGAACAGATCGGGATATTATCAAATAGAACAGATAAGCTTTTCCGGTGAGTCCAGCAGGTGAACCCACGCAATAACTGCAACCCCTCGGATCAGCAGAGAACAGACGACGCAGCCAGACGACGCAGCCAGATAACCGCAGCAGATACCGCAGCAGAGAGCACACAAATACAACAACTGACAGATGCAGCAAGACAGCATCAGGCTGATCCTCGAAGGCTCTGTCTGCTGATGAATGGCATCCACGATCGTCGTCTTTCCACGGAAGTCAGTCCAAGGATAGCCGCTTCTACCTCTCTCTCAAACACATGGTCATCCACCAGGTACACCCGAAAGTCCCGCAACCCCTCCAGATCAGTGAATGCTAACAGCAGCTTACGCAGGTATTTCTTGCGGGCATCTTGCGAGTACGTGACGGCCCCCTTCAAGCCCAGATCCACAATCTTGATGGACAGGCGCGACAGGTCAAAGTGCTCCCGGATGAAGCGCCGCAGCACGGACCAAGAAAGCATCGTCGCCTCCTCGGATCGAGGTCCAGTCCGGGGAGCGCTCCGGTAGCACACGGGGAACTTGAATGACAGGTGCTGAATCATGAGCGTCGACGTCGTGGGGATATGGTGCAAGAAGCGCATCATGAAGTCTGGATCCTCCTCTACAAAGGCAAACTTGTTCTTGGTGAAGAAGATGCGACGGGCATTCTCATAGAATTCGTGGCTGACCAAGAAATACGGCAGGGGCGACGAAAAGCAGTTGCAGCTCGTGGAGAATGCGGTTTGGCGTGCATGGCAGAAGCACATGGCCCCGATAGGCGAGCAAGTCCCACAGCAGGTCAGGGAATGAAACATGGCGATCCGAGAACGCTTTCGGTCCTGGAAAGTGATGATCCCCGGTGAGCAGTCGGACGGCTGCAGGGTGTAATCGGAGCGATTGAGCAGGATCTCCTCGAGCACCATCAGCTGGATCTCTTTGGGGAGGCGGGTGAACGGAAACGGAGGCTTGTTGGGCAGATTATCCGTCAATCTCCACGCAGCTCGCTTGATCACCGGCCGGATATCGTCGTCCTGAGTGTGGCTGAGATGAAAGGCACAGTGGAGGAGAGCCGGGAAAGGATTCATCGTGCACATGAGCCGGCAAGCCACCTCGAGATCGCGGACCTTGCACTTCATACTAAAGTACCGCAAACTGGGCATCTGAGTCCGTGACAGGTTACAAAAGTCCACCCACATATTCAAGATCGTGCGGTGGACACCGGGGCCTAGCTTGAGGAACCGATTATCTCGAGGACCCAGATCCAGATGCAAGTATCTCATGTGCTGCATACCCCATTCCATCGAGGTGCGGAAAGTCACAAAGTCCGACTTGCTATACAACAGCATGCTGAAGCGGTTCTGGGCAAAGAACAGAGCACCCGCATCCCTGCGAAAAGCCTGGCACGACTGAAAGACCTCAATAGGCAATTTGGGATGGTCACAGGGCCCTTCGTAGAAGGACGTCCACGACGCAGTCCATCCCCCGCGGGGAGTCCGTTGCTCAAGGGGCCTGGAACAGAGGCCACGGTCCAGCTTGCTGCGAACCTGCTCGAACGAAATATTGATCAGACAAGGCCGCAGCAACCCCACGTATTCCAGGATCTTTTTCTTGACATTCTCCGGCAAGTCCACAAACAAGGTCGGACCCCTCTGTGAGACGTCCATGGGGGAGATCTCCAAATCCATGTCTGCACTGGTGTAGGGAGTACTGAAAGCTGACACCCAACTATCGTCTTCTGAATCACCCGAGTCCATATGAAACTGCACGGAACGCCATAAGAGCGCAAGAGTTAGCACCTGCCAGGTTGTCAAGGGGACCGAATAATTCTAGGAAGTGGGGACGCACGCGTGACAAGTGAGGGGATTAAGACTTCACGTCCGAGAGGTTCATACGATTGTAAGGTGTTAAACGGACATCCCCGTCACCCGCAATCCCATATCGAACGCTACCGAAGGCCTCACAATAGTCGATAGAAGACCGGCAACCGATGAACGAGGATGGGGGGACACTACGGGGCCAATTTAAAAGAAGGGAATAAAGGGAAGGAAGACGGGGTGCAGTGAGCCATCGGCGGGGATGGCAAACCGGTCAATTGAAACAAACACCGAGCTGTGAAGGGCCATGCCTTGGGCATTCAAGCGACGTGCAGGATTTACTCTTCCTCCACCTTCACCTTCACCACCGGTCCATCGGAACTGTCCCCACCGGCTACTTCCTCCTTCACAGTGATTGTGTTTCGCTTTTTTGACACTAGTCCCCTGATCTCGCTCTTACAAAGTTTGGTCCCTGCGAGGTCGCATTCCCCGCATCTCCGAGCTACTGGTAAGCAGACCGTCTGACCCAGCCCGACCAGTAGCTTGTTAATCTCATGCCATTTGTCTTTCGGTAGCCATGACTCCAACGCCATGCGCGTTTCTTCCGGGTTCTTCGTCTTGTGCCAGCCCCAGAGATTGGTAATGCGGTGGACGTGGACATCAACGCCGATGCCGTCGTGTTTGCCCCATGCCGCGCTCATGCAGAGAAACGCCATCTTCGGGCCGACTCCGGGAAGCGTCATCAGCTCAGGGGCAGTAGAAGGGATATCCGAGTCATACTGATCGCGGAGAATGAGAGCGGCGGCCTTGATATATTTGGTCTTGTTGTTGTGGAAGCCCACTGTGCGAATCAGCTCGTTGAGACGTTCCGGGGCCACGGCCAGGATGTTTTCCAGGTTCAGAGTGCTGTCTTTGACCTGCTCTGTTGGCTTCCAGTCGTACTCGCCGGGTTCTTTCTTCACATTCGTCGCTGCTTGGTCACCCAGTTCAGTGTGTAGCCGCTGCATGGCAACGGCCGTGACGGTGTCCTTGGTCTGAGAGGATAGCATGAGCGCGATCAGGGTCTGAAACCGACGGTCCCGAGGAGACGACGCGCGCCAGTAGAGTTCGGCACATCCCATGGTGTCGACCGGAGCCGTGGGGTTCTCCTCTCGCATCTTCTTGACCATATTATACATGGTCTCCCAGTTCGAAGGCGGTTCTACTGTGTCGCCACCCTCGCGTTTGATTTTTCGCGCAGGGGCCCGACGCGCACGAACAGGCTTTTTGCCTGGCTCTTCTTTGACAGGAGTGTCGGTTTTCACGGATGTCTCAGTTTTGATAGGTGCTTCACTGCCGAGCCTCTCAGTTTTGACAGGAGTTTCCGATGCCTCGGTTTTGATGGGCGTCTCGGCTTCTGCAGGCGTCTCCGCTTTGACAGATGCCTCAGCTTTGACAGACTTTTCTTTTTGTTTCTCAGTTTTGATGCGCGTCTCCGATTTGACAGGCGTCTCTGTTTTCATAGGCCTCTCAGCTACCCGTCGAGACGAGCGCGTCCCTGTCCGTGTCGAAGGGCCGGCTAATGCGCTTTTGCGGCGCTTCGCTGGCGGCTCCAGGATATCTTCGATATCGACCGTAGGCACAGACGAGAGTGAAGAAGTATCATCATCACTAAATGCATCCACCGCAGGACCACTGCCTGCATTGTAGGAGAAAGACCTGAGCAGATTGAGTGCCTGGGAGCGAGTCTGGCGTCGCGCAGGGGGCGACAAAGCCTGCAGGACCTTGGCGGTATCCTTGGATGCTCGAGAAGTGCGCATTGTATTGGCCTAATGTAAAAAGAAGCCTGTAGAGTATAGACGTCTTCACATGAAACTCCCCCGGATCGACGAAGAAGGGCCGGTAGGAAGGGGGGAATTAGGGATTACAACATGGCAGAGCCCAGACCGCGGGAAGACGGCGCCGACTGACGCCGACCCACCGCTGTTGAGCCTCGGCTGCCAGCCTCCAGCCACCTCGATCCTACTATCATTCCAGTGTCATCTCTATCAATCACTCCGTCACTCAGTCTCTACTCTCTAGATATACATCCATCGCCCCTCACCTTATCCACATTCCACCCACTCCAACACACCCATGGCCTCATCCTCCACGACACACCGTCTCCTCCGCGAACTCAAAGACTACACCAACTCCCCCAACGAAGCCCTCCTCCATCTCGGCCCGGTAGACGAAGATGATCTCCTCCACTGGGAAGCCGTCCTAAAAGGCGTAAAAGGCACCCCCTACGAAGGTACCCCCATCCTTCCCCCAACCCTTACCCCCCATTCCCCTCCCCACCAACCAAAACCCGATTCTAACCAAACCACCCATTCGAAACACAGGCGGTCTCTGGTCCCTCCAAATCCTCATCCCGGCAAACTACCCCCTCTCGCCCCCCACCATAAAATTCAAAACGCGAATCAGCCACCCCAACATCTCCTTCACGACGGGGGAAATCTGTCTCACGTTATTGACCACCGAGCATTGGAGTCCCGTGTATACGTTGTCGAGTACCTTGACGGCGATTCATCAGCTGTTGACGGATCCGAGACCTGATTCGCCGCTCAATGTGGATGTTGCGGCGTTGTTGAGGGATGGGGATTTGGTGGGGTGGGAGAGTTTGGTTAGGTTTTGGACGGGGGAGGAGAGGTGGGTGCCTCATTCTACATAGTTATTTGTTTTTCTGGAAGGGGGGTTGGGGGAGGGGGAAAAGGAGGTTGTGATAGATGAATACCCTTGTGAGAATATTGTTCTTGTTCAGTTGGTGGGTTTGTTTGTAGGTGGATAGGAATATCGTGAGTATAGTTCATGATACGGAGTATTGTTAACTCCACAGTAGCTATTTAGCTTTTCATAGATCTAATATGCACACGCTTAATATGTATATGTCCGTCATCCGACGGAAAGGAGAGACATGTCACGGATCATCGGAGATCTGTCAACCGGGCCGGATAATAAAACACCCAAATATCATGCAGCGCTTCAAGGAGAGACAATTGTTGGACGCCGGAAACATGCTTGTTGCTTGCTCAAGGATCGTGAGTGAGGTATCATAAAACATGATGAAATGTGATAAACGCCATAAATGCACGCGATAAAATATTGCAGTTGGGCCTACAGAGCCATGGCCACCATGGCGGCTCCGCCCATCATCAGGAACAGCTCCCGTCCGAGTCCGTTGTTGGATGCAGCAGAATCGGTTTGCAGTCCCGGAGATGCCTTGGTGCCGGTAGCCACCTCCCGGGAGGTTTCGGTGGGGTGCACGACCGTCACGGCAGTCACAGTGCTCAGCTGACCGTTGGGCAGAGTGGTGGTGGTCTTGTAGGTGGATGTGTAGGGTGTGGTCGCCTCGCTGGTCGTAGAGCTGCTGGTGGTTTGCTCTGTCGAGGTAGTAGTCTGCCTGGTCGTCGTCTGCGAGGTCGACGAAGATGTAGACGTAGACGAGGTGGAAGAGGAGCTCGAAGATGTGGTGGTTGTCGACACAGTCGAGGTCGTGGAAGAAGCTGTCGTCGTGTGAGATGAGGACGTAGACGAAGATGAAGTGGAGGAAGTAGAAGAAGTAGATGAGGCAGAAGGAACACTGGAGGTGGAAGACGAGGACGAGGACGAGGAGGACGAAGACGACACCGTTGACGTGGAGGACGTCGACGAGGTGGAGGAGGTGGTGGAGGTGGTGGCAGGAGAGGACGTGGACGGAGAGCTAGACTCACTGCTACTAGAGCTAGACTCACTGCTGCTAGAGCTGGATTCACGGCTGCTAGAGCTCGATGTGGTCTGCACGGCGGTCGTATGCGCGGTCGTGGGGGCGGCAGTGGTCGGAGCAGCAGTGGTTGCAGCAGATGTAGTCGCCTCGGCGCTGCTGGCAGAGCTCTCGGCCTGACTGGTAGTGGCGGCAGCTGCTGTAGTCGATGCAGGTTCCGTGGCCTGGCTGGTCTCTGCAGCAGTGGTCGCATTGCTCACTTGTCTCTTGACGAGGTTGAGATGTTCCGCAAGCGCAGGTTCCTTCTCGTAGGCTTGCACGGCCTCATCATCGGTACGAAACACGCCATGGCGAAACTTGTCAAACAGATGCAGCGCTTTGTGAATGGGGTTCTCCTCGAAGCTGTTGAGATACTGGCTGAAAGTGGTGTCGCTGGCGACCGAGTGGGATTGAGATTCGGACTGATCAGCAGTTGGCGCTGCGATTGCAGACGAGGCGATCAGAGATAAGAGAAGTAGATGAAACAGGCGAGTAGTGAACGCCATGGCGCTGATTGGGATCTGATCGGATGAGACTCGGTACGGCGTAAAAAACCTCAGGGGAGAGAAGAGGGAAGGTTGCGAGGAAAAGGAGGTGCCTATAGTTTTAACACCGGAATTGGCAACGGTCAGGTGAGACGAGACGATGAAGGACGAAAGAGGAAGAGTCCGACGGAAGATGGCGGGAGTGGCTCCTGATAAAGTGGCCAGCTAGTGAAGGAACTGGATGATGGCTGAGCTGCAGGCGGGCTGAAAGAGAGACCGAGAGAGACTAAAAGTAGTAACTGGTTGCCTGTCGACTAAATACAAACCCAAACCCCGAGGCTAAACGGTTCCAGTGGGCAAAAACAAGGCACTGATGGCCGGCCTGGCTCGCCTTGGCAGGTCCGAGTGGATCGCGGCTGGAAATCCACTAGAAGAAAAAACTCCTCGATGCAATTAATAGTACGCCGTCGTCCCGGGGGTTTTTGTCCCTGGTTCCCTGGTTTCCGAGGATCGAGGGTTCACACCCTCTCCAAGTCTCACGAGTCACCACGGTGGCACCCACAGACGGACAATGGCCGTCGGGAACAACACAGCAGCAGCAGCAAGCCTGAACCTTGATGGAAGCTACGGATATCGCTACCAGTGGAGAGAGTCCGCCCCATACGAGAGAGGGGCTAACGTCAGCATCAGACACAGCCCATGCGCACCAGGTCGGTTCCAGAATAGCCTGGACGGCGCCGGGCCAGCGATGCGCCCTAGTCTGCAGCCTGAATGCACCTAGGAGGTTAGATACATCGGTGTGGTGGTGGCCATGTCAGATGTATACAACCTTTGCCAGAGTGAGGGGTAAGACGAACGGAAATGTCAATCCGGTCGTCAGTGTTTCACTTTCAGTTGGGGGGAAAAAAGGCAAAAAAAGTAATGTGGAAAAAGTTAAAAATTCAACACACTCCGGGAAGTTGCCGAACGCCGATAAGAAAATCAGGGTGAATCATGACGCCACCGTGAAATCAGCATCGATGTTTTCTCCCTCCAGAGGCCCATTCAAGGCAATATTTCTCCTTATGTAGCGGCTCCAGGAAATTAGGATAGACGCGACTACTTGACAAAGTGCGGAGCACATACAATCGGACATTGTGGCATGTACTATTGATGGGCTGATAACAGCAAGGTACCGAATGCGACGTGGTCCGTTCCTCGGCCACCGTCTCCTCACTATTGGCAACCATTGACTGACTCCTATCCAGGGGAGTGGTCATTGTTCCCTGGATTCCTCCTCGCGTTCCTGGCTTCAACTCGATTCAATTCGATTCTCCGTCCCCGGCAACATCCCCATCACTGCATCCGTTCACGGACAAAGGCATGATGATTGATGAGTCGCAGAAGGTCCTGTCACAACTGCCCGGTTTGCGAGCCCGCCGCATCCGGTCAAGCGTCGGAGGGGCTTAGCTTCGATTAGGCACCGCGCTAGTCCCGACCCGGCTAGGAACACCGGATCTGGATCTGCTATTCTTGGCTCTGGTGGGGTTACATCAGGATTCTATTGGCTTTGATTGCACAGTGAGGCGAGAGCTAGACTGGAGCTGGATTAGCTCCCCTATCCTGGTTCATCTGCTTCAGGCAGAATCGAGCTTCAACTGAGCTGCATGGGAGGCCTAAGACACCTTACCATCAATGATTAACTAATATAATTAGCTCGCCTATCAAACCATCACAGCTATACTCCGTACAGCAGGACCCAACTAAGCAACTGAAGAAAGGTAAGAGCTACCCATGCAGTCGTACAAATAAAAATGATACGACGTGGCTAATCCCACCATTGGCTACTATAATTATCCCCCGCCTTGCAACCACACCAAGTACGACGGATGGATCATCCTCGCATCGACCTAAATATAACCTCGGTCGGCCTAGACAATGTCTCACCATGACCAGTCGGCAGCTTACATGTGACGTCGGCTCGGTACTCAGTCCCTTCGTATTCCAAGACACTTAGCCTCAATATCCGAGATACGGTGCCATATCTATCCCAGGGAAATGGCTACAGTCTACCGAGGACCTACGGAAAACATTCAACGTAGTAATCTAATTAAAGTATAGAATATAAAGTATATTCAACAACAAACTTTATCATAATTCACGACCGTTTCCCCGCAATCCAACGGTACCTCCACATCCCGCCAACTGACAACTGACACCTAGATGAATATGACGGGTGTTTCAGACTCCCTACAAGCTTGGTTTCAGCAGGAGTATTATTCGTTCCACTTGCTTTTTCACAATGACCTATCCCAATCACCAGATGATACCTATCATCTTTATATCTTTCGGTGAAACTTTTGATCACAGGGAAGGCGTTGAGACGTTGGGATATATGCGAGTTGCATTTCTGGGCGGAATCTTAATTTGAGGTTTGTTGTAGAGTCGGTATTTAAGTTTGGGTTGGGTGCGAAGCATAAAATGAAGGGAGAGGTGTGGATGAGACTGATGGTAAGTAGGTTCACTATACTAGTGTAGAACTGTATCACTTATCGTTTGGGTTGCAGGAAGTTTACAAAGAGATGACTATCGAGAGAACCTGTGGAGAGCTGCGATTCATCTGACAATGTACCAGATTTTGAAAGTTGAAGTGAGGTTCGGAAATTTGGGCATGAACATAAACTGTTACGGATGGTTGAAGGCGAGGTGATATCCATGGCGCAATACCGCCAAGGATGTAGTGCTGTCAAAACAGCAATGCACAGCGAAATGGGTACCATGCATAGTAGCCTCTATTGGTTTAATAAAGTTTCCCTAACACAATAGGTGGGTTGGGCAGAACACCATTATGGGTGCACCAATAGTGTGTTCTGAGAAGCCCGGGTTGCTCGTTAGAAATTTCCATATGCCATGTTCCCAAGTGAGACCATGGCCACTCCTCAACACATGAGTTGACCGACCGGACAGCTAATTAACCGCTCCTGAGCCGAGTAACACCCTACACACGCGATATCATATCAACCACTTGAGCGCGGAGTCCTAACGTGATGCCTACTTCCTCTCGAACAAGCCCATCCATGCCCCCCATCTGGCAACTTTGCCCTCTACAGCGTGTGCCATTTCTTCCACCGTTGCCGGGGAGCTAAGAGTACTCTGGTCGATCGTGCCATTCAGCGCCACCAGTTCGAAAAAGTATCGGTGCGGACCTTGCCCGCGAGGTGCATTGGGTGCGAGGTATACGCTGCCTCCACGGTTCTACCCATATTTGAATCCACCCCAGAGCATGTATGGCTGGCCTCGAGTGTTATCGACCTCGAAATCCGGATGCTGAAGCCCAGTGAACACTCGGGGGATCACGTAGTACAGGCCGTGGACGACAGCAACCGGAAACGCCGCGTCAGGATCCTCGCTGATGAGAAGGTATTCCTTGGTATCTTCGGTCGGAGATGGCCACGATAGAGCTGGGAAGTATCCTGCACCCTCTTGAGTGTGAGCACGGTCAAGATATGATCCAGATGGCCCAAGCTCGGTGCACTGAATGGGGATCGTGGGGTATGGGTGGTCGACGAATACTGGCTGGTCCGTAAAGAGCTTCTCATACTGGCACTGGACGGTGCCGAGAAGCAGGGCCAGGCTAAGAGTACACGCGAAGTAATGCATCTGATGCAAGGTTAGCATATGAAAGAGGAATGGAGGACGAAGATTCTGAAGCTGCACACACCTCAATAAGCACAACGGCACCAACGAGTTTGTAGCTGGGATCAGATGGGTAGTAACAGATGTGGTTGTTTTGGTGCTCTCCTGGACAGCATTGCGACTATATACTATTGATGGCCATATGTTTTGAGGCAGGGGCCAACGACGGAAGGAGCCATCCTGAGCATAATTGTTGCACCTATCTGTGGTTCCTAGGTTCGATGACCTTTTGACGCTGCCAGTTTCTACTCCTTGAAAGAAATTTGACCCCAGGTAGCATTGAGACAGATCGAACAATAGGATCTGTTTGTTTCCGCAAGATCACATTATCCCAGTATCCAGAATGTGTCACTCTGATGTAGATTCTGTCGGGCTCTTGATCACTTTCACTTCATTGAGGGAAAGCCCAAACCTCCGTTCATAGCCGCACGATGTAATCGAGGACCAAGGTTTATTATATCCAAGTCTTGGGGGCTTCTCCTAAGCTCGGAGCATTTTTAGTGCCGACAGGAAGCTATCAATCTCATGAAACTGCTCACTTTGACAGAGGAAATTTCAAAACCTCCGTCTATCAATGGAAGAATATTTCCGATATTGACATCTGTAAATGTGCTGGTAGAGTCACAGACTCTGGATTAGGCAGAGAAACAAGAGTATCCAGCTGCATCTCAAAATTCTATTTGATTGCGATGGGGTAGCTAGGACCGTATGGTAGCGGAACCTACTTGTACTGCCCGTGAATAAATACTACTTTCAGCAATGAAGACGAGGATGGCATGAGCATCCTTGATTGCTGTAGAAGAGATCGATGCACTCCTTCACTGAAACAAAGGTAAATATTTTGGGCTAGAGTAGGGCCCTATTGAGGTGTCGGAACTACTCTCCAATTTGACAAAGATGCTTCTGATGTATTGCCGACGCGGGCATAGAGGGCACTTGGAGTGGGTAAAGGCTGTATACCAGCATCTCGTGTGATGTCTTATCCAGTCGAACAATTTAAGCCACGCTCCGTATTTCATTGAATTGCTGCCTAGTCCTTAGTGCTGGTATATCGCTTTCATATTCGTGACTGTGGGTACTCAAGAAAATCTAGACTCCTCGGTTCCCTACTTCCCAAGTCTAGGCGTGCCCTTCCATTTGAGTAATTTTATAGGGTCTGATGTCGGAACTGTCGCGTCAATCGGCGGATTACACTGGCGAAAATAGGAGTATAAGCAGCTTATGAGAATCAAGGTTGCTACTACGTCTCCCAACTTGCTGTGTAATGTTGATCTGGAGAAATCCCCCGACCTTCTGCCTGAGGACGGGAGTTGTGCGACTGCCAAGAGTCTCGGCCCGGTTGGACTGAGGCAGCCAAGAGGAGGTCGCTTGCAGACTCGGCTGCCTATGAAGTAGTTCGAAGTCTCCAACCTTCACATGCTTGCCTGTTACGGATCAAACAGGGAGGTGGAGTTGAGTGGGTGTTGAAACATACCTCTTGCGGTTGGAGTAACAGTCGCTCTCCTTCAGGAAGGTCGGAAGAAAGGGCAGCAGCAGCCGCCGCGCTGAGTTGTTCTGGCGGGGCCCACGGAATCCGTGCGTTGACGTCAGCACCCTATTTTTGGTGAGACATGGACTGGGCGAAAGTGAAAGCAAGTCTGCCATGGTTGAGATGTGTGCGATAATGCAGGGTCTTCAAGCAACTACGGAGGTTAATATTCCTCATGAAGTATACAGCGTAGGCTTTGGTTATGTGCCATGTCAGCCGTCGCTGCTACGACCATACTATATGTACTATCTGTCGAGTAGTACTCAAAAGCCGTATTGTTTGAGACAGATTTCATTGCAGACCAACTTTATCTCTGTCGGGTTGAATTTCACTCGGTGCCCAAGTAAGGGAGTGTTATGTTAACGCACTGCGCCCATACGATCAAATTTCGTTTTTACAATCTGACCTGATATCTGCAGCGAGTGCATGTACTTTGTGTGCTGGCATCAATGTCTCAGTTGAAGGCACATGTGGGAGTCTGCGCTCTTGGCCGAGCCGAAGTTGCCCAATCCAAGGGCGATATTCCTGCTGGCGGCGATAACTATACTGTAAGTAGCGTTGTGCTCACCTTGGCACTACACAATGTCTGTTGCCTGTTGCCGCTGCTGTGAGTGCGCGTCAAGACTCAGAATAGTAGAGACAAATCCGAGCCATGTTCGCGGTGAAATAATGAAACAGTTCGATAATGAATTGGTTTTCCTCGGGAACCTTGAGGAAACTGATCTTCAGGGCACGGCAGGGAGCGGGAAGATGAGTTTACCTCCTTTTCCGGACTGTGCCTTGCTTTTTTACGTGAAGGGTTGGCATAGATAATAGACTCCAGTGACGCGTAAGTACCAAGTAAATAGTCTCCTCGTGTTGACGAGACAGGAGACTCCCCTATATACCGTGACTACAGTATCTTGAAGTCTAAATGTATCGACGATACCCCGTACGGTAACCCGGGCCTCCAGAGTACTACCAGGGACCCTTCCAGGGACCATCCAGGGCCATTCAGGGCCATCCAGGGACTTTCAGGGACTGGCCCCACTCCCACTCTTGGCTGGTCGGGGCCCCACCGGGAGGGTCGAAAGAAGGCATCTTCATCGCCCATTCTTTGTGTCCGGCCGCCATCCTCCCTTGGCTTGCATTCTCATTTGCCCCGTGGACGAAAAGTGTCCACTGCCTCAATTAATCGGCCGGGCCTAGTAGGGGTCCTGACCCTGGAAAGTGGCCACCGCAGCCTTTCATCGGCGGCTTGGCCTGGCGTTAGACCCTTTGCGTCCCCAGGCGATCGGACGATCTGAATGGCGAATGCGCTCGGATTTCCGCTGACTTCCTTCCGCTGAGCAGTTTGGGATGGCATGGATGACCATCCCATTGGTCCGCTTGTCTTGCCATGCCGTCAGACAATTTACCACACATACCTTGGCTGCTTTCAGACGTAATGTTTGTTTCTTGGTTTTGCTGGCGGGACCAGTGAGACCCTGACGGATTTACCCATCGCTGCATCCTGATTGATCCGGCAGCGGAATTGGAGGTAATTTACCCCAGTTACCACCTGTTGCAGAGCAATCATTGTCAGCCACTATTCAATGCCGTGCCCCAGTCCCTCAGGGATGGTTGGCTTGCTTTAAGGCGTGTACCACCCCTTCCATTCTTCTCGGCCTGGATCTGCTCCTTCCTCCCCCTTCACCCGTTCCGCCTCCTCTCTCCTCCTTTCTCCTGCATACTTCAGGTCATTCTTCAGTCACTCGTTCAACCTCGTCTCGTCTTTCGCTTCTGCTCCTCTTCGAATCTTCCTATATCCGGCACCGTTTTTAATCTCTCCCAACCATACGGAGTATCTGTTCGCTGATCTAGCTAACGGGCTCTGACATTCGTTTCTTTACTATTTGTCTTCTCTCCCTGCACATATTCGGCTTCTTGCTACCTTCACTATGAAGGGCTCTGCTGTCGCCACAGCCCTCACCCTCGGTGCTTCCACCGTTCTCGCTGCGCCGTCCATCAAGGCCCGCGACGATGTCACCGCTATCACTGTCAAGGGCAACGCTTTCTTCAAGGGTGACGACCGATTCTATATTCGCGGTGTTGACTATCAGCCTGGTGGTTCCTCGAAACTGGCCGACCCCATTGCCGACGCGGACGGCTGCAAGCGCGACATCAAAAAGTTCACCGAGCTCGGGCTGAACACCATCCGTGTTTATTCGGTGGATAACTCCCAGGATCATGATGAATGTATGAACGCTCTGGCGGATGCTGGCATCTACCTGGTCCTCGATGTCAACACGCCCAAGTATTCGCTCAACCGTGCCGATCCCGCTCCATCATATAACGATGTGTACCTGCAATACATCTTCGCTACCGTTGACAAGTTCGCTAACTACAAGAACACCCTCGCTTTCTTTTCGGGTAACGAGGTCATCAACGATGGCCCTTCCTCCAAGGCTGCACCTTATGTTAAGGCCGTCACACGTGATCTCCGCCAGTATATCCGTAGCCGCAACTACCGTGAGATCCCTGTGGGATACTCGGCTGTAAGTTGACAAAGCGTTGCTAAAACCATTAAATGACGTACTAATGTGATATCGCTCGTCCAGGCCGACATTGACACCAACCGTCTCCAGATGGCCGAGTATATGAACTGCGGTTCTGACGACGAGCGCAGCGACTTCTTCGCTTTCAACGACTACTCCTGGTGTGACCCGTCTTCCTTCACCACCTCGGGCTGGGACCAGAAGGTCAAGAACTTCACTGGATACGGTCTGCCTCTTTTCCTCTCGGAATACGGTTGCAACACCAACAAGCGTGAGTTTGAGGAGGTCAGCGCCTTGTACAACACCGAGATGACCGGGGTCTACTCGGGTGGTTTGGTGTACGAGTACTCCCAGGAAGCTAGCAACTACGGACTGGTGGAGATCAGCGGGACCGATGTCAAGACCCTCTCCGACTACGATGCTCTGAAGTCTGCCTTCTCCAAGACCAGCAACCCCCAGGGTGACGGCGGCTACAACCAGACGGGTGGCGCCAACCCTTGCCCTGCCAAGGATTCTCCCAACTGGGATGTGGATGGGGATTCCCTTCCCGCCATTCCGGAACCCGCGAAGAAGTACATGACTGAGGGTGCTGGCAAGGCCCCTGGCTTTTCCGGTTCTGGTAGTATGAACGCCGGCACTGCGTCCACCAGCACCGCCACTCCCGGATCGGGCTCTGCCACCTCTTCCAGCTCCAGCTCGGGCTCCGGGTCGAGTGGAACGTCGACGAGCTCCACGGGTGCTGCTGCTGGACTGCAGGCTCCAGCCCTGACCATGACCCCTGTGCTGGTGGGACTGGTGACGGTCCTGTCCACCATGTTCGGAGCTGGCCTGATCCTTGTGTGAGGGCTGTCTTGTCATTCTATTATTTTAGTCTGTTGTTTTTTTTTCCCGTTTTCGTCCATGCCTTGTGCCCCGTTTCTTCCGGATTCGGCTTCCTGACGAGTGGGTCATGGAGCCAGCAGCATATGAAATCTGTACAGTTGGTTGGTACATCATTAGCCTGTGATTATTAAGTGTAGAGTAGTAATGGAATGCATCCAGGTACCAGCCGTCGCTCAACGGGCGTCTCCTGCTTCGGTGTAGTAATAATAACACTTGCTGGCTTTCCTCTTTGGCCGGGGACCCACTCGGTGCGGACCGGATATTCCTCCGGGGGTCCAACTGCAAACAAATAGATTGCCCCCCCTGTTGTTCTGACACTCTGCTTGTCTCAGGTCGCCGCCGGAGGATCCAGACTTTCCCCATCCGTCCCAGTCGTTTCTGTGGCAGTCGGGCCTGCAACTGACCCAACATCATGCCAGCGTTGTCCCATCTGGCAGCTTATCCCTGACTGCTGGTCGGTGAGTTGTGTCTGGTCCCTGATGAAAGCACGCTCGATAGTCCGCAAGCCCCTCCTCGAGCCCCTGGAGCCCCTCCGCTGACCCGCGACTGCTTCCATTTCTAGGCGTCTAGTTCTTCTCGGCGCGTGGGTTCCGGATATTATGTGTGCCTTGGCGGCCCTTCCAGTCCCTCCCAGAGTCTCAGGTTCTCCAATGCCTTGCAGAACCCCTCTAGCGCCGAGTCGGTTTTAGTGGACCCGAGCTCGCTCGGGGGTTGACTCTGGCACCATCTCCAATCTTCCAAGACCTCACGAGGCCAATAGGCGCGGCGGGTTTAGTGAGCAATCCACTGCGGCGCGAACTTCACGGAGTCCTTGTTTTGTCTATATAGGCTTGGCTTCGATAGAGCACCACCGCGCCATCACGGTCAAACCACCGCCGCCGTTTTGTGAAACTCGTGCTGTTTAGTCGGGCTTGGCATGTCCCACTGCCTGGGAAGGCGTGAAGATAAACTAGTCCCGCCGGAAATTGCTTATCTTGCCTCGAGCCACTGACAGCTGCTTCTCACGCCCATTATGCCCTCGGCCAGAAGCCCTTGGACGTTAGAAGGGTGGGCATGCTGCCAGCAGAGTCCACTCTTCAATCTCTTCAATGCATTAGTCGCGACCTCCGCCCGCCCTTCAATAATCACCGTTCCTTCTCCGCTGCCCTGACATGGCGGCGGACCGTCCCCACGCTCTTCTGGCGACTTTCTATATGAATGGCAGCCATCGCCGCAATGGCTCTCTCTCCGGCCTCCAACCTTCACTTCACTCTTTCTTGTTGGGTTCATTCTTTTCGGGCTTTTTTATTTGCCGCCATTCTTTTTTCTTGGGGTTGCTGCTGGGCCAGCTTGACCACCCTTCCACTCACTCCTTTGATCTTTCTATCTTCCTTCGTGGCCTACTTCAGTTTTGCTTTTTTCTGCATTTCGGGTAAATCCAGGAAAAGATGCGTTCCCTTCTCCTCAGCGGTGCGGCCGCTCTGAGCTTCGCTTTGGGCGTGTCTGCCAACGCCTACAACACTTCCGCCTACACCGATTCGGCAACTGGGATTGAATTCCAGAGATGGTGTGACACCGACGACACGGGTTTCTGTTTCGGCATTGCCCTCCCCGAGGATGTCGACACCGACTTCATCGGTCAGCTGACGGTCCCCCTTTCCAGCTCGGCCGGATGGGGTGGTGTGAGTATGTCGGGCTCCATGACCAACGTCCTCTTGATTGCCGCCTGGCCCAATGGTGACGATGTCGTCGGCACCCTGCGTGAGGCCACATCCTATACCTCCCCAGCCGTCTACAGCGGTGATGCCTCCCTTGAGGAGATTCCCGATGGAACCTCCGTGAACAGCACTACTCTCACCTACACTTTCCTGTGCAAGGGCTGCATCATCGGCGACCCTACCACCTTCTCCGCTGACGACAGCAGCTACTACTTCGGCTGGGCTCTCAGTGCTACCAACCCGACCACTCCTTCCTCCGCCTCGTCCAAGATGCCTTACCACGCTGCCGGCTATGGTGGCTTCGAAGTGCAGCTTGCTGCGGCCCAGTCGTCCGAGTATTCCACCTGGGCCGCCAAGGCTGTCACCGCCACGACCACCACCGCTTCGACTGCCTCTTCGGCGTCGGCTAGTGCGTCGGTCTCTGCGTCGGCCAGCGTCGTTGCCACGGTTTCGAACACGACCTACGATTACATTGTGGTTGGTGGTGGTGCTGCCGGTCTTGTTGCCGCGGAGCGCCTGGTGGAGACCAACAAGAAGGTCCTGCTCATTGAGCGTGGTGTGGCTCCTACCGTCGAGCTGGGTGCCACTGATTCCCTGTCGTGGAACTCCTCGTTGACCGCGTACGATGTGCCCGCCTTGGGCACCTATATCCAGGGCTCCGACCTCGTGAGCCAATACCTGTGCGATGACACCGCGGGCATGGCCGGCTGTGTTCTCGGCGGTGGTACCGTTATTAACGCCATGTCCTTCATCTACCCCCAGGAAGCCGACTTCGACGACAAGTGGCCGACTGGCTGGAAGTGGAGCGACGTCAAGGCCGCTGCGGAGCGCCTCTACGAGCGCAACCCCGGAAGCACCCTGCCTTCGGCTGACGGCAAGCGTTATGATCAGGGCATGTACACCGTTCTGTCCTCCTTCCTGAAGGGCCTGGGCTGGAAGTCGGTCGACTCCCAGCAGGAGCCCAACGAGAAGCACATGGTCTACAGCTACCCGTCCTGGGATGTGGGCAATGGTATCCGTGCCGGTCCCGTGCGCTCTTACCTGCCCCTGATTGAGAACGACGACAACTTCACTCTTCAGCTGCAGACCAAGGTCCGCCGCCTCGTACGCCGTGGCGGTCGTATCACTGGTGTGGAGGTTGAGACCGAGTCTGGAGCCATCGAGATCATCAACGTCCGCGCCGGCGGCAAGGTCATTCTGGCTGCTGGCTCGATGTCTACTCCTCGCATCCTTTACAACTCGGGTATTGGTCCCACCGAGCAGATCGAGACCGTCCAGAAGGGCAGCACCGGCATCACTCTCCCTCCTTCGGCCGAATGGATCGACCTGCCGGTCGGACACAACCTCCGCGACCACCCCATGTTCACCGTCACGGTCAACACCAACAGCAACTTCACCCACTTCAACACCTCCAGTGCCCGCTATGGCCCTGCTGCCACCGTGGAGAAGCTGTACTCCGAGGGCTCGGGTGTGCTCACTCAGGGTGGCCACCGTCTGCAGTTCTGGACCTCCAACGTCGGCACTGACGGCGTGACCCGTTTCTTCCAGGGCTCCTGCAGCACCACCGAGGACAGTGTCATCACGATGAAGCTGTACCTGACCCACGGTGCCACCTCCACCGGTGTCCTGGGCATTGACTCCACGGGCGCTACGACCATCGAGACCTCGCCGTACTTGCAGACGGCGGCGGACAAGGCGGCCACCGAGAGCTTCTTCCAGACCTTGATCGACGGCATGAAGAACTCGACTGCCGGCTTCTCCATCTCGGGAGATGCTTCTGCGTCGAGCATCCTGGCCCAGCAGTCCAGCGGTGACCACTTTGTCGGCACTGCCAAGATGGGCGTGGATGACGGCCGTGAGAGGAACGGCACTTCGGTTGTTGACACCAACACCAAGGTGTATGGCACGGAGAACCTGGTAAGCTATTCCCGAATCTTTCTCTTTCCCTTTTCCCAACCCGGCTAACCTTCCGCAGTACATCGTCGATGGCAGTATCCACCCCGATCTTCCCACCGGTAACTCCCAGGCCATCATCCAGATCGCCGCGGAGGCGGCTGTTGCCCGGATCATCGCTCAGGGCACGAGCACCAGCTCGGCGTCGGTGTCGGTGTCTGTCCCTGCGGCCAGCACGTACGTCGCTTCCGCCGCTACCACTGTCGCGTCTGCCAGCGCTGTCTCGACGGAGACTGTGGCCTCTGCCTCGGCCGTCCCGACCGCCGGCACCATTTCGTCTACTACGACCACCGAGTCGGGTGGCGACGAGGGTGACGAGGGCGACGACGACGACGAGTACTACGACTGCGACGGTGACGATGAGGACTATGAGGATGAGGAGACCACGTCGGTGACGGCCAAGGTGGCCGTGGCCACGGCGGCGGCGACGACGGCGGTTGCGGACTCGGGGGTCTCCACGACGACCAAGTGGGTGACGTCGACGGCCTGGACCACGACGACGGATGTGGTGGTGGCCACCAGCACCTCGACCGTGACTGTCTGGCCCACCTTTTCCTAGACGGGTGCCTCTTGGGGAGGGCAATTCAGCCAAGGCTAGGCCCTTCCATTCTCTGCTGTGTATCTAGACTTCTATATATTCTTCTACTTGATTCAATCGTGTGGTTTCGTGAAGCACTGAGTGGATACTTTAGACCGGGGAGCGACAATAAGTAACCTGTGTAGTAGGAAGTAGGATTGGGGGCCGGGTGAGGAGGCCCAGGAAGAGGGCGACGCGGCGTATTTCTGAAAAAAAGGCGAGCCGCCCGAGGGCAGGAAGATCATCCGCGCACAAGAATGAGACCAGGGGCCCGGGTGAAAATTTTCGTGGGGAGCAGCAGAGTTTATCGCACGCGCCGCAATGATGGGCCTCGGACGAAAGCCCCCGGGGGGAAGCACACCAGTCAACGCTGCAGGATCGCTGCAGCTGCTGATCGGCATTCAGCCAACCATTGCTGGTCTCGAGTCAGCACGGATTTTCACGCAACGTTGCACCTGGCCCGTGCTTCTAAGCTTGGCGGCATTGATGGCAGCTGCTCAGCCACCTCCAGGCCTGGGTCTGCACGGGGGAATTCTCGTGGCTGGTGGGTGGTGTCGTTGACCGTAGTGGTGGCAGCGGTGATGATGGTGGTGATGATGATGGTGGATGGCCTGGCCCGGAGGATATTTCCTTTCATCTCCTGCCATTCCAGTGGGTGGGTGTAACCATGTACCCGCCCCGGTCTCAAGTCTCAGGGACCTTTGTCCAAGGCAGCAGGATTGAACTAGCAGGACTCTTTATTCAGCATGGAGCATCATGGCTTTTTGGCTTGTATGCGGGAATTTGCTGGACCATCCATCCATCGGCTGCCCGTCGCTAGCACCGAAGCGGCAGCTCGCCGTCACGGATGGGAAAATGCCGCATGTTATCGAAACCTCCCTTTTTATTGCGTTGGTGCCGGACTTCAGCTCGGTGGAGGATGGCGATGGAGAGGTCCTTTCGGTTTCTTTAGCTAATGCGAATTGAAACGGGGCCACCCATTCCTCCCCAGCGCCAGAGCAGAAATTCGCGCATCACCATGGAACTATCTCTCTCTCATCGCTCTTTTCCCTCTCTATCGGCTATGGAGTCGTGCTTGACCCTAATCTCCCAACCGAGATGAAATGACATCCTCACTAAACCCATGCAGTCGATCCGTGGCTGTGCCGCCATGCGGCTTTCGTCTGTCTTGTCTGTTTGTCTGTCCTAGTTGTGTCTGGTCCCTGTTCACCCCATCGTTGCTGGTCACAATCACCCTCGTCTTTCTTCCTCCTCACGGCATCCCCCTCTCCCCCATACCTCCTCTCACCGATCATCTTCCCTATAAATCCACCCTCCCACCCATCGCCATGCCCACTATCTCCTCCTTTCATACTTCCCAAGGGATGCTCATCGACGGCGAAAAGTGGGCTTGTGAAGCTTGCGTCCGCGGCCACCGTGTGACAACCTGCAAGCACCATGGTATACCTCCCCCTTCTTCCTCCTTCTTTCAACCTGGCTTCTTCCCCCCCTTACTGACCCTTATCCAGATCGACCATTAATCCGCATCAACCGCAAAGGTCGACCGTTTTCCACCTGCTCCGTCTGCAACTGCACTCCCTGCGAGGCCCCCGAAGAGCACGCCAAGCTCAAACGTGAGGCCGACGCCAAATCTCATTCCTCAAAAGTAGAAGTTCACCACGGCCTGCACCACACACAGCACCCAAACATTTTGTGAAAATCATGACAGTCCAGGCTGATGTGGCTTCTAGCGAGCTGCTGGCCGATCCCCCCGGCTGTCCCATTCGGGGCCTAGCTCTTTCCTCCCCATTGCGCCACGTCCGTCGCCTCCTGCTTCTACTACCACCACCACTACTACTTCCACCACCACCACCGGCAATCCATCCCCGGTTCCCGATCGCGGTACCACCTCCTACCTCCCAACCACCACGCTCCCCGCGACAGCTACGCCCAGCTCCCACGGCATCTATCTCTCCCCCTCTTACTGCTCCATGGCCACCACCCCAGACATCCCCGTCTCCCTATCCATGGTGAGCCCTCTCGACGCGCATCGCATGTACAGCGATATGGCCGTCTCCTTCGCCGATAGTAGCGCCATCTACGCCCTCGATGGGATAGACGTCGATGCTGCTACCGCTGCGGCTGCGGCTATGCTCCCCGCCGATGTCTTTCAGGGTCAAGATTGGGGGTGGTTGAGTGATGACGTTCTCTAACATCTGCAGAGACGGTATGCAGAGGGTTCTCTGTGTATCGTCGGGGGTGGGGGAGAGGGTAGGGGGGGTTGTAGAGGGGAAGGGGGGGAAAGGGGGTGGTTAGTGCTGATGTTACGGGAATGATGTTATGAGATGATGAACTTATGTGGTACATGGTACATACTGAACATACAGGTCGGATTGGAGGGATCCTGTCGGGTTAAACAGAACCTACTACTTGGCTTGTTGGCGGCGGGTGGGGTGGAGGTATTGTGTTGAGTTGGTTGATGCATGCATGCGTGTATATAGCGTGGGTAGGCATATCTGGATCTGGATTCCGGTGGCATGGTGGGATATTGGAAATGATGTGGGTGCTGATTGCTCTGTCGTTGACCTTTCTCATATAAGGAATCGACCAAAGCACGGAATGAATCAGAGAGAGGAGGGGGAGGGAGGGGTAAAGCAAGAGCAAGATAAAAATCTGACATATTCACAACACGCGAAATCCATCAATCCTATGTACAAGAATCCATCCCCATTTGCATCCCCATTCCTGTGCCATGCATGTCATGCCATGCTATGTGCTAGCGCGTCCGGGACAGCTATCTAACCAGCAGCACGAATAATCCACCTGCTTGATCCAACCTACCAAGGTATGTATGAATACTTAAGAATGTATAGCCAAGCCAAAGCCAAAGCCAGAAGCCAAGATAAAATAGAACAAAGAAAAGACAAGACAAACAAACCAAAGCAAACCAACCAGCACCCCATGCTCCCGATGCAATGACGAAGGAAAAGTCTCATGGATGAGTTGTGAGAAGATAAGAAAAGAAAAGAGGAAAGGAACAGTGTATGTATGCTGTATGCAATACAACCAGGATACCAAGGTAGGAGGGAGTAGGTAGGATTGTAGGAGGAGGAGGAGGAGGAGGAGGAGGAAGAGGTGGTGGTGGTGGTAGTAGGGACTACACTTCCTGGATATAGTTGGCCGGAACACTCTTGGTCACGCCGCCGCGTTCGACATCCGCCCAGCCGTCTCCGCCGTCGCGATTGACCAGCACGAATCGGTCGCCCTCCGTCATGCTCCATTCCATGTCGCTGCGCGCTTCGTAGTCGTACATCGCTTCCACGTATTGGAGTTTCTTGGCGCCGCGCCGGGGCGCCACGGCCGGGCCGATACGTTTATTCGCTGCGCTGCCGCCTGTCAGGGAGGCGGACGAGTTGGAGTAGGTTGACCCCGGGCGGTCGGTCGCGAAGCCCGGACTGGCGGATGGCACGGGTGAGGGAGCCGGTCCGATCTCGACATACGAGGCGGGGACGAGACCTTCGTCGGCACCGGCCCGGACGCGCATCCAACCGGATCCGTCTGTAGTACTTTTGTTAGTGGAAGGTCTCTAGGCGGTGGGAGGAAGAAAGTATACATACCGTCTGGTTCGAGGATAACAATGTCGTCACCTTCTTGGACGTCGACCTCGTCGGCGCCGCCCGCTTGATATGCGTATAGCATCTTGCCGTGCTGTTCGCTGGTCTTGGCAGGGGAGCTTAGCGCAGGGGTCGAGTCACTCGCTGGTGGACTGCTGATGTACTGTGCGGGCGGTGGGGCCAGGACTCTGTTCTTCCGCACTGGCGCGGGCTTCGTCTCTGCAACTGGCGTGGGAAGCTCGGCCGGAGAGGCAGGAGACTGGCTGGTGGCATTCGACATCGATCGGTTGGCACTGACGGCATACCCTGAGCTTAGGGAGTTCATGGTGTCTTTGCGGGTGAGCGAGGGCGCGGTAGACGACGTTGTGGTTGGTTCTAGATCGAGTGGTGCTGGGGCCGCGTTGGCCTGTTCTTGTCGCTCGGCTTTCAGCTTCTTCTTTTCCTCCTTGGATTGCTCGCCCGGACACTCCGCCGGGACCTTCATTTCACATTTGCTGTGGCATGTGTAGCCACAGTCCCGGCAGTCGAAGCCCTTCGCGGACAGGCCCCATATCCGTTCTCCACAGAGATCGCAGTTGGTCGGGATCTTGAACGTCTGCGACTTGAAGTTGTGGTTGCGGGCCCCGAGGGAAAGATCACCCACCACCGCCATGATGGTCGAGGTTTCAACCTCCGCGGTTAGGCGCCTGCGATCGCATTCGTGCAGTGCCTCCTGCTGGAAGAATATGGACCGGACCACCTCCACTTCGTTGCGCTTATCCTTGCCTTGCTGGATATTCTCCCGGACCCGTTTGGCTGCTTCCACCTCGCGTCGCTTCTGATCCGTTTCAACCCTCAATTCCCGCACCTGGGTTTTGCTCTTGCTCAGGAGATTGCGCAGGAAGACCTTGGCGGCCTCGTCCGTGACGAGAGCGTCGTCGTCATGCCAGATCGGGCTCGGCTCGAAGCCCACATTGGCTGGCTCCTGGGATTGTGTGACATTGTGGCGCAGGAACATGAGCGAGTCCAGATGGGGAACGTTGCGCGGGATCTCGTTCATGAGGTTCGCCATATGGTCCATACTTTTAGAGAGCGAATTCTTTTCTAGCTGTGCGGCGAGCGACCAGAGCGAATTCAACTTCGTGACACGCGTTTCGTTGAGGTCTTGGAGGCCCTAAACATAGTCAGTTAGCCTATTTACATGAAGGCGCAAGTCGGCTCACATCAAGTAGTTCCGGCACGTATTCGTGGTAGAAGCGCTCCTTCATCTTGTTGGTCACATTGATGCTGATGAGGTATGTGTTCTGCGCTGCATCAGCAATAAGTCCTTGCAAGCACCGTAATCACCGACCTTGACGTTGTTCATCTCTAAAATTTGTTGCTGGTATGCCGCCTGAGCCTTTGGTTTGCTGTGGTCGAACGAGCCCTCCATCTTCTTGCGCCGGGCTTCCACCTCCTGACATGCTCCGTCATATTTGCCCTTGGCCTTCTTCAGATCGCCGTACGAGGAGTCTCTCTCCTTTTCTAGTTTTGCGTGGAAGTCGACATGGCACTTCCGGAGTTCCTCGTACTGGTTCGCAGCGTGCTTGAGCGGCTCTGCGACGTGAGTGAGCAGGTCTGTACCGAATTGATCTCGTTCTGCGGCATGCGATTCAACGGCGCTCAATTGCGTGGACCAAGTGGTAAGCGAGGCGCTTTCGAGGGAGCCGGGGGTCATGCTAGGGGTATCTCCAACACTCAGGCTGCTAATTTTCTTGGCTTTGCGGTCGTAGTATTTCTTGCATAGCGCCGTCAACTTGGCCGCATACTCCTTTTCGATCGCACTGCGCTCTCGGTAGAACTGTTGGATCTCGTCCAGCCATCCGATACCATTCGAAACCTGACAGCGACATCTTAGTTATTGTTCCACGGAATCGGCGATCAAGGGTCTCCAGCGGGAGCAGATGGGTAGGGCATACCCAATTGTTGACTGGTTTAAATGCATCCTGTCAAGGTACTCATTAGCTGAATACTGGGTCGATCCGTCCAGTTATGTCATACCTTCAACTCCGCCCCAAAATGAGGGGCGACATCCGGGGTTGCCATGCTGGTGGATGGTAAGCTTCTCGGAGATCACGCCGCCGGGACTGGCTGGGGATGGGGACGGACATCTCAAAAATGTGACAGCCTAGCGAGTCCAACCGGGAGGAAAGGAGCAGCCTACCTTTCCACGTGTGCGACAGCCTTTGGCGACCGTGTGTACTACTCCGTACAACCGGCGAGAGCGTAGGGAACCAGGAACTTGCCAGGCCGAACCCGCTGGGTGAAGGAAGCGGGGAAGGGAGATGACAATACGGGACGGCGCTGTCAGGCCACGTTGAGCCTCGAAAGCCTGCCCAGCCTGGCCCAGTCGCTCTCTACGTCATCCCTGCCCCGGCGAGCTAAGGTAAGGTACCGTATCGCCGGGTGACTCACCGCCTCCCGATTCCCGTTAGGTTGCGATGACCCGGTGGCTGGCCCAAACCGGTCTAGTGTGGAGCGAAGGCGGTCGGCAGCTTTGGTTTTTCGACCGTCATGGTGATAGACGTCGGACTGCAATTGCTGCTCTCGGCGGTGTTGACTCATCCCTCATCTTTCATCACTCGTCGTTTGTCTCAGGACTGTGGTCAAGGTGTCACTCTTTACTTGCGTGCTCTTAATTTGCTGTGTTGAGCGCTTGGTTGATACTTCATCGCGCGATTGATTACCCCGCTGTCTCCCCTCCGTTGGGAAACACGACCGCAACTTTCATCTGAACGTGAACCTCTTGACCTCTCATCTACCTCTCATCTACAATCCATTATTCAACAAGATGGCATCCGAACAACCTGCTGGCGGTTCTCTTGCCGACCGCATCTCCAAGCCGGAGGAATCCATGCCTACCGGTACAAGCCTTCCCCGTATACCTCGTTCGACCGCGCAGTTCTCTCTTGCGCGGTCTTCCGCTTCGTTGAGATCGCCGCTAATGGATTTGTCTTTGCAGAAACCCCCGAACAGACTGCTGAACCGGTCGCCCAGAATGATCAGACCGATGGCGCCCCCGCTGTCCTGGGTGGTTCTGAACTCCATGAGCCTGACTACACGGTCGAAGTCAAGCTCAGCGACCTCCAAGCCGATCCGAACAACCCCCTGTTTTCTGTGAAGAACTTTGAAGATCTTGGCCTGTAAGTGACTCTATGAGCGCTGCTATACTGCCAGGCTATTGTCTCCATGCTAACCGCCCTGACCACTAGGGATCCTCGCATTCTCCAGGGATTGTCGGCCATGAACTTCCGCAAACCCTCCAAGATCCAAGAGAGAGCCCTCCCGCTGCTACTCGGCAACCCCGCCAAGAACCTGGTTGGTCAGTCCCAGTCTGGTACTGGAAAGACGGCTGCCTTCGTCCTGAACGTCCTCAATCGCTTGGACCTTTCGTCAGAGCAGGCGCAAAAGACTCCCCAGGCTTTGATCCTGGCCCCCACACGAGAGTTGGCTCGCCAGATTGTCGGTGTGATCCAGGTCATGGGTCAGTTCCTTGACGGGCTCGCTATTGGCACCGCCGTGCCGGCAGACACCAACTCCCGTCACGCCAAGATGGAGTGCTCCGTTGTTGTTGGTACACCCGGCACCGTCATGGATCTGATCAAGAGGCGTATCATGATTGCCGCCAAGCTTCGGGTGCTGGTCCTTGACGAAGCCGATAACATGCTCGACCAGCAGGGTCTGGGCGACCAGTGTATCCGTGTTAAGGGGTTGGTTGTCCCTTTATTTACCGCTACGACTCGGTCTAACGTCTATCCAGTTTGCTCCCCAAGGATATCCAGGTGGTGCTCTTTTCGGCCACATTCCCCGCTCATGTTCACGAATACGCCACGAAATTCGCCGCTAACGCCAACGAAATCACCCTCCAGCATGAGGAGTTGACCGTGGAAGGTATCAAACAACTCTACCTTGACTGTTCCGATGGGGAGGACAAGTACCAGACCCTGGTTCAACTCTACGGTCTGCTTACCGTCGGCTCGTCCATCATTTTCGTTCGGGTATGTGCGCATAAGCCACGACTTTACGATTCTTCTAACCGACTGCCAGACCCGTAAATCCGCCGAGGAGATCGAGAAACGCATGGTTGCCGAGGGTCACACTGTCGCCTCCCTGACCGGTGGTGTCGAGGGTTCGCAGCGTGATGCGATCATTGACCAGTTCCGCGTCGGACAGGCGAAGGTCCTGATCACGACCAACGTTCTTGCTCGAGGTATTGACGTCTCCACCGTGTCCATGGTCATTAACTACGTAAGTTCCATACAACAAGGGATAATTGGGGGCTTTGATTGCTGATACTCGTCGACAGGATATCCCTGAGCTCCACCAGCCCGGTGCCCGTCAACGCCAGGCCGATTTTCAGACGTACCTGCACCGTATCGGTCGTACTGGACGTTTCGGTCGCGTCGGTGTCTCCATTTCCTTTGTCTCCAACCGGGAAGAGTGGGAGATGCTCAACCAGATTCAGAAATATTTCAACACCAGCATCCAGCGGGTCGATACCAAGGACTGGGACGAGGTGGAGGAAATTATCAAGAAGACGATCAAGAGCTCGCGTGCCCAGATCGGCTTCCGTTAAACGACGTGCCCGAAAACCCGATGTGATGCCTGTGTCCGTTGACCATCTCGTCCGCAACCAAGATGTCTCGCAAGGACGCCGACTATGCAGAAGTCAATGCACTGATGATGAGACCACGGAGAGGCGGATTTATATGTTGCTCAACAATTGCTTGGAGCAGATTGGTTTAAGACATGGCTGCAATGTGGTTTACGTATGAAGAGTTACGAGAATTTCTTTGCTGTTAAAATGAAAGTCAGATTAATAGATACCAGTTGATTACTTCGAGATGTTCCTAAGGGGTGGTCAGTATTGTAGCCGATAGAGTAATCTTCATGCGAGGGGTGCCATCGGAGGACGGCCATGTGACTCAGGGGAACCCCGTGATTTGGCGTTCCAAAGATGCAGCGATCGGTAGCCGTGGAATCGGCCACGGATTCGGTGGGAAAGGCGGCCGTAGTTTGGGCGCGCCAACGGGGCGAGGGATAAGCGGTCCGGAATGAGGGGTCGATCATCCGCCTCACCCTCATCGTCATCGTGCATGCCGTATTGCGCCAGGAACATTGCAATCACCGTTTGGATAACCCGGCTTTCAGTCTCCCTGGAATCATCACGAACAGGATTCTACTGGGTTGGATGTGGGAGAACCATGGTCGTCAATGCCCGGGGTCCAGCTGGCGATAAGGCCGGGGAGTTGATAAGGATAAGGTGCGGAGAGGAGTGAGACCAGAATGATGAGGCCGTCAGATGGAAGTCGGGCCCAAGTCACATGCGGCAGGCATGCAGCCAGCCAGCCAGCGAACCCAGAATTCCATCCTCGCCCTCTTTTCTTTCTTCCCCTCCCTTATCTCTCTTCTCTTCCTCCTTCATCCTTTCCATCTCCCTGCCTGTCTCTCCAAGTCCTGTTTCTTCCCCGCATCACCGTCCAGCATCATGTTGGATACATCTGCTAAACCCACCGAAGGGGAGCCGCAGTCGCCGACTTCACCAACCTCGCCGACTCTCTCCGGTTCTCGTTACAGTAAACATATTGTGGTAAGTGGTGGCGTGCTCTCATCGAAAAGGTAGTCCCTAATCCTCGGGCTAGTTAACCACATACCCCGGCCAAAGCGGTATCGACCCCATCCCGCTCGAATGGGGGGCCCCAGATGCCAAGTCCCGCGGTCCGGTCGTTGTGTCCCGTAGCTCCGTATTGCTCAAGCGACGGAATGCAATGGGTGCCCACGGTGGCAGTTACAGCATCTACAATGCCCTCGCCATTGCCTCCGGAGAGCTAGAGCCGGATTTTCGCCCGGACCTCAGTAACAGCCAGCCGACATTCAACTTCCCGTGGCAACCTGCCTGGGGTGATAAGACCAAGATTGTGTCTATGGATCCTTGGGGGCATGACATTGTCAACCAGTTCCGGGATGAGTTAGACAAGGGTTGGGATATTCGCCCCACAATGGCCGTGACTCGCGCGAATATGAACTTTGCCGAGATCTCGGAGGCAGTGAAGGAGGGGAAGCTGGAAGTGGATGGGTCGATTGTTGTTGATGCGTCAGGTGAGGTCCGTGTTACCAAGGTTGCCGTCGAGCCGGTCTGGTATCTGCCTGGAGTTGCGGAGCGGTTCGGGGTGGATGAGGGGACACTGCGTCGGACACTATTCGAGCATACGGGTGGCAGCTATCCCGAGTTGATCACGCGGCCTGATCTGAAGGTCTTCCTTCCTCCGATTGGAGGTCTGACGGTATACATCTTCGGGCCTCCTGAGCGGGTCTCCGATGAGAATGTCAAACTGGCGTTGCGCATTCATGATGAATGCAATGGTAGTGACGTCTTCCAATCCGACATCTGTACTTGCCGGCCGTACCTCGCATTCGGTATTCGGGAGGCAATCCGGGAAGCGCAGAACGGGGGTAGCGGAGTGGTCATTTACTTCCGAAAGGAAGGTCGTGCTTTGGGTGAAGTGATCAAGTACTTGGTCTACAATGCCCGTAAGCGTGGCGGTGACACTGCCGACAAGTACTTTACCCGGACGGAGAACATTGCGGGTGTCCGAGACGTAAGCTTGAGCATTCACATACGGGACCAAACTGACTGGGTATAGATGCGCTTCCAAGCCCTGATGCCCGACATTCTGCACTGGCTCGGCATCAAGAAGATCGACCGGATGCTGTCCATGTCCAACATGAAGCACGATGCTATTGTCGAGTCGGGAATCAAAATCCTGGAGCGTATTCCAATTCCCGAGGAGATGATCCCGACGGATTCCCGTGTGGAAATCGATGCCAAGATCAATGCTGGATACTTTACAACCGGAAAGCAGATCACGACGGAAGACTTGACCGCGGTTCGCGGACGTGGATGGGAGAAGTGGGAGGACATTACGGTGGGTGATTCGATGTCATATTGAGGACCTTGCTGACTTGTTAGCACTGATGCTTGCCCACAAACCACTACGAGTATGACGATATTTCGGATGCTTCGACTCACAGTATATCTGGTGATGACAATTGCACTGCATTAACGGGTTCCGGAGCGACATTGCTAGCATAGGCTACATATATGACAGAAATGTAGAAAAAAAGATCAACGGCGGCCTCGTAGATTCCTGGTATTAAGTTACACGTATATCACCGAATCATCCACAACCCCTCAAGTCTATTCATACACATGCCAGATGCCATCAAGTCAACCACATCAGCCAAAGATCTTCATATCCTACCTCAATCATCCCCATCCCCATCCCCATCCTTATCCCTACCCCCAACCCCCCTCACCACATACTTCTTCGGCCCAACCCCCGACAAAACATGAAACTCCTTCTTCCGTTTCTCTATTCTCAGCAATTAGTATTCCACTCATCAAACCCCTCCCCCCCAAACAGCAAAAAAAGAAATAAAATACTAACCAGCTCTCACCTCCCTAACCCCCCTCAAAACAACCGTAACACAACAAACCACAACCCCAACATTAATCTCAATCGCAGCCCACAGCACCAATACACCAAAATTCTCCATGAAGGGACGATTAGTAGTTGTATGTATGATGATGAGCGTCATGTAGGTTCTTGCGATGGAGATGGCGGTTAAACTGTCCTTTTCATTAGCTTTTACTTTTGGATGGAGGGGGGAGGAAGGGGGGTATACTAAATCCCAACACCATAAAGCACCACCATCCCTACTTTCTTGACCACATACATACGTAAACTCCAGATAATGGGGACGGGGATGAGGGTTATCAGGATGTTAGTGATGAGGTCCGTTAGGGCGTAGATAGTTAGTTGGGTTGTGCCTCCATTGGTACAGGACGCTGTCGTGGTGGGATCTGCGTCCATCCAGATTCGGGAAACGTGCGTCCCGCATTGGAAGATCGTTGCGAGGAGGAATGCAATCATCCAGAGGAGTATGGTGATGATTAGGATGGAACAGAGATGCCGGATTGGATGTGTGATGAAGACGCGTTTCCAGAGGGTGAAGAAACATAGTTTGATGAGCCCGAGGGAGAGGATTTCGAGGAGTTGGAGGGCAAGTTGGTATTTTTTGGCCTCCGGGGTGGTTGTGCTGGTGAGGTGGGTTGGGGTGTAGTTGGCGATGATGTCGTGGGATGTGCCGGATAGGAGAGTCGCGTTGTATGTTAGGGTGAGGATCTGGTTGGGGGGGGTTAGGTGGGTTGGAGGGCTGTTGTATGAATGGGGATATTGGGGGAAGGGGGAGGGCTTACTAGGGCGGCGAGCGCGAACCAGTCGTCTGCGCAGAGGTCTAGACGAGCTAGTTTGCGTGCGTAGAATCGAAGCGTTACGGAGGTTAGGGATGTCAGACAGAAGATGGAGGTTACGATGAGCAGTGTTGTGTGGCTGGGGGGACTGGGTAATGGCCAGTGGTGAGCCATGGCTGTCTGGTTGCTGGTGGTGGTGATTGACGCTAGTAGTAGTTTAGGGCATGGTCAGGGAGTGGTGACATTGATGGTCATTGCTTTCCATGGTACTCGGTATAGATACTTCAGGTACTTGAAGTGGTCAAGACGCCTGAGGAAGGAGACATTTCGCTGAGGTGAGATGCAGGATGACGGCGCTAGACTAGGGCGAGGCTTTACTCCGTACAGTGGCGAGTGCTGCAAGCGGGGAGATGTTCATCTATTGCTTACTAAAGTGTAGTTTTTTTGGAATGGATGTGGTATCTAACATTTATTTTCTCTATCCATTTCTTTTTAGTTTTATTTATTTACTTCTTCTTTTTGGTTCATCCCAACCAGCTTCCCCCCTGCTTGATTGTGATCTCGGATTCAGAGCTGCTTCCGGGTCCAAGCGAGATATTGAATTGTGGAAATGAATCACAATCCAAGAAATCAGCAAACAGCATATTTTTAGCCTCAATGTGGCCTGGACAGCCTTATGCAGGGGCGTTCATCATGTGATCGGGAGGCTGCGGTATTTGGATTCCGAAGTGAACTTGGAACAATCACTTCCTCAACGAAATGTATACACTCAGGGATTTTGGTCACCTCAGACAGCGTATACGTCCTTCAATATCTAATGGAATCTGTTTCTGTTTATATCGTATAGCATATCCGAGAGCCTGGGGAAGGCAGCAGTTTCAACACTGGAACTCGTGTCAATTGCACACATCGTCGACCCCTGCCCCCCGTGCCGGAATATCTGCAATAGACTGCAACGAGGAGAGTCTGTATCGTTACACTTCTGGACGATGGCTTTGGAACGAGAAGGAACAGCTTTCCCGCCGCTATGTCGAATTTAATTTGGACGAACTCGCCCGCATTGCTATGCAGGTAACAGGATCCCAGTCCGGTATTCAAGTGCAAAAGCTCCGAGAAGGGAACTTCAACAAGGTCTTTCTCATCACGATGGACGATAACAAAGAAGTCATTGCAAAATTACCCAACCCAAATGCAGGGCGCCCGCACTTTACCACGGCTAGTGAGGTGGCCACCATGGACTATGTGAGATTATCTTATTTGGTTCGTTCTGTTTTATCTAATGCGGGTTCCAGGTCCGTAATGTACTAAATGTTCCAACACCGCAGGTATACTCGTGGAGCTCCTCGACTGAAAACCCAGTTGGAGCCGAGTATATCATCATGGAAAAGAGCCGCGGGCTTGAATTAAGCAAGCTCTGGGATGGTATGCCGGGCTCCGATAAGTTTCAAATTGTGAAACAACTCGTCGGATTTGAGAAAAGACTTACGTCCTCTCGATTTCCCATGTATGGAAGTCTCTACTATGCAAAAGATCTCCCGGAAGTTCAACCGAACCAGCTTGTTGGCATTGGTTCGAAGAAAGACACGGTAGATACGGTCTTTGCGGTCGGTCCTACTACGAACCGGACCTTCTTCGATGATGGTAGAGACGCTGTTGATGTGAACCGCGGGCCTTGTCAGTATCTTCCTCTGGTACCTTACAAACAGGTCTAATGACGATTATACTAGGGGAGTCTCTTGAGGACTATGTACTTTCTCGGGCCTACCGTGAGCTTGCGTGCGTGCAGTCCTTTCCAACCTTTCCGCGTCCTCAGGGATTCTTCTATGGTCCGGGCCAGTATCAACCTACTGCAGAATCCAAGCAGAAGACCTTGCAGAATTATATTAAGGTCGCACCATTACTATTACCGAAGGACAAAGAGCTCTCTAAGCCCGTCCTCTGGCATCCGGATTTACATGGAGACAATATTTTTGTTAATCCGGACCAGCCAACCGAAATTCTGTCCATTATTGACTGGCAGGCGGTGAACTTGTCGCCTCTTTTTCTCCAGGCGCGCCATCCTGCCATAGTTGAATTTGATGGTCCCATCCCCGAGGGACTAGAATCGATCAATCTCCCCGACAATTTTGATGAGCTTAGTCCGGAAGAACAGCTTGATGCGAAGAAACTCCGAGCCGCCCAGTCACTATACAAACTCTACGATATCCAACTGATTCGGCAATGTCCTGAAATCGCTCACGCATTGCGGTTTAAAGATTCCCTCTCTGGCCAGATCACAGGCTTGGCGGGCTCTCTCTTTAGTGATGGGGAACCAATCGTCCAGGGAATGCTGATAAAACTTCAGGAGGAATGGTCCAGTTCTATTGGGCCGTCTATTCCCTGTCCGCTGTCTTTTACCGCGGAGGAGAAGGAAACGCAAAGAGAAGACGCGGCAAAATGGGCTGCCGGTGTTGAGTTGATGGAGGAATTTCTCCACCAAGTTGGTGCGTATCGGGGATGGGATGGCTGGGTCAATCATGATAATTACGAGCTCTATAAAGAGCGGTTTGTGCGTTGCAGGGAGCAATTCATGAACCGGCACTCGGTGACAGATGAAGAGAGAAACCGATGGAGGGCTGTCTGGCCGTTCAAGGACAATTAACATTCTTCGCTGATCTAGACGTATTCCAATGCTCCCTCTTAAGTCGGGCTAATAGAAACTACTTGTATTATGCTTATTTTATAATAATCATGATAAGATGGCTGTATATAGATTCATGTAGTGTAGGATAATCAATTTACTGAGCATCATGCTGGCAACTGGCATCCATCCCACACTACTCCGCTTACACATACATCCCTGGCAGTGCATCTACCCCTCAATACTAGTAGCTCCTGCTGATGCTCCCCGCACCTCTCCGATATCGTTACCTGCACGAACATTCGGGATGAGCGCCCGCTGATAAGCGTTCGGCAACGGATCCCGACCGGATTCTTTTCCATCCCCGCATCTCCGAGTATATAGTAACCTCAATCATACCATTCACTGCATGATCTAGCATCTAGTATCTAGCACCTCAATTGCAACCCTCCACCCTCAATCCATCTTTATACCACAGCACAGTCCTCACCACCACCACCACCATGGGCTCCTCTCAACCCCACGTCCCCCAACCCGGCGTCTGGTGTCCCGCCGTGACCTTCTTCAACCACAGCACCGACACCCTCGACCTCCCCTCCCAACACCAATACTACCAATACCTCTCAACCACCGGCCTCACCGGCCTCGTCATCCTCGGCACCAACTCCGAAGCCTTCCTCCTCACCCGCGAAGAACGCGCCCAACTCATCCGCACCGCCCGCGCCGCCGTCGGCCCCAACTACCCCCTCATGGCCGGCGTCGGCGCCCACTCCACCAAACAAGTCCTCGAACTCGCCACCGACGCCGCCGCCGCCGGCGCAAACTACATCCTCGTCCTGCCCCCGGCCTACTTCGGTAAAGCCACCACCCCCGCCGTCGTGAAACGTTTTTTCGCGGACGTCGCGCGCCACAGCCCCCTCCCCGTCGTGGTATACAATTTTCCCGGCGTGTGCAATGGCGTCGATCTGGACTCGGAAACCATCACCGCGATTGTGCGCGAATCTGCGGCGACGAGACCAGACGGGGTATCGAATGTCGTGGGGGTGAAATTGACGTGTGGGTCCGTGGGGAAGATCACCCGGCTGGCGGGGACGTTTTCCAAAGACGAGTTTGCAATTTTTGGTGGTCAGTCGGATTTCCTCATTGGGGGGTTGGCGGCGGGTTCGGCGGGGTGTATTGCGGCGTTTGCGAATGTATTTCCCAAGACCGCGGCGAGGGTTTATCAGTTGTATGTGGAGGGGAAGATCGAGGAGGCCACGGTGTTGCAGCGCAAGGCTGCCCTCGCGGAAAGTCCTTGTAAGAGTGGTATTGCGGCGACCAAGTATGCGGCTGCGGTGTTTACGGCCGCGGCGGCGGGGATTGAGGGGGCCGAGGAGAAGTTGAAGCCCCGGACGCCGTATGAGGAGCCGGCGGAGGGGGCGAAGAAGGCGGTTAGGGAGGTTATGGGGGAGGTGGCGGTTATTGAGGGGGGGTTGTAATTCCAGTTAGAAAATAAAGAATGAGCTATTGTTGTGAGAATGTATTCTTCGACTTGTTGATAGTCGTATTATTTGCATGGCTATAGATTCCTTCTCCGTCCTGTTCAAGCTAAAGTAGAGGCAGGTCTCGTGGTACTTTCCGGATGGATAACAGGCGCCAAATACTCTCGCTCACTGAGGGAGACACTCTCATCATGTCCAGATAACCATAGTGCAAGAGGAGATGATGTACGCCTGGGGTTTCGTTTGTCTCTAAACTGTTCCATCAACGATCTCGGTGCTTCCTCGTTGATCGAATGCTGCCAAGGAAGAATCCGACTAGGAAACTCCATCTGTTCCAGATCAACCACCATCACTTTCCTATCTCCACGGCCTTGGTCATTACATAACAAAAAGTTATCTAATTTCTGGTCCCAATACAGAGCTTTCTGTCTGGAAAGCTTATGAAAAGCCTCCTCGAGATAAGCTTGTAACGAATCCTCGGGGATGTTGTCATTGCTGTGAGCTAGATCGTTTAAATTAATCCCATTGATATCCGATAGTATGAGTGCAGGTCGTCCGTCAAAATACCCCCGACCATAAAAGTATGGGATCACGTCCCCTTGGAGCAGCTCTAATGTCTTGTAGGCCATCTCCTCATCTTCGAACTCTTCTTCCCAGTCGTCTTTTTGTTGTTTGATGATGATGGAGGTGGCTGTTTTGGGGATTGTGTGTCGATGTGAGTCTGGGGAAAGTTTGAAGCGGTATACGGTTCGTTGGGGGTCTATTAGCTCGATTTCGGTTGCGAGGATCTCATGGCCATCTAGCTGGATGGTCTAGTAAAGTTAGCTTGACCAAGCCCTCAGTCCCCAAACGGATATGAAGAAAAATCCTACATTCGAAAGTTGTGGGGTGGCTAAGGAATAAGACATGATAACATAGGTTGTACAGGGTGTTGAGGGGGTACGAGAGAAGGAATGAACAGACTTTAAGAGTTTGTGATAAGCTCAGCCATCATGTGATCTGTCAGATGCAAGGGGGGATCATCTAGCCTAGGTGCTGAGGCGTATGAAACTCGTAATGACACCAGGACTGAGGGATGAGGTAAGGATTCGATTATCTTCCATTCAAGCAAGAATCCTTCACTCTGCCAATCCTATCACGATATCATGGCCAAGGTCCGAGGAGCTGGCGGTCTACAGACAAGTAACCAAGTGCTTAGGAGCTATCATGTACTGAGTCAATTACATGGGATCCTTAGGTCCGTGTCCTAGTCCCAGGTACATACCGTGGAAAAGCTGTATCTATTTGGAAGGTTATAGAAGCCATGGAGGCGGATGTAATTTTACGAGAATGGAGATGCAAGACGAGGGACTTCACTTGACGAAGGTATAGCTAGTGAGCATTTACTACCGAAGCTATTCATATGTCGGATGACAGAGGGGACGCGGTGTGGCACCCTTGAACGGCTCAATAAATTTGATAGTAGGATTGATCGTAGAAGTCTGACAATATAACCATTGAAGAGTAACCCTTGACTCCATGGCATTTGGGCCAGTCATCATTCTTCTGCCCCCCCGGATCAACACTTTGATAGAGCCACTATTCGGATCCGACGCCGTCTCAAATGCCTTGGGCGCGTCTTTGAAGGCGAATTCATGTGTGATCAACCTGCTCAAATCAATCATCCCACTCGACAATACCCGAATGGCTCGCGGCCACATGTTGACATATCGCTGCTGAAACTGCAGGTCAATCTCCCGCTCGCTCAACCGCATAAACGGGAACTGTAGCTGGTCTTTTTTGAATGGCCCCTGCGATTGAACTCTGGACCCCGGTACATTCCAGGGCAATCGCTGGCTCGGAGTCCTCCCCGCCCATAAGCTCCACCACGCGAGCTGCAAACTGTTTGTCGTCCTCATCCGCTCGAACCAGCAATGTCCGAGCAGCGGGAACGAACTTCTGTGCAAACTCCAGTCGAGCGGGATTAATATCGCTGATAACAATAGGATACGCTCCCGCAGCCCGACAACATTCCAGCATCACCAGTCCAATCGGCCCCGCACCACATATCAACACCGGATCGCCAATGCGCCTTGCTGGTATGTGAGAGACCCGATCTTGTGCCACCATACCGCTGGATGATTCACATAAGTCCGCAGGAGACCATGAGACGGTGGACTTGAGCGAAACAGCAGCTTCTTGCACTCATTGTACCGTCCTGAGATACACGGCTCGCATTCTTTACACACAATGTGAGGCTCAACAGCAACGCGATCTCCAATCGCAAGACTGGTGACAGATGGGTGAACCTTGACGACGACGCCCGCGGATTCGTGCCCCAGGATATGGGCGTCCTTGACTACCCATGGGCCGATCCCGCCGTGTTTCCAAAAATGTACATCGGAGCTTATTGGGATTAGCTTAGCAATTAGTATTTAGGAAGGAGGTATACCCGCATATCCCACTGTATTTGATAGCTACTGTGACTTCTCCCTCCTCTAGGCTCGATCCATCGATCACCTGCTCAAGCGTTGGCTCTGCGTCTGCGATATAGAGATTATGAGCGGGGTCAATATAGACTCCTTGATTCGGTTGTTGCGGGCTCATAACTGTCGATACTGATTGAGTGGAATCTTGTCGATGATTTCTCGGTGCGGTGGCTGCAGTATGTATGGCATCGGAGGGGTTTGCTAGAAGTATATATATCTTGAGTCCACGATGCAGTGATGCATACAATCTTCAACATAATAGGAAATATAGGCGGACTGGGCCCCTAATAAAGAAGAACATGTGTGTTCAACAGTGTCGGAGTCAGCGCAAAATGATGTTGTCTTGGGGAGTAGCTGTAGTTCGCAAGATTTACCCTGTCGGGCAATGCATGTCTGCCCCGCAACCCTTCCCCGCGGCGTTCAACGCCCGGACCCAAGGAGCTTCTCTGCTGCGATAAAACAGGCCTTTATAACGAGTCACATGTAACATGTATCTGTGATATCTGAACCCAGCAGATCCTCCTGGGAAATAGGTCCGACTCTGCGAGGACAAAAATTCACAAACTTTTATATTATCTCGAGTTCCGTCACAGAGACATGTGGATATCTGACTTGCACGAATCCATAAGAGCAAATTGAAACTAGTATACGAAACTTGATCTAGATAATTCCGTTTCTATCATGTGGCGTAGATCACATAATAGCTACACCCCCACTTTCTCATTGTCTACAACTTGACAGCGATATCGCAAGGTCGCCAGGCAACTGCAGATACGTAGCCCTTGAGATTGCCCTCCACCACTTCTGAACAGCAGATAAACTTTCCAAGATGCAAACAGCGACAATTCAATTCAATTCAATTCAATTCATATTCTTATACCCGATCGAGCCCGCTAAGTAAGATGCTAGCTATGCAGGTGCTTCACTGTTTAAAGCAGGAATATGGCCCTAAACACTATCAAATCTCTTAAACTCATAGTAAACATATAAAATAACGTATATCATAATATAGGAAGGTTATTACTGTAGTTTAACATAACTAAACTAGATATACTGAAAGTGAAGCGAAGTTATATAAAAATAATTATAAATAAATATTATAGCTGACTAGCTAGCTGTCTAGCCAGCTATCTATAAGTTATTATTCTTTCTATTCTTTATCTATTTCTTTACTTCCAATATGTATATTCCTTCTGGTGCGTGTGATTTTTTTTAGATGATTTAATTTAGGGCGTGTATGGATCTTTCTATCTAGTATTTTTAGTATCTATTTCTATAGTCCTGAGGCCTACGTGTTTCTAACCTAAATTGGGATTAAGATTAGGATTAAGATTAAGTTTAATTTAACTAAACTGCCTGAATAAGTCTATTTATAATATGAATTTAGTAATATAACAGATTACTTGCAGGTCTAATATAATAAAATCATAATTTATAATCTTATCTCTTGGAATAGACCTTCATATAGTAATCTTATTAAGTATTTAATTCTATAGTCCTATAAAGTGAGAATACGCTAGAAGTATATATTTAAAGATCTAGAACCTCTTTCTATAATTATATTAGTTATTTTTTTATATCTTAATCTTATAGAGAAAGTATATAAGTCTAATTTTCTGTATGCGCATCTATATAATCATAAATATATATATTTTAAAAATATTCTTATAAAGTATTAATATCTTTTTTTTAAAGAGAATTTCTACTAATCTCTATATTAGCACTACTGTATGCTCTACTTTTTACTACTTAGCCTATTTTTTCTAGAATCTATTATAAACGGCTTTTTTAGTAATAGATATAAGTTAGATTATTTATTATTCTAGTCTAGTCCCGTATTCTGCCGCCTGCTTTACTTTAAAGTTTATAATCTTATTTTCTTCAATCCTTATATAAGCAGGAATCTAATAAAATATAAAGTTTATATCTTATAAAGCTCTGAATCTGTTATAGATAGTTTTTATATATTATTATTTAAATAGATGGCTAGAGACCTTTACTATCTAGATTATAATCTAGTTATTAGTGAAAATATAAGTTTCGCTAGGACTGTATCTTAATAAAATATTTCTTATAAAAGAAAAAATTATTTTAATTCTCTTTAATTTAGTTATATATATAGTTAAATTTATTTTAGTGCTAAAATATACTTGTTATATTTATCTAGTATAGATATTAACTATAAAAACTTTTATATCTCCGCGGTAGGTGCTGTTATCTATATATAAAATAATAATATTAATATAGTAAAGCTAGTTATACTTAGTAAGTATAATCTTATAAAATTAAATATTATATTGAATATATAGCTTTTAGAATATTAGTATAAATATATTATAGATTTCCCATACCTCTTTCCGTTGCGGGATAATAGAGGTAAAAACTATATTTTTTATTTATTTAAAGACTTTAAGTAGGTTTATACCTTTAAATATAAATATTTTTTTATAATATTAATATTTTAAGCCTTAAGATCGGACAATCTCTAGCCCTGTTTAAATATGTAAGATAGTTTTCTTAATTATTTATTATATAAGTTATCTCATAGGTAGTAGATAAAGTTTAATATTAAGTATAATTATAGTTATATTTTTAAAAGTTTTACTGATTAAAATAACTATATATCTCTAGATTCTAGTAAATTTTATCTCTATATAAGTCTACTATTTAACGGGAATCTATTAGCTAGCAAGACTATACTATATAGTAATTCTATATAATAACTATAGAATAACTACTACATAGTAGATTCTATATATAAAAATAATTAAAATATTCTATATAAAGTTTATAATATCTTAAAAAGTTTCAAGACTTTTACTAGCCTTAGCGACTACCTTAGTCTAGTAAGTATTAAATAAAAGAATCTTATTAAACTAGATACTAAGATATTAGACTAATTCTAAGAATTAAATAATAATTAATAAATTAATAAGAACTATAATAAGTAGATAATTATAGTTTTTTTATTTATAATATTTCTAGATATTGATAATCTCTGATAGTTTATCTAGTTTATTTAAATTAAGATTAAAAACACGAGAATTTCTAAAATAAATAAATTTAAATTTATTAAGTATAAATTTTAATACATAGTATCATAACCACGTATTAGCTTTAATAAGAATTTTTTTAAATAATTACTTATTAGTAGCATAGTTTCTAAAAATAACTAGAATAATTATATTATTTATTTAATTAAATATTTAGATCTTTTCTTCCGGGTAGAATTTAGAATAAGCTCAAAGAAAAGAGATATTAAATAGTAGGAATAAAATTAGTAAAATAAATAAATTTTATAAAATATTATTCAGTATTAATAGTAATTTATTAAAATATTCTTATATTTAAAACTGAGTAATATAACTATGTAAGAATACTACTATTTATAATATAAAATAACCTAATTTTACTTATCTGAGATTGTATAAGAGATATATATATAATATATAATTATATATTTCTAATATATCTAATAATAATAAACTAGTGACGTGATTTCTCCCCTAAATATTATAGATTTTATTAAGAATTATCTAGATTATATAGTTAACTAAAATACTTTTATAATCTTTAAGATATTTATAAGGAAGTAAACTATATTTTTCTATTATCTATATAATATATATAATAATAATTAATTTTAATAATTTTCCAAGAATATTAAGCAGTATAATTAATTTATATAATTTAAATAAATAGAAATTACAGGGGCCCCCCTTGTAAAAAATAACTATAATTAATTTTTAAAAATATTCAAGATTATATTTTATCTATATATAGATATTAAAAATTATAATAAGTATATTAATAAATATTTTTTTATTTACCAGCACGTACTATATATAATTAAAAATAATATTAATACTAGATACTTTATTTATAAGAATATATTTAATAATATTCCATATTTCCTACTCTATTATTAGGGAGAATTCTAGGATCTTTAATTTTTTAATTATATTAATATTAGATAGGTTAGCCTCTAAAGATTCTAGAAAAAAAATTTATTAAAAAGCCTTTATTTTTTATTCCATAGTTTTTATAATGCTAGAAAAACTTTATAAAATTAAAATAATCCTATTATTCTTATTTTTATTTCTAATTTATTATAATATTTATTATATTTTATAGAGCTTTTTTTCCGTAACCCTATATATAATATCTCAATAAACCTTTTATAAAATATACTTAATAATCTTTATTTTTTTATTTTTTATTATTATATATTCCTTTTATCTTTTTTCTATTTATTCATTTATATATGCGTGTCTTATTCTTCTTATTATATTTATTACTTCGCGGTATTCTAGAATAAATCTAGGATTAGCCTACTCACTAGAATAAATCTATAAGATAGATTTTATAATAGTATATTATACTATTTCCACGAGATAGTCTATAATAATATTAATCTATATAAGAATTAGATATTTTATTACTAGCCTCTACCATAACCCTCTTTCTATATTTACTTTAATAAATTCTTGTATTTTCTTTATATTTATAATCTTTTAATTTTTTCTTAGTATTAGCTTCGCTAATAGTATATCTAGATTAATAATTATAGCTATTAAGAGATAGTTAGAATTAGTATATATAATAAATATAATTTCATATATTATTAGGCAGCTCGTTAGCTTGGAGATATTAAGAACTAGATTAATTATAATTTAATAGTCTATATACTTTTAGGTAATAATATTTAATTTAAACTAGAAATCTAAATTAATATTATTTATAAAGATTAATAATAAATTTATTTTAAAATTAGATTTTATATTCTTACCACCCTACACAAGGTAGTAGAGATTAAAATTATTTAGTATAAATTAATCTTTATCTTTTAATTACTTATTATTTAATAGGATTAGATTTATCAGAGTACTTATAGCTATTTTATTATTATTATTATATATATTTAATAAATATAAGATCCGCCTGTATTTATTACAGAAATAAAACTTCTATATATTATATAAATACTCTATATATTATTATTTATTTAAGTTAATTTTTTTAGAAATAAATATATATACTTGCACCCGACCCTTTACTGTAACTATTAAATATAATAACTAATAATTATAAGTAGGATTATATATAGTATTTAAAATAGGATTCTTCTATAATTCTTAAATTATAATAATATTTATCTTGAGGACTTGAGAGTCCTATAAAAAATATTTTATTATTATACTTTTTAATTTGTTTATATTATACTAGATAATTTATAATAATTCTTTATTTATTATTTAAGTATTTCTAGGGTTTCTCTGGTTTCATAATATAAATAAATATAATAAGATAGTAAGTCATTTTTTATATTATTAGCTCTATATTTTCTAGATTATATTATAATACTAGGTATAGAGCTGCTTAGTAATTTACTTAATATTAAACTAGAAAATATTAGATTCTATTCTAAAAGCTAGAAGAGAACTTTTAAGACCTATATTAAAATATAGAAATTAGAATTAGGATTATTATTATTAATTCTTATTAATATTCTTATTATTTTTTATATAGATTTTAATTAAATTAGTTATAATCCCTATAAGGCTACTAGTACTTTATATTTAAAATTATATTTAGACTTAAAATATAGGATTTATTAGATCCTCTCTAATTACATACTAATAATTTTGATTATTTTATTTACTAATTATACATATATAATTCTAACTATTATCTTTCTTCTAGCAAACTATTATCTAATCTTATAGTTAAATAATTAGCTTACCTGAAACTCAAGGATTAGTCTAATCTATAATTTTATAAAGATTATTAATATTATTATTTTCTTATTTCTACTTCTATAATTAGCCTATTTGCCCTTACTCATTATTTTTATTATTATATATACTTTAGCAGGTATTAGATCTATTATTTTTATATTTATTATATTTATTATATTTATTATATTTATTATATTACTATTAATTTACTAGATAAAAAATATAATAGTATTTCTAGGACTATTATTTCTAGAAATATTATTCTATAATAATTTACTTATAGAGACTATTCTTATTAAAAATAAGATAGCTTGGAAATAGAAAGAGATAAAATAGTAATATTTAAATAGTTTTTTAACGAACTTAACTATAATTTATTATATTTTTTTTTATAAGTTAAACACATCCAGCTCTATGTATAATATATATTCTTATAATTAATATATTTTAATTTTTTAATTCTGCCTATCTTCTTTTATAAATATTTATAAGTCTGGTAATACTCCGCGCAGTATGTATAAATTATTTAATTAAAATAAATATTTCCTATATAACTATATTATTAATAATTGTAATATTAATAGATATATAATATTTAATTATATTTAATTATAGTTAGAATCTAAAAGTCTTATATAATACTATATTCAATTATCTTGTTTACTAGAATAAAAAAATAAATTTAATAATAATTACTGAAGATTTTTATTTCTTAAAGCCCTAAGAAGAGACAGTTAACTAATATATATAAAAAATCTTAATATTATTTTTCTAGTAATAGATATTATCTATTAATAAGGCCTTATTAGTCCTCTCTAGTTAAATAAGATTAATTAATTTAATCTACATCCCATAAACCATAATCCTCTAGATTAGATAATAAATAACCGCGTTCTTTTAGAATTAATATATCTATAAGAAGTACTACCGGGCGGTCTCTATTTTAGTAATAAAATAAAAATTAAGATTTAAGTTATCTAATCTAAGTTATTATACCGCGATGAATTTTATAGTAGTTAAAAAAAGGAAGATATTAGTCTAGTAAACTTAGATATATATTTTTTTAATCTTTGTTAAAATATCCCTTAGAAATATCTTATAGAATTAAATCATATTTTCTAGATTATTAAATTTAATAATAATCTAAGCTTCCTCTATCAGCTCAGAGAGAGGCACACCTATTAAAATTAACTCTAACTATACCGAACTATATAATAATAGTAGTATACCTTTCTATATAGTAATATTAATCTAGCTATAGATATTAGTAAAGAAAAAGAATCTTTTTATAGTAATTTTTAAAAAATATAAATATTTTTCCATACTTTAGTAAAACACTTTAATCTCTGCGTGGAAGATTTTGTGCTCTTATTACTAAAAATATCTAGAAAAATTTTTTAGCAGGTCTACCAGAAATTTCTATATATTTTTAATATAATTAATAACTAGTTTAAATATCTAAGAGCCTTTACTTACTTCTAAATGCTTAAATATTATATTTATATTATATTAAAAGTCCAACGCGCGTTCCTAGGAGTGTTCTAATTTCCTCGTGGAGACAGCTAAACTAGGCTAGTTAGATACTTTCAACGCTATAATCAAGAAACACTAATAAAATTAGTATCATTTAATAGCGATGAGAGTTACGAGAAACTTATTAGAAGATGAGGCCCCTAGGGCCTTGCTTTGCGGCGTGATTTCAAAAATTAGATTCCTGCGCAAGTTGTTGTTTTTTTTGCAAACAGCGACATACCAAGGCATATGCCGTTCCTACCATCATTGCAGAAAGACTGCTATCTCCCAGCACTTCTCTACCTGGTGATGGGTCACAGCGAGCTGCAGGAGATCAGCACTTCGTCCTACTGCCAGCTGTAAGTGTATCACTGGATGAACTGAGCAGTTATCATCCCGAGCCAGAAACAGATCTCTCGTTGTAGACAGCCAAAATACTTGAACGGCTCTTGAGTGTATGATGGCGTGGAGGCTAATGGGACGGTCGACACACGAACCCATGCTCAGGACATTGTGCATGTTTCAAAACTTTGTGAAGGGATCGACGCTGCTAGAGTTTGGATATGTATCTTCTTTGGGTGAACATCTCACCAGCTAAGCCTGAACACCAATTGTTCTGGTTCAAGAAAAAGTGAAATGCAGTTTCACAGTTTGTCACCACCCAGAATGCCCTTGGATCATGCATATTCCCAGTATCGAAATATATGCTCCAGAGATGGGTTATGTCTTCAGTCTCATTGATCGATCGCGGTCCAAGCCCTGCTGGAAAGGCGGCTCTCAATGTAACAACGGCGTTTGAAACACTGACGGGAAACGCGAGCGGAGGGGCTGCATGGGTATCGGCTATGGAGCAGAACTCAGCTTTCGACTGCAGAACATACCGTGATCGGTCTCTTCAAGGTTTCAGAAAGGATTGACCGTGAGTATACGAAGAGATGCTTTCGCCATGACCATTTAATTCATGGTACTGGGAAGAATTGGCTTCGACTTGTTCTTCTGGCAGCGACACGATTGGCTGACGTAGGCGGAAGGTATGATACACTCCAGTACGGTACGCCAGACTCAGTTTGAGCCTGCCCCTCTCACGTGATGGTAATACGCAAACACCCCTGGCACGATCATCATGGGTCGGTTTGCCGGAAGCGCCGTGTCCCGCGATCATACGACGCCTAAAACCGAGCATTGGCCGAGGAGCAGCGCAGCATTTGCCTTCAGGCTGCAAAGCCTGTGAGTAATTGCCTGCCTTGTCCTGTCGGTCACTCTGGTCTCTGGTTTGGATGGCTGGCCACCTATCCTTGACCATTACATCTTGCTATCCTAAATTATCTGCCGCGTCCGTGTGACGGAACAGGCGGGGTGACCTTTGCAATTCAATCTCGAAGCATACTCATTAACCCAAAGTCAAAATCTGCTCCGCCCGGAGAGCCGCTAATCCAGTCAGTGGTCGCGCCCTCAACCGCCCAACGGTTCGATAAGATCTAAAACGCCTGCCTGCCACCGACGCTTGTCTGAGCCACAACAACCCTGTCAGTGTCAACCTGACTGCTGCAACAGTTGAACAGATCATCAGCCAAGTTGAAGACTTCAACCAACTCACCGTCGTCCTCCATCACCCACCTCCCCTCAATTACTGCTCGCCTGAGTGTCCCTGAACCAGACTCCACTGTTCATAACCTAGCCTCGTTAGCGCGTCTGATTGGGGTGATAATCTCGCTGGCGCCTCAAACCCGCTGCTAGCCGGCTTCGCTCCTGACCTTCCCTTCAGGTATGCTTCATGGACAGCATCACCACATCGCTCGCTCAATTCAAGCCACTTGTTCATGCCTTGTATAACTAACCTCATATCAGACAACAGTGGGAATTCATCCCGTGGTAGTCGCCTGACAGTTCGATTGCGATTGATGGTCCCGGCCTTGGCCGCTGGACAAGATGGCAATGCCCACCATGGGTAACGACTTTCAGCTATTTTCCCCCTTGAAATCCTCAGACAGACGAGACTCGCAGGCCGAATCGACAACATTCGCCCAATCTACAACGGAGGATTCAAGCCAGGACTGGACGCAGTGGATGAGATGGGATGACCAGGGCTTTGCGGATGGTATCAAGGATCTCTCCCAGTCTCCCTTCGATGCTGCGTTCACATCGCCCAATGCGTCCATAGGAAATACCGATCTCTTCCAGAAATCCGACTTCTCCCCAGACATCTCCCTCGATTGTACCAATCTTCCGTTTGATTCTCTCCTCGATCAAGGCTACAGTGGCATGTCTCAATCGAAGACCGGATCTACTGGCATCGATCTACAGTCTGCACTGTCTGCTACATCCGGCTCTCCGCTCTCCTCGGACGGGCCAAGTCGTAAACGCAAGTCGGGCAGCGATGATGATGGATCGACAGTGAGTGGCGTCGTCCAGACCAGTAAAAAGATGCCGGCCAAGAAGCGAGCACACAACGTCATCGAGAAACGGTATCGAGCCAACCTGAATGAGAAGATTGCGGAGCTGAGGGACAGCGTCCCCAGCCTTCGGGCTTCGAAAAATGCGTCGGGTAGTCTTCTCGATGATGATGACGGGGAGGGTGTCACCCCATCCAATAAGCTGAACAAGGCCTCCATTCTGTCGAAAGCAACCGAGTATATTCGTCACCTCGAAATTCGCAACAAGCGACTCGAAGATGAGAATACGGCATTGAAAAACCGACTGCGTCAAGCGGAGAAGGCCGTTGACCAGTCACTAACCTCCGCAGCATCCGTCTCATCGCCCAGCAATTACACCGTCTCCACGGAATCTGCCGCGAGCTCCTCACCAAGTGTGTTCTCGCACGCAGAGGATAGTCCCAGCGACCACTCCCCGACATCCGCCTATCCTCCCGAAGGCTTATTAACGGTTCCTGATGCATTCAAGCGGATGAGGGAAGAGTCCGCCAAAGACAACGCTTTCTCCCAATCATACATGCAATATCCGAGCAAAACCAGTGCATCATCACATGGGGGTCGTGCCAGGCGGTCATACTACCCCAACAAGTACATGCTCGGTGCCCTGGCCGGGCTCATGGTTATCGAGGGTCTGGGCAGCGAAAAGAGAACAGAATCCACCGCTAAGGGGCTATTGGCGGTTCCGATCAATCTGTTAAGCAGCCTGCAAAGTACACTTCAGAGCCCAACGGCCGCGTACTGGCTTGCCATGGCTCGAAGCTTCTGGTATTCGTGGCACGCGCGGGCCATCTCACATTTTCTGATCCTTGCTACATTGGTCGTGGGCAGTGCATTCGTGGTCTTCGTTTATCTCTTCAATGCTAGTCCCGGGCACGAGTCATCTTCATTGAAGACTGCGTCCGCCACCTTATCGGCATCGAATTTCCGACGCCAGGCTTGGCTGACAAGCATACAGCGCGTCGGTGTCCCGCGTCACCGATTTTTCCACGAGTGGTACGTCGTGACGTCGCGCTGCTTCGAGTACGTTCTGCGGTGTCTCCTCGGATGGAAACTCTACTCTTCTCTTACGGGGGTCACGGAGGAGGATGAGAAGGGACGAGTCAAGACCTGGGATATTGCAATCGACGCACAACTGGCCGGTGGCGATGCGGAAATCAGTAAGAGTCGATTGGTCCTCACCATCTTTGCCGCGGGAACCTTGCCTAGAAGTCCCATGAGAATGATGCTCAAAGCGCTCCATTGTCGCATTCTGCTTTGGCGGGTTGGCGACCGGGGATCGTGGAGCTTCGACTTGTCTAACGATGTCGCTCGTAAATTGGCCAGATATCAGTGGGACCTTGCTCGGAAGAGACATCAAGCCATGCCCAAGAACCACCCGGATGCGCTGCCCAATCACTTGGCGGCGTTGTTGGAATTGGACTGCGATGAAGTCATGATTGACAGCATAGTTCAACGGGCGGCGAACCTCACCTGGAATCGCCCCACGCAAGAAGGCACCGATGATGATCAGGCTCTTCTGGATGTCGTGGAAGAGGATCCTGCCATTCAATCCTCGCTGGACGCGCTTGCGGCGTGGTGGTCCAGCCATCTCTTGCAACGAGCACTCCTCCGATATTTCGAAGCCAGCTCCGGTGGCCCCGACGCCAAGAAGAGCCGTGATATGTTCAAAGCCAAGATCAAACTGGCTCTGGACGTCGCTCCCCAGCCTTCCGCGGCGCATACTCGCGCTCTGGTCATGCAGGCGGTGTTCTTCGAACAAGACCGCGCCGCGAACATCGGGGCGGTCCTGGCAGCGTTGCCGAAGGAGAAAGGTAAAAGCAAGCAAGCCACCAACTTTCTCGACTCGTCATTGCCCGTTTCCGTGCGGGAAGAGATTACGATATCCGTGCGTTGCGCCATGATTGCGGCCATTTTCACGGCACGGACTACCGGCGACACCTCTCTGCCCGCATCTTTCACGATCCAGCGAGCCACCACCTGGTTCAATCAGTTGCCGCTTGACCCAGTCGACCTCACGCTTCTCGGGTTCGCCTCGGTCTACCATTTGCTTCACGTACTGGCTTCTGACACGGACTATCTGTCTTCTTCCGAATCCTCCTCCCCGTCGTCGCCCGTCTCACGCAGCTCCACCCCTTCGTCTTCGGTTTCTGACGATGAGGCGGACGGCCAACCACGGTTGTTGCAGAAGTCTGAGATTCTGCCGCCATCCATCCCTAACTTGGGTCGGGTGGCGTCTGAACTCATGTACTGGGCGCGGAATGCGTACAACCCTGCCTTCTATGGCTTCACCTCTCAACTGGTGCAAGTCATCGAGACCGAATGCACGTCTCTCTGTCACAGTGCTGGTGTCGACGTGACCGACTACTCTCGTATCCAGGAAGAGAAGATCAAATCCAAACAACTGAAAGACAAGAAGAGAAAAAAAGCAAGCAAGAAGATCGTGAGGATGCAATAGATTAGACGACAACCGGCGGCTTATTCGAACTTTGGTACGATGACAGACTGCAGCCTGGAGCCCAGCAGTTCCTTAATCCTCTGTGCAAATTCGCCACACTGACAAACTCTCTGAGATATCACCGTTACGTTTCCTTAATGATATGCCTAAATCGGATTCTTTCACCAATTACGTGTATTTTCAGACTTCTTTTTTCTGGCGTTTTCTGTTCTGACGGGGCAGCTTGAATAGCTGCCACGCATGCCACACTCACATTTCTGACCTCTGGTACAAGGCGTCCTTGGGTTGCACACTGGCTGTTCAGATATCTTCCCTCAACTTCCGGAATGGAACGGAATCGGATCCAAGAGATCGCGCGATTGCCTGTAATGCCTAATATTGTCCTGCGTTAATGTATTGGATGCCCTCTTGGTATTTGAGAATCCTTTGCTTTCTAGGGCATGCCTCGAGACATCCTGTATGCATGCGTATTCCAAGACACGATCGTACCTGTCTCAGCTGTGTCACTTCTCCCTTGGCAGATGTCTCAGGTGTCGGACTTCCCCTGGCGTTGTCTCAGCCTTTCCCCCTGGCGATGTCTCAGTCTCGCAAACGACCGGTGCTGCTTTCGGAGCCTTTGATGACTGACGGCTGGTGCATGCTGGATAGACTTTCACCAGACAACCTCAACCACGCGACATCCCTGCGGTTCTAAATCTGAACCATACGAGTAAGCACCTTAACTTTGTGCAAACTCAGCCAGCAAACTCTGGCCATCCGAGATAAACCTCCAACCGAAGGGGCCTGTCTTTCGGTACACCAGGGTCACATTCGATGACTTTTCATCGCTCCCTCCATTACCAGGTGGTGAAATGCCAAGAATGAGTAGGTATTTGTCCCGGACAGGCAGCGATTGAACCATAAGGCATCCAGCTATCATGGCATGAAGAGCATATGGTGGCATTCGAATCAGCGTCTTGTTGTGGTCGATGGGGGTCTCGACAAGTTCTCGGCGATGATTCCATCGGGGCCTGCAGCGGGTGAGACAATCCCAACCTTATACCGTTGCAACCGGCCCAGCTCGGGCTCTACACAGCACGGGCTGTCACTCGGAATGCAACCATCTGCCCGGTCTTCCCTAGTCTTCACGCGATCATGGATCGAAAACTTGCTTTGCCAAGTCTGGCCTCCACGGGGGCTCCGGTCAATGTATGACGTCAGCACATCCGGGCTGCTCTGTTCGGACGATGTCTCTGGCAAGCATGACAGCCCTGAGCAAACGACTGCGTTCGGAGGGATTCTTCTGAGTACAGAGTTCAGATAATAGCCATTTCAGCCGGTGCGGGTATTGCTGGTCTCAGCTGCTCGGTGCGTTGCGATAGCGGCGCGAGCAAGTAGCCAGGCCGGTCCGTCACATCATCATATACGTCCCGGTTCTACGTCACGACCGACCAGGCTGAAATAGGAGATCCGCTAGAAAGTCGATCCGATGCAACGATCGGGTTCTCGACCGCAGGAAACCTTGGGAAATCCGGGTTGGGCGGATGCTGCATCCACATTCTTACTTCCGTTTCCGGGGCGCCGTTCCATCGCGCGACGGATCGACGACTGGGATCAGTCCCACGCTGAAGAAAGCTTAACGGGAGCCAAATCTGAAGGACCCGCTGGCCGTCGTTCCAACTATCTGACGATTAAACTTTGCCCTGTCACAGGAATTCTCGCGTGCCTGTCGGCCAAGGGCACGCTTCCGCGGACTCCAGTTCCACCCGCGAAGGTTGCAATCGTCTGATAGACTGGCAGTTGCGATTATTGCCTAGATGCACCAAGATCTTGCATGCATGAATTTTACTGGCCGGTGACAGCGCCTGGACAATGGCTCTTGCTCAGCCGGTTGCATGACGCATTGAGGCCATGTCTTGGAGTCGCTTCGGGACGTCATCATATGGATCGTATATAATCCCAATGTCCGTATAAGTAACCGTCGCCGACTATTCACGGCCCGAGTTCGCTTTTCCTATTCTCTTGGCCGAATGTCTGGATTTCCGCCATATTACCACCCCCAACATCCCTCCACGCACTTCACCTCGAGACACCATGGGGGTCGATCATCTCCAGCCGGGCGAGGAGCGCCAAATTGATTACCATCCCCCGATGAACGTAGCGTTGGCGACGCCTATGTTCATTCTCGCCGGGGCTTTTTTCGTTCTCTTCGTGGGTCGTAGTCTGATACGACTGCACCATCGCCGGCGTCTGCATCAAATCTTACAAACCGACAGCCAGGAAAAGTTCGAACGAAGCAGCGCGCTCTCCGCCAGTCTCAACAAGCATGTGTTCTACGCGCCGTTACTATCCGTACGCCATAGTCGCTACTTCCGGCTCGGAGAGAATATCCACATGGGCATCATTCCGCTGCGGCTGGAGGCGGTTTTGCTAACCGCGTATATCTTGATCAATATTGTGTTCTTCTTTGTGCTGGTCGACTGGGGGAAAGACTGGGATGAGGTGGTATTCCAATTCCAATATTCGGCGGGCAGCATGGCCGTGTTGAACTTGCCGGCGCTGGTTCTGGCTGCGGGCCGAAACAACCCCCTGGTGCCTCTGCTGGGGATCAAGTTTGACTGCTTCAATTTGATGCATCGTTGGGTCGGGCGGACCATCATTATGGCGGGACTCGTCCACACCATTTCCGCCGTGGTCATGAAAGAGCATGAAGGTGGGTCACTACCAATATATTGAGGATCGAATTAATGATCGATAGAGGGCGGTTTGGCCGCGGCTACGAAGCTCATCTGGAATACCAAATTCTTCATCTGCGGTTTAGTGGTGAGTTGCTTGCCGAGTTGTTGCGACACACTGTTAATAGTATGTGGATAGGCGATCTTTGCGTTTGCGACAATCCTACTACAGTCCACGTCACCCGTTCGACATGCATTCTACGAAGCCTTCCTCCACACGCACATTCTTTTGGCTATTATGGCATTTGTGGGCTTATGGTACCACCTGGAGGGCATGTCGCAGCAGAACGCTCTACTTGTTACGCTGGTTCTTTGGGGGTTTGATGTAAGATCCTTCAGTTTATCGGCAACCGCGTCCCCTGCTAATAGCATCAGAGAGCAACCCGACTGGCATGTGTCATCTGGCGCAACGTGGGCAAGCACCGCACCAAGGCCACGGTGGAATTACTCCCAGGCGATGTGGCACGCGTCAACGTCAGCCTGGCGCGGCCGTGGAGTTTCCAGGCTGGACAGTATATGTATCTGTATATGCCTTCTCTGGGGTTGTGGACCTCGCATCCGTTCTCGGTGGCCTGGACGGCGACCGGGGAGACTGGACTCGCCGAAAAGCGCAGCTCACAAGATTCCACCAATCGTCTGGTGGGGGAGTCACAGCAGACCACGATGTCTTTCTTGATCAAACGCCGTGATGGATTCACCAGCCGGTTATTGCGGAAGGTGTGCACCTCCACGGAGCGGAGATTCAGCGCGATCGCGCTTGCGGAAGGGCCGTTCGGTATGATTTTACCTGTAACTAGTTATTGCCAATGGGATGCTAATGGAACAGGGGGCTTGGAATCGCTCAATTCCTATGGAACCGTGCTTCTCGTTGCCGGCGGCATTGGCATCACGCATCCGATGTCCTACATCTATGAGTTTGTGAACAAGTTTGCATCCCGATCGACAGCCGTCCGACGAGTGACCCTCGTGTGGGTGGTTCGCAGCTTAGGTACGTGGCTTGAGCATCGACAAGGCATGACTGACATCAGTAGACCATCTCTCCTGGATCCAGCCCTGGATGGCATCCTTGTTCCACCACCCCGCTTTACAAGACGCCAGCGTACCGAAACAAGAGTCATACTTTGAGGTTCCTGACTTCTCCCTATCGATCCAGGTGTATCTGAGTACGCGCGAGTGCAGTCCCGAAGATTACTCCCCGGCGGAATCGCCGTGGGCCATTGCGGCTCCGTCCCGGGTTCCGATCAGTATCAACAGCGGGAAGCCGTGTTTCCGCGAGCTGCTGGAGCTGGAGATGGCGCAGCAGGTTGGGGCCATGGCGGTCAGTGTGTGCGGACCGGGAGCATTGGGCGACGATTTGCGACAGGTGGTCCGGGAGAAGCAGGGGGTGAAAAAGGTGGATTTGTACGAGGAGACCTTTTCGTGGTGATACTTCAGTTTTTTACCTTCTCGTGTGTTATGCTTAATATATATTCACATGCCGTTCTGAATGTTCTATACTTAGTATCAACTACCACCCATCTACCTACCATGCTTTCCATTACAACTTACTACTAGTACTACTAGTGGTACCACCACCACCACCACCCCCCGCTCCCTCAATCAAATGCAAATTCACCGGCGTCACCGCCCTCCCCCTGACCAAAAACCCCTCAATATTCTCCATCGCCAACCTCTCAAATCCGACATGCGTATCCACCGTCCCCCCCGCATTATGACTCAACATCATCACCTTCGCATTCCCCGCCAACCTCGGATGCACATACGGTTCATTCGCATGCACATCCAACCCCACGCCCCCCACCTGCCCACTCTCCACCGCCTCCACCAACGCCTCCTCATCCACCAACCCACCCCTCGCCACATTCACAAACCTCGCCCCGCGCTTCATCTTCCCAAACATTTCCCCATCCATTAACCTCCGCCCCGTGAACGGCGTCGCCACAACCACGCAATCCACCGCCCCTAATAACCCCTCCAACGTGGGCATATACGTGGCATTCACGGCCCTCTCCATCTCGGTCGACTTGCGAATGAGATCATGGTACAGGATGCGCATCCCGAACGCGGCGTGGACTTTCCGGGCGATGGTGTAGCCGATTGCGCCGAGGCCAATGATGCCGAGGGTTTGGGTCCGGGGGTTTCGGGCTGTGAGGGGGGCGTGGGTGTGCGCGTCGAGGAATTGCGTACTGTTTAGAGAGTGTGCGGCCGTGTGGCTCCAGCGGAGATTGCGGAAGACGGAGAGGATGAGGAAGAGGGTGGTGTCTGCGACACTTTCGGAGGATGCGGCGGCGCCGTTGCAGTAGATTATTCCTGATTCCATTGTTAGTGTTGTTAGGGTTGGTGGGGGGATAGGGGGATAGTCTGGGGTAGTCTGGGGTATAGATATTGCGGGAACTAGTTAGGCATGGGGGGGGATACACACCATACTTGGCAAAAACATCCACATCGACCCAATCATACCCCGCCCCTGCAGAAGCCATAATCTTGACCGAGGACGGCAGTAACGAGATCAATTCCTCATCCCAACGACCCATTTCGCCGCCCGTGTTCCAGAAGGGTCGGAAGATGGCGTCAAAGTCCCCCCAGCGATGTTCTTTCAGGGCTTGTTTGAAGGCAGGGCGGTCCCGTTCGGCGGCGGGGGGTCGGATGATGTCGAATTGAGAGGCGAAGCGCGTGTACATGGCGTGGTTGTATTTGATGGGGTCGCCGAGGTGGAGGATTTTGTGTTTGGGCATGGTGGGTATGTTTAGAGCGATTGGATTGAAACTGAGGTGAGTTGAATTGATTGAACTGGTTTGAGTGCAATTGGATTGGAATTTCATTATGGGCTGAGGTATACTTATAGGGATGTAGGTGTGGGTGTGGCCTATTGGGAACTTTGTATCCGTCAATTGCCGTCAAAGCCCGATGCAGAAATCCGAACTGGTTACCCGATCCTTACTTCCTGTAGGACGGAGTTTGAGTTCCAGTAGAATCCTGTTACCGGAAGATAATGCAGCTGTGCAGTGCTGGCTTAATTCAAATGCCTGTTGGCAGAGCTTTATTATCGTCATTTAGTAGAGTTGTCTGTTGGATATAGATCGTGTTTCCACATATGCCTTACGTATCAGGCATATACTGCCAACCTACTTACTAAAATTCTAGAATTGATGATGGGATGTCCTGGCTCGATTCTGTCAGACTATTGAATCCAGAGCAGCCCTCCGGTACTCGCTCTTCCCCACGGCCAACGTCACCACCGATGCAATACTCGCGCCCCCCAGAATATCAAACATAGCCAAGTCCGCCCGCAACTCCCGCGCAAACCAATTCCGCAACTCCACCGCCGCTAACGAGTCGACCCCGTATTGGTGGATCGGCTTGTCCGTGTCGATCTCGTCCACCGGGGTGGACATCATCACCGAGAGTTTCTCCCGCGTCGCGCGCATCGCGATTTCTGCCGCCTCTGTCGTCGACGCAGCTCCCGCAAAGAGCGCCGCGAGATTCGAGTCGTCGGATTTGCCGCTTTCGGCTCCGTTGACTAGGGACAGATGTTGGAAGAGAGGCCGGTCGAGCCAGTCGGCCTTGTGCATTCCCTTTTCTCGCATGGTCGGTGTGATGCCGACGACGACCTGGCTCTCGAGCATGGAGATCTCGTCCCGACTGGGATCGCAGTACGTGTCCAGGACGGCGTGCAGCTCCGATTCGGTGACCTCATCCAGGACGTTGTTGGCCAGGAAGTGATCGCGGCTTTCCGGGTTGTCTTTGAAGTAACCCGCCGTGAGAATGAGTCCCAGGTCCAGCGACACGGCTTTCTCGCCTAGCCCGATTCGATACCGTGCCAGACCGTCTTTGAACGTATTGCCAGCTGCGTACCCAGAATCACTAATTGCTCCAAAAATCCCCGAGACAGACGACATCAGGACGAAAAAGTCCATGCCCCGGGGAAGAAGCTCGTGCAGGTTCCAGGAACCTTGTGCTTTAGGGGTCGTGGTGGATTTCCAGGATTCATAGGTCAGGGTTTCAAAGTTATGAGCCTACATCTTATTAGCTGTTGATCCTTCCTAGACGTGTGGGTAACACTCACAGAGACCACCATCGTTGCCTGCACGCATCCCTTGATCGGAGGCATCAGCTGCCCACAGACCCCAAGCACCGTATGGAGCAGTTCCTTGTTGGTGATATCACACGCGGGAGTCACGACTCGCGCACCTCTTCCTTGCAGCTCCTCCACCAGGCTCCTGGCGTGCGGACTGGCCGGGCCAGATCGCGAGAGCAGGATCAAATTGCGTGCACCCCGCTCCACAAGCCAACGAGCAATACTGCGGCCGAGGCCACCCAGACCGCCAGCAATGACATACGTTGCATCAGCCTGGAAGGAAAAGGACGGCTTGGTGTGAACCACCGTCTGTCATGGTTAGCCAGGTTCACTATATGAGGTAAAATACCTACCATAACCTGGTCCGTTTCTCGCATCTCCAACACCGTTTTCCCCGAGTTCTTCCCAGTCTGCATCTGCCGGAATACCTGTTCAATCTCTGCGATACCTCGAACCTGCAACGGATGCACAAGCGATAATTTCCCTTCTTCAAGCAGAGAGAACACCTTCTCCAAAGCTGCACTGATGATATGTGGTCGGTCGATCGCCATCCCAGCCAGATCAATGGCCGTAAAACTCACATTCCGCTCAAACTGGAGCATCGGGAGACTCGAATTGGATAGAATATCGTTCTTTCCGATTTCCACAAAGCGCCCGTACGGCGCAACGGATTCCCACGATGCAATCAAACCATCGCCGGATAGCGAATTGAGAACAACGTCTACGCCTCTCTCCGCAGTGAGACGTCGGATTCCCTTGGCAAATAGAGTATTCCGACTGGAGAAGATATGCTCGGCCGGGATGTGGTAACGGTCTATCAAGAGCTGCTTCTTCTCTTCGGTCGACACGGTTGTATACACCGTTGCTCCTAGGTATTGAGCCACTTGTATCGCGGCTTGTCCGGTCCCACCCGCTCCCGAATGAATCAGAATTGATTCGCCTGCTTCAAGGCCTGCGATTTTGTTCAGGGTGATCCACGCGGTTGCGTATGCTACGGGAATAGAGGCAGCAGTTGAGAATGACATCTTTTCATCCCGGATCTTCACGACGGGCATGTCCTCTTCCACACGGACATAACTCGCATAGCGGCTGGGACGAAAGGCAACAACTCTGTCGCCGAGCTGGAACTTCCGACACGAAGGCCCAACCTGGACTACTTCGCCGGCAAACTCAGCTCCCAGGGTATCGCTTTCCAGCCTGCCTAACGCAACGAGCACGTCACGAAAGTTCAGTCCCACGGCGTGGACTTTGATCTGTATTTCTTTCGGTCCAAGCGGTTTGTCAAGGGATCGGTCTTCAATAAAATGAAGGGTGTTCAGGAGGCCAGGCGATCCGATGCTCAGCCTCAACGATGGGCCGGAGCCATATGGTTTCGTTTCTCTCCGCTGTGGGAGAATCTTCCTGGCTACTTCTTGAGACAAAGGTCTGGCTGGGACTAGACGACTGACGTGAAGTATGCCGTCGATTTCGGTATACTCCGTATCTGAATCCCTGTTTGTATCAACAGCGACGGAGCGCACGATCTTGAGAATCTGCTCGCTCTGGTGTTCTCTGGAAGTGCTTGGCTCAAGTGCCAACGTTGTCAGTCGTGCTCGGTACATCTCCCCAGTGAGTACCCGGAAAAGCCCATCCACAAGTCGGTATTTCGGAAAAGGCTGATGCCCTCCGCCTTCGCTGACCCAGATGAGGTTCCTCGTAGATGCCACCAGCCCTTGCAAGGCTTCGTACTCTGATTTGTCCATGTTGTATAAGAAGGGGACCGTTGATTCCAACAAACAGATGTCCAGGACGTCTGATGATAGCTCTCTGTTCAGAGTGTCACTCAAAGATCTCTGGGTGATGTCGGAAATTCCAACCCCCCGGAGACAATCAGACAATGTCACCGCCAAGTCAGCCTGCATCTGAACTTTTGGGTCAATGATAATATTCACTGCCATACTTCCAGTAGTCCGAGGAGCGAGGGCAGTCGACACGATCATGCTGCCTTCGCGACACACTTCATCGTTGTAATCATCAATTACCAGGTCGCAGCCTGAGAAACCAGTCTCTACCAACAGCTCTCCCCATTTCTCAGAACTTATACAAGGACTCTTTTGCCGGTACGACTCCGTTCCTGTTGTTGTTAGCGACGTAATCGGGGCTCGGGCACACGAGCCTACCTCGCCACCATCCATCCAGCAGACCAAAGATAAGATTGGTTCGGATTGAATGCAGATTGGTAATTTCAAAAAGAAGCAGCTTCCCACCACTAGCATACAGTCAGCACATCTGTGTATCTAGCGTTGCATCACGTACACTTTCAACAACTTCCGGACATTTCGCAAACTAGCAGACAAGTCCGCCGTTGCATGCAATACCTAACAAGTCAACATACAGCCAAGCTGTTAGATGTCCGACCTTACCAGGAATGCAACAACCATATCATAAGTCCCACACTCGAACCCCTGTACTTCAGGGTCTTGCTCAATATCAAGCACCTTGAACCGCATGTGCTGACCTTCTGCTGCAAACAGGTTCTGGGCGCCAGGGAAAAAGGAACTCGAGATGTCGGTAAAGTCCCATCGACTGTACCGACGCAGACTAGTCCCCGATTCGAAGTCCATGGTCAATGCCTTTAGACAAGCGTCAGTCATGGCCCCAGTTCCAGCTCCTATTTCCAAGATCTTCATCTGCGGGTTTTTATGGACCATCTCGCCAATCAACTTTTCTAGCCGTGATGTAATTCGGGCAGTGCGAAGCTGGATGCCGTCCGTGAGAAAGTCATATATAGGAAATAGGTTCATTGGTCAAACTTACCATCTCATAATAAACATCCGCAAGCAGGTTGTTTGAGAACAGATGAGCTAGTGGATCACTTATGAAGCCTGCCAGATCCCGGCATACTATGCTCACGAGGAGGCCTCGCTTGCTGCCAGTCTCGACTCGTTCCTGTAGCATTCTGATATAATCATCATCGTTCATGCGGTCCTTCCATTCCTTGGTGCTAAATCGGGACAGCCCAAGATCAAGTTCTCTTTTATAATCCAGTGCCCAGTCAACGTACTTGTTGGAATGGAGTGGAAGGCGTTGCCTATCCTCCTCGCGAACCGAGGCCGCATATCTACTGATGTAGATTGTTGCGAGAAAGTCAAGCTCTGTGAAGTTCCGTACCGGCTCTGTAATCTCTGATTCGTAGACCCCATAGAGGTTCCAAGCCTCGTCACTGGTTAGCAGGTCAAGGTCAGGCTTCCGCTCAATATAGTGGCAAAGATTATCCGTCTTGAACTGATCTGTGATGACTGTCTTCTCCGCGCCTGCAATGGCTGTTACTTTCAACCCCTCGAGTGTCAGAAGAGCTTTGGATGCAGCTGTATCCACCGCTGTCATGGAGTAGTGTGTATAACCCACGGCCGATTGACTGCAAACCGCATATGCTTTGACAATATTTGCAGATGGGTAGCTGAGGCCACCGGTGTTGGACAACCAAAGTCGGTCAATCCTAGTTGGAACAGCCACGTTTGTCACACGCCGGCCTAGATCCGTTTCCAAACCGGCCGCCATTTGAATAATCGCATCCAGGGTTGTGGGGTGAATCGTGTGAGCCGGATAAGTCCCGGGACCACTGGCAACTGTCGGTTGGAATGTCCGAATGTCCGAGATGATGTTCTTTCTGTCTCCATAGCCGATTCTTTGCATTGCGGCAAATTCAGGGCCGTATTGGTATCCAGAAAGGCGAAGGAGCTTGTAGAACTCTTCCGCATTAACGGATGATGTGCATGCCTGTGCTGCATCACTGTATTTCTCTAAAAGATAGCTCTCCCACGCGTTCTCTTCCCGGAAGTTTGCATCTAGACCTCCGTCCTTGGCTTCGTAAAGGGCTTGGATGGATCCAGAGCTGTTCTCCACCCAGGACTCATTGTCGTAAGTGTATATGCGGTACTCATACCAGCCGGTCGCATCCGCCTTTCCATCTTTTATCCGCTTTAGGTGAACGTTGACCTCGATTCCTTCTGCATGGGTGGGGATTTGTAAAGCGGACAAGAACACGGCATCCCGGACATTGAAGCCTACGATAAGCCGGTCCGGATCAGCCAGTTGCTTGACAGCTTCTATTGCCATGACCACCATGCCTGCACCAGGATACAAAATAGTGTTGTTGATCTTATGGTCCTGCACCCAGGGCATATCAGAGACTCGGATGATGTTCCTCCAGCTGGCCTCCATCGGATTTCCATTGGGCTCAGGTGTACCAAGCAGCTCGAGATAACCACATCGACGGAACCTGTATCCTTTGCTCAAGCGGCTTTCATGCCAGTAAGATGTAGAGTGATTAAAGGGATACTCGGGTAGGTCACCTAGCACACGAGCCTTCACCTCACCGTCTTGATTTATCGACGATAACCTGACCGGATATCCGCTGCAGTGGAGACGACCGGCGGCTTCCATGACGCATTCCAGGGCAGAACGGTTGCGCATGAGCAAGGGAACATAGGAGACTTTGTCGTTCTTTTTAACAGCGTTGACAATATCTCGACATGGCCCTTGCAGCGCAGAATGTGGGCCAATCTCCAATAGATGATTAATTGCAACGGTGCGGCGGTGACTGCCATCAATCTTCTTGGAGGCCTTGCCGGTTTGGGAACACAAATAGCTCACTGCATCATGGAATAGCACAGGTGAGACCATGTTATTGACCCAGTATTCCGGCTCCACTAGTCGCTCGTTGGATACCAAAGTCCCGGTAACTGAAGATACCATGAACGGTGGTTTTCTTCTTCTTTTGCTTGACGCTTCCAGGTTGCCAAGAGCGGTATAGTACCTCTCTGACACCTCGCGCATCTGAAATGAGTGGTAGGCAACATTGACAACCAACTTCCGGGCAAATATATTATCGCGATTAAGCAAGTCCTGCAACGCGTCGATCTGCTGCAGCTCCCCGGATATTGTGATGCTCCGAGGGCTATTAACGCAAGCGACAACAACCTTCAATGCTTCGAACTGGGAGGCAAGTGCATCCAAATATGTCTGCACCTCTTCCTTTGACAGACCCACAGCAAGCATACCTCCTTTCATGTCGCTAGATCGCCCCAGAAGTCCGGCTAAATAGCCTCTATAGTATGCGGTCTTCAATGCGGAGTGTTTCGATAACGCCCCAGAGCAGTATCTGTAGCCACAAAAGCTTAGAGACAGTACAAATAAATGCGAGTAAAACTTACGCAGCAGCAATCTCGCCAGACGAATGACCAACCACCGCAGCAGGCGCAATGTCCCAGCTTTCAAGCAGGTCGACCAAGGCGATCTGAAGTGCTGTGCAGAGTGGCTGGCCATACACTGGATCATTCACATTTGACTCCAGCCCTGGCTTGCGTAGTTCCTCTATTTGGAAATCTTAGGACATGACAAAGATGATAGCCTCTCCCACTTACCTAGAACATCCCACTCACATCCGAGCTCTTTGAAGTATATACCTGACTCAGACAGGCTACTCGTGAAAACTTCATAGTGGTCTATAAGCTCGCGGCCCATCGCGTACCACTGGGCTCCTTGCTATTTACCGTTAGCGCGCCCTAGAAAATATGTAAATGTGGTCCTTACTCCAGTAAAGACAAACGCCAGGTGTGGCGAATTGATGCATAGAGTAGCTGGGGCAAACTGCAGTGCCAAATTCGGAACAGGTGCCGCTGGTTTCGCAACAACAAAAGTCCTCCACGCCCAATGGCTCCGCCTGTCGCATAGAGTGTATGCGAGGTCCCTCATGTAAGCTTCTGTTTCTGTTATTGATAACTTCGAAAAGTACGAGCTCCAGGTTTCTGCAATCCGTGAGATTCCTGCTTTGTCTGCAGCTGACCACACGAGCAGCCTTGGATCTGTATTGCATTCACAGAGGCTGTCATGATTAGAGCCGTTCACTTGAGAGAGACGAGAATTACTATCGTCAGCCTTGTCATGACCATTCACCTGCAGCGTGCCATTGACCTGAGGTATCACGACAGTTTCATGTTGACCTTTCTCATAACCCAACAAACGAAGGGAATTGCAAGCATCATCAAGCACAATATGACTATTTGCCCCGCCAAAGCCAAAAGAGCTCACAGATGCTCGTCGTAGTCCAGGAGTAGGCCAGGCAATAGCGCTTTTTAGTATCTGTATAGCAATTAGCCTGGGCATGATCATATCATCGATAGCCTCTTGCCTTCAGTTTCAAGTAATCCTCGTCGATCTGGGAATTTGTGTTCTGCAAATTGCTGCTATTCGGTGGAATGATGCCATTCTCCAATACAAGGACTGTCTTGATGAAGCCAGCAATTCCACTAGCCCCTTCCAAATGGCCGATATTTGATTTGACAGACCCTCTGATTTGGCTTAGTAACCTCACCAGTACTCTAGATGTCAGATACTTACAGGTATAAAGGCGCATCTCCCGATCTATACGCACGAAATGCCGTGCCAATAGCTCGAGCCTCGATAGGATCACCTATCGGCGTTCCTAGTGCACGTTGAGAAGTCTATATGCGATTTGGTTGCCTTGGACGCTCTCACCTGTCCCATGTGCTTCAAAGTACCTGGTGGTGTTCATATCAAGTCCGGCCTTTCGATAAGTGTCTTGAATCAAACGGACCTGTGCGTCCTTGCTCGGTTGCAGAATTCCCGGTGTTTTCCCATCCTGGTTAGAACTGGATGACCGGATGACAGCCCTAACAGTGTCTCCAGCCGATATGGCGTCGTCAAGCCGTTTAATGATCACGGCACCGACACCCTCACCTCTAGCATATCCATTTGCTCGGCTATCAAAACTATAACAGTGGCTATCGCGTGACAATAGCCCAAGGTTGTCCAGGCCAATTGTCATCTCTGGAGCTAGTATTACATTACAGCCAATAGCGACGCCCTATTCATACCATGTCAGTAAGTCTACCAGGTATGTGCTTCACAGAGGGGAAGGATTAAGCACCATAGTAGCGTCACCACCCCATATAGATTGGCAGGCTAGATCTACCGCCATGAGACTGCTCGAACACGCCGTATCAATAGTCGCACTAGGACCTAAGAAGTCGAAGAACCAACTGACGCGGTTGGCGATCATATTCCGGCCGCTGCCCGCGGTAGCAGTCTTGGGCACATTGAGCGGATCCTTCATCTGAAGCATGTGGTAATCGCTGCAGAAGGAGCCTGCAAATACACTAGTTTTTGAACGTGCAACCTGTTCGACTGGTAGTCCAGCATTTTCCAGTGCACGATATACCGTCTCCAACGCGAGGCGCTGCTGAGGGTCCATGGCCTTTGCATCGGCATCACTCATTCCAAAGAATGGGGCGTCAAAAAGCCCAAGGTCTTCTTTGAGGAAATGAGCTCCACGGCAGGAGATACTGTGCAGCCGGTCTCGGTCGGCATCGTGATGAGCGTTGATATTCATCCGATCCTTGGGAAATTCTCCAGAGGCACATCGGCCTTGGACCAGCATATCCCAAAACGCTTCAGGTGATGTTGCATCTTGAGGAAACTTCAGTGAGATTCCGATCACAGCTAAAGGAGCAACACCGCCCTCCCCAAGGGCACTATAGGCCGTACTGTTGGAAGATGGGCATTCCATGAAAACAATTTGTGACAATCGCAAAGTTGACCAACAAAGAGGTAATCATCCCGCTCCGTCTGAACTAAACAAGAAGGCAAAGCACCTAATATTATATCCAGTATGAGTAATACAACTCTGGAATCGAGCTTCTGCGCTAGAGCATTGCCTCGCGATGAACTTCCGCGGAACATAACTCAAATCATGAAAGCAACCAAGCCCGAAGGATGTTCTCAGCTAGCCAGTGCAAATTCCATAGCTCCTTCAGGATCGTTGATTGGGCACCTGTACTATCGGCCTAGTGATCCTTCTCCGATCTAAGAGGCGATATGCAAGGAGGACGGATAGACGGGCCAACATGCCTGGTTGGGGGCCAGGGACCAGGCATCCACGGCCACTGTCAGCTTTTTGGCCCCGCCATTCCTGCCCTCGGCAGGGTGAATTATGGCCTGTCTGCTTGCGCATCTCTGCGCCCAGCCTAATCTCGGAGATCATGTGTCAAAAGCAATACGGCATGTGCCACTATTGGAACCGACTTTCCCCGTAAGGTGTGATAGGAACAATAGATTGATGCAACTACCCTCCCGCACCAAATCTTCTTCACGGCGAGGTTGAGTAGTCCCGGAAATGGAGGAGGCTCAAAGCGTACTGGGATAAATTGTTGCGATAATCCAGTGCGTAAATACGAGCATCCCTGACAATTTGCATTGCTTGACATTCGAGATGCGCATCCTTTGGTATCGCCAGTGAAGCCTGCTGCTATCTCTCAAGTCGTGTATACTAACTTCAATTCAGTTTACATGGAGCAGGTACCAACTCTCGGGTGAGTGACTGTCCTTGCTGGCGATCGCATATTCACATGGTCTGGTGCGCTAATTTCAACCCCTCGCCATCAAGATATTCGAGATTCAGACGGCGGCTATTCGGTATGAGCTCGGTGATAATCACACCTATGATTTTGTCGAGGGAACGATTCCTTCCACAATGTACCCGGGTAGAGTAGCAGGCGAACAGACCCCTCCCGAGATGTCGGCTAAAGGTTGGCACAGGTGTGGATGTAGTGGCCTGGAAAGACGAACCCGTGTACGCCTACTTCGACGAGCATCATCCTGAAAGCGGGTTCGCAGCCTACCATTACTTGGAGGAGTACCTCCATGACGAGGGCCCCTATGATGGGGTCATCGCATTCAGCCAAGCAGGCACGATGATCCTCACGTACCTCATCCATCTCGCCAAGAAGGATCCCCGGGCTGAAATGCCATTCAAGTTTGCAATTATCCTTTCCATCACTCACCCCCCACTGGACTATCAAGAGCTTCAGAAAGGTCGTGTGATGGCCATCGATCTCGAGGGTACAGCAGGCATTATCCCGATCCCAACTGCCCATATTTGGGGCTCACTTGATGAGGCCGCCAGCCAGGTTGCCACGTCAAATAGTGTCTGCAAGGCTGATGTTAGATGGGTTTATGTCCATGGCCGAGGGCATGAGGTTCCCGGCGCCGGGTCCAAGGACGATGTTACGCAAACGGTCAATATTATTCGCAGAGCCGTCGACGCCGCATCCAACCAATAACAAGGCCGACTACCGTAAAGGGGAATGCACTGCGGATCGCCACACTATGTATGTATCGATATCAATAGGTCCGGGAATGCAGGAGGTCATAGCATCTGAGGACGCCCAACGAACTGCTACTGTTGATCTTTGGATCCGTCACCACATTAAAGGCATCGTAATCCTAAATTCACTTTTATTATTCAATCACCTCACGACTAATCGATATGTGAGTCGTATGAATATTTGAGTATTTTCCTCAGTTTCGCAATGGGTAACTCTCGGTTGGATGTCTCGAGTACCGAGTCTCCTAATTTACCGGCTGCGGCTGGGGAGTCATTGTCTTCGGGTTGCAAAGCTCCTGAGCGAAATGATAATATTGGTTCCTCAATCTCCGAGCCGGGGAGTTCTTCTCCGCAATATCTGCACGGGCTTCGACTATGGATTGTAGGCTCCAGGTAAGCGGGCGCGATCACTTCCCCGACCTAGAATGGCAAAAAGGGATTTCTAATGCTGCTTGTTGGGGACAGCATTGCGTTGAGTCTCTTTCTAGCCACAGCCGAGATCACGATAATCAGCACATCCCTCGTCACCATTAATGAACATCTTGAAGGCGGGGAACAAAGTACTTGGATCATCACATCTTACCTGTTAGCTTTCACCGGATTTCTTGCCACTTGGGCTAAATGCAGCGATGCGTTTGGTCTCAAGTCAGCCTTGCTTAGCTCCCTGCTCCTGTTCATTGCTTTTTCCGGGGGGTGTGGTGCCGCCCAATCCATCGACCAACTGTAAGTAAGCTTTCCCACTTTGCGACTCGACTTTTTTTAATACATACGCGAAGCATCATCTGTCGCGCTTTTCAGGGAGTTGGTGGCTCAGGGGTTTTTTCCTTGGGCCTCTTCAGCGTGGTCCGCATCGTACCTCCCGAAAAATATGACACTGCCAGCGCTGTTGGATCCGGCGTGCTCACTTTGGCCCTTATCTTGGGTTCATTAATCGGGGGCGGAATAAGCAGATCCGGCGCTTGGCGCTGGATTTTCCTCTTCAAGTAAGCAAGAGAGTGTTCTATACACGTTTCGTCATTCGGGTGCTAATTGTAACAATTAGTGTGCCCGCCGGAGGATTGTCATGGATCGTGCTCTGCCTCCTCGTTCCGAGGAACTTCGCTAGGACGGTCATGACTCGCCGATCTGACGGGCTTGTCCGTCATGCGCGGACCCAACTGCAAGAATTCCTAGCTCAAGCAGACTCCGTAGGATGTCTGCTGCTTCTTGGTTTCTCCATGCTTTTCGTGGCCGCCTTGGAAGAAGCCAATGTGCGGTACGCCTGGTCATCCGGGATCATCATCGGCTTATTAGCCGGCTCAGGTGTGCTTCTGGCGGCCTTTCTGGGTTGGGAGTGGACCCTTAGTACCCGGAAGCACATGCGCATGGAGCCAATGCTCCCGTGGCAGTTGTTCAAAAGCCGAGTAGTGTTGGGAATTATCCTGTCAGTGGGGACTCCTCGTCTATCCCCCCAGGGTCACTTGGTTACCTTTGCTGACCATAGACGAGAATTAATTCAACATCGCAGTGGCTTTTTCCTAACAGGACCAGCCGTCACTATCCTGTACATCGAGCTTCCCCAGAGGTTCCAAACCGTGAATAACTTTAGCGCAATAGAGGCGGGCGTAAGAGTGCTCGCCTTTGGGGCCGGATCCCCTGTGGGGGCCATTTGCTGCACCATCCTGGCTGGTCGTTTAGGCACTCCATTTGTATATCTGACTCTTGTTGGGTCCGTGCTGCAGATTGTGGGGGCGTTCCTGCTCTCTTCCGTCCCCGCCACGGTGGATGCCTGGCCGGGTGAGTATGGGTACATGGCTTTGACCGGCCTTGGAACAGGAATCTCCATCGCGGCTCTGTACATGGCGCTTCCGATCGTGGTCGGCGAGCGTGATCAAGGTACGTCCAACAACATTGAGCATCTAGTACGTACACCCCTCTGTCAAATTTGCTGACAGACAAAGCCATTGCAATGGGCCTGACACTCCAAGCGCGAATGCTGGGTGCGTCATTAGGCGTTGCTGTTGTCAATAGCATTCTAGTCAATTACGTCAAAGGTCATCTTCCACCCATCGAGGCCGCAGCAGATCCAAACCACCTTGCCGGGTTACCAGTGGAAATTCAGGATACGATTCGCGCAGTGTATGCATCTGGATATAATCGCCAAATGTACGCAGTCGGGGCATGTGGAGCAGCGCAGCTGGTTGCTGTAGTGTTGATGTGGAAGAAAGACCAAGTCCGGTTTGTTCGTCAAGTGAAAGTGAACGGGGCGCTGGGCCACGAGACCGAACTGGAGCCTGGGAGCCTGGCAACCTAGTTGACCAGGCACCTATTTGAGCCTACTTACGTTGTACAGAAAGGCCTGATGTCGATCAAATTCGCTGACCCAGAAAACAGATTCTTACTAGCTGTCTGTGTAAGTATCTTGGCCTTCTATAAGAGACACTAGTGATAAGTTCCTTTGACATTTTCTTGTTACATATGATAGCTTTCATTGCGACAGGATTTGGAAAGTAACCACATAGCGGGGTCTATTTGGAAGCAGTCATCTATATGGGAAAATCGCAACAATTATGCAAGAACACCAATACCCCTCGTGATCTCTCATCGCATCGCTCCTCCCTCCCGCAATGCCCATCGCACCAGTTCCTCCAGATTGTTGGTCACTTCCCTTGTGCGAGGGATTTCATGACCTCCGCCATGATCATACAGCTTCCTTTTTGCTGGATCACAGGCCTGTGACAGTTGAATGCCAGCAGACCATCGCGGGTCCTTCTCCCCATATACATGCACTGTCGGGATATTTATTTGAGCTTCCGAAGGCGTGATCTCTTTCCGCACATCTTCCACAGACGCAGTGAACGCACCCTCCCCCTGCCAACGTGCCGAGCCCTGTGCTAGAATCGCGGAGGCATCTGCCTGTGCCGCTAGTGCCCTGCGAGTCACAATATCCTTATGCCACACCTCAGGGGCAATTTTATATCCCACCTTTTCCATAACCTTCAGCGGAACCCCGGCGCAAATGAAGATGGCGGTCTTGAATGGCAGCGGTCGGCTTGGCTCTTCAAACCGATGTAACAGAGAAAAGGTTGAGCCAACGGCGCATCCCTGCGAGAACATCATGAGGGCATCGTAGGGGCCATTGGTGTCAAGATAATTCTGGAGCCAGTCGCGACTGCGCAGGACTGCCTCGATGGTGTCTTCTTCCCAGAAGGAGTAGAAGGGCGGCGGGTAGAAAAGATCGATCCCCGGGGCTGGGTCTGATTCATAGAATCCATCGACGAATTCGAAGTCGATATCCAAATCCGATAGTCGAGCACGAAGCGCAGCTAAGGGGAATCATTCTAGGTCAGCAACAGAAGTTGGGACGGGAGGTGGATGTGTGACAGACAGGTTTGGGATTTGAAAATGGCGCCGCTGGTGCCTTTACCGTGTAGACAAAGGACCCTCATTGTGACTGTCTTTCTGTCTAGAGGTAATTTTCAGGCATAGGAGGAGGTAGAATCGAGAGAGGGGCACACAGGGCGCGGTAGGAACACTGCCCCACTACAGGTGCAGGTGCAGCATAAGCAAGGATCGAGGGACACCTTGGCCTGAAAACAAGGCACGCTGGCTCCTATCGGAATCCGGAGTGTTTTTGGTGGGAAAGGTATGTAATCTCCTCTACCAGACTATGGCATATATTGAGACAGACATAGATACAGATACTACTCCAGCGATGGTAGATCTAAGATCCACTGCGGGCCGGTTCCGGAGAAGGCACATGGAGTCTTGATAATATTCAGTCCGGGATCCAGGGGGATGACGGGACTATTGGGGATGTCTTCTATTGAGACCAGTGTGTAACAGCAATGTAACCCCAAAGAGGGCAGATGGGTGTCCAACCTCCGACCAACATAGCCTTGGAACCTCAAAATGATCCGGCCTTTCGCTTCTATAGTGAACATCGCATTCTTTCTATAACCAGCGTCCAGTGTTCTATCTGGAGTCTCGCAAGTCTCAACGACGAGGCTCTCGAGATCCCTTTTTATGGTACGTCGGAACTCTCGTCACGCCAACAGAATTGAGTCGCCCGGTGATCAGTCAAATATAGGATTGTATGATAAAGCGCGCCTCTATAATTCCATGAGCGAAGGCAATACAGCCGTCGGCCTCTTAGGTCAATGCAGTGAAGATGCAGGATATATCAGTCCAACTCTACTAATGCTGCTGAGAAATGCAAGATGATGTTTTTTTTTTCACGTTGTACAGATGTTCTCGAACGATATGCCAATGGGACATCCTCAAGTTGTAAAAGTTACAATATTTTAGGTTGGGCAGTGTCGTAGGCAAGGCACCCATCACTTTATCAAATAGCGCATGAAGAGGTTGATGATGTGCACCAACTTTCTAGTCCTAACAACTTTAATATAAACTCGAATTATTATTTCAAGAATCCGATCAGTCCCAGTCAGATAGCTACAAGGTACCAGACATGAAGCTGCAACCTGGAGCTGAGGATTATTCAATAGGCAAGGGACTCCACCAATCAGAAGTTAGCCCGCACTCAGGCTCCGCGGCCAAAAAATTCCAAGCGGAACCTGTGAAGCTCCCGAGCCCATAGGATCACCTTCTCTCATAGCATTGTGATACACTCGCTCGACCTGATTTACTCTACTCATTTATCATAGTATCCTGCCCATCGACATACTTGTTACGCCATAATGGTCGGGCCCGCTGCTACCCTCACTCCTCTAGCTCGTGCCGACGGCTCAGCTTCCTATCAGTGTCCCTCGACCGGATCCAACATCCTGGGATCTGTCAATGCGCCCGTCGAACTTCCCGGACGCCGAGATGCTCTAAAGCCGGAGGAGGCGACCGTGGAAGTATTTGTCAAACCGGGTACTGCCCCCGCTGGTGTTGGTGAACGTTATGTGGAAGGTATCATCAAGGGAGTCCTCGGACGATTGATCTTGGGACGAGAGAGGGGCTACCCCCGGCGTGGTGTCGTGGTTACGCTGGCCACGGTAGGTGGTGACAGTGTGGGTAGAGGGGACTCGGTAAGAACATTTGACAATCCCAGACAGCGTCTTCAATGGTGAGTAATGGTGGCTAACGCATTGATGTGAATCCACAGTATCTCACTCTCCTGCCCGCGCTCCTCCATACTGCGCTTCTGGCACTGCTATCGGCTTCTGTTCCCTTATCCATGACTTTCTCTGCGACTGTTTTGGCCGTAAGCGATTCGGGAGAAATCATCCGCGAACCTTCGACAGAACAAGCAGCTGCAGCGAAATCCCTCCACGTCCTAGCATTCTCGTCCAAGGGCCACCTGTTGTTGAATGAGAGCCAAGGGGCTTTTGACTTCGAGACGTGGGAAAAGGTTCACCAGCGCGCGTTGGCTATCTGCCACGGCACATCGGCGATTGGCAGCGACGGAGACGTTGCTATGGTTGAAGATGTGGATGGTCAGCCCCTGGAGGGTACTATCCGGGAGACTATTGAGGATCAGGTCCACCGTGACTACGCTTGGAAGATCGATGCGGTTTGATCGTCCAGCCTAGACGACGACATTAATTCAGTCGCGACGGGCGGCTACGGTCACCGGCGGTCGCTCTCACGAGATCGCTGTCCATTGCGGCCGGTATCTCCGGGCGGTTTTCACTAATATCCCTCAGAGGCGGCCATTCGAAGGAGGATTCCTCATCGCACCAGGCTCCAGATACTTGTGTTGGTGTGCACGGGACATTCTTGGCGACCGTCGAGGGACTGGTTCTATGACATTCCACTGGTGGATACGACGGATAAACATTGTGGGAGAATCTCATCGCGGCAACCCAAGAAGGAGACTGGTCCACGACGAGGGACGTGCACTAAGGAAGTTGACCATCTTCCGTTAATTGGATGTCTCGGACGAGGGACATTCTCTGCGATAAGGCAACCATCCAGACCAAGCCACATGGGGGATGCAATCTACGGGATATTAATAGAAAGCGAGCTTTTTTAGTCCCATTGAGTTATGCATGTGGACTTTGAAATATCATGGAATTGTGGAAAGAAAACATGGGGGGAATGTATGGCATCCCCTGTACTCCGTACCGTGTACGGAGTCGGAGTAGTAGCTCGTAATCTACCTCCTCTAGTGTAGGAGGGGAACAGACAGACACAGGCATGCGCACATCTGTCCGCAACCTCAGCTGAAAGGAGTTGAGTGACGGGAAAATATGAGAATCAACCGGATCAGCACCAATGGCGCCCCCTTGCACATGGCTTCGTGATGTGTAATGTGTGATAAGCGTCTACCGGCATGGGGGGCTGGACGCTTGGACTAGCCCGACTCCGGCCAGGAAAAGGAGGGCAGAGGGAATTGGTTCGGTAAATACGGACCAGTCCAGGTTGCATGCATCCTCTCCCTTTTGTCATCTTTACCCACATTGTTTTTTTGTCATCCGCGGAGACCCCTAACGTCATCCTTTCCCAGCTTCTTTCATCGTCTTTCTACGGAGTACTCCGTATGCGTTCCGTGGCTACAAGATGATCGTTCGCGAGGAGCTGACAGTCTGACACTGGGGACTTCTGATTTTGCGGAGTTAACTGCCGCCCGATTGGGGGAGAAGAGGGGGGATCTCCGTCTTCACGATGACGGTCACCCGCCTTAATTAATAAGGGAGTGGAAGCCTATCGAAGTTCGACCAGGAGACTAGATTAAGATGATTGTGGACAGGCCCAGAGAAATGCCTTAGCCTGGCCAATGGTCAGGGCCGCCGTGAACCTTGGGGTGGATTACGCTGGACGGCCGCCCGCCCCAAACCCCGTTACATCCGAACGGCCTTCGCAGTCCCCCGGCGTTTTTCCTTTCCGTCTCCAGCATATTCCATCATTATCGCAACCCTTTCCCTGTGTCTCCGTCTGACTGAACCAACCAGCTCCTGCATCGCACAAGCGGCCTCTCCATATATCTGCCCATGGCTTCCTCCCCGCTAAACCATGGCCCGATGAACCCTTCCTCGTCTTCCAGATCGCTGCCCTCGACTGGCCCTTTGCCGTCGCCCTCAGCATCGTCGCCCTCACCACCTGCGCCGTCCTCCGCAGCCCCACCGCTATCAGATCCTCCGGCGCGCCCTTCTCCTCCTCATCGCTCGGCCACCGTGGGAGCATCGCTCCTCCGCGAGTATGCCTTGCACATAGATCCTTCCCACACTACCAACGATATTCACGCGGGCGATTCTGCTCCCGGGACTGCCGACCTGGGTTTGGAGTCTGTTCAGAAATCGGACATTCCCCGGGAGGAGGCTGCTGTCGCACCGTCTCCGACACCCCCCTCTCTGCCACGCCGGCAGACGGCCACCCTGACTGGCCATCATCGAAACGCGTTATCCAGTGATTCAATCCCTCGTCAAACCCTCCTAAAAGCCCTCGCGTCACGACCATCGATGTGTAACCACCAAAGCTCAAACATGCCGCTGGCGGCCACTTTGGGGCTTCTCAATGCCAACCCTACATCCGACGAAACCGAGCGCCGGTCGAGCAATTCCTCATCACAAATGCTGTCAGCAGCTCTATCCAATATCCAGCTAGGAACATACCTGGACCGTGCTCCCGCCACGGCCCGGCTAGTCATGCAATCCCCGTGCTTCTTCCATCAACGGTTCGACGATGCGGTAAACATCCAGAAAGTATTGGAAGAGATTGCGGACGATGAGTGGCTATCGCACTCGCGTTTGGTACAAACAGCGACGGGCGTCCGAGAAGTATCCAAACAATTGCAGCGGAGACCCATCAAACGCGCCGTGAGGAATGTCATGATCGTCACCAAGGCGCGGGATAACAGTCTGGTACACCTGACACGGGAATTGGCGGAGTGGCTCCTCTCCACCCCCCGCTACGGAAACGACATCGGTGTGAATGTTTATATCGATGCCAAGCTTCGGAACTCGAAACGATTCGATGCGCCGGGGCTCTTGCAGAAAGAACCCCGATTTGAACATATGCTACGCTACTGGACTCCGGATCTCTGCTGGACGGCACCGGAGAAATTCGATCTGGTACTCACGTTAGGTGGAGATGGGACGGTGCTTTTCACATCGTGGCTCTTCCAACGTATTGTACCGCCCGTCCTCTGCTTTTCTCTCGGGAGCCTTGGGTTCTTAACAAACTTCGAGTTCGAGAACTACAAGTCTCACCTGAACGCAGTGATGGGGGATGTCGGTATGCGGGTGAACCTGCGGATGCGGTTTACCTGTACGGTCTTCCGCAAAGACCGGAGCAAAGGCGCTGAAGCTGGTGCCGTCGAGGAAGGGGAGCAGTTCGAGGTGCTGAACGAACTGGTGATTGATCGAGGGCCGTCGCCATATGTGTCCAACCTGGAACTGTATGCGGATAATGATCTGCTCACCGTGGTGCAAGCGGATGGGTGCATTTTCTCTACCCCCACAGGTATGTGTTACGCCAAGCCGACCGGTTCAACCAGCGACTGACATGTGTTTCAGGTTCCACGGCATACTCACTGTCCGCGGGCGGTTCTTTGATTCACCCCTCTATCCCTGGCATACTTCTGACCCCAATCTGTCCACATACTCTCTCTTTCCGTCCAATGGTTCTCTCAGATTCGCTTCTCCTTCGGATCGCTGTTCCCGCTGGGTCCCGGTCGACCGCGTACTGCTCGTTCGACGGAAAGGGCCGTGTGGAACTGCGCCAGGGCGACTACGTTACCGTCGAAGCCAGCCAATACCCCTTCCCGACCGTGGTGGCCGGCAGTGGGGAATGGTTTGAGAGCGTTCAGCGCGCGCTCCGATGGAACACCCGGGGTGCCGTGCAGAAGAGCTGGCATAGCGCATCCGACACGGGCCTGGACCCGGCCGAGGACGAGGAAGAGGAATGGGACATTGACACGGATGCCGGGTTAACCGGGACCGACAGTGGACTGGGAGTCAGCGAGGACGGCGACACGGGGTCGATCGGTCCTCTGAAGCGCCAAATGAGCATGTTCAGCATGTAGGCTGCCTTGCTCCGACCCCTCTTTCTGGGGTTCTTCTCTTTTCGGATTTACTTTTATCTTTTCGTCCCAGGTGCGACACTGGCTGGCGCACGGGCGTACCATTCTCGTTCCACGGAACAGCGCCACTTCTTCTTGGCTATAGCGACATTTGATAGACTGGGACATGGTCGGTTATCATGGGAACTCTAGAGACTATATACTACATTTCGGGAAGACTCGATGGCCGGGGCGTTAGACGGCTGGCAATTAGAGAATCGGAGACTGTCCAGACCAATGCAGTGAGCATTGCGGACCAGCAACCATAACATTCCAACATCATTACACCATAGACATCTTATCGTAGACTCAAACTCAAGATTATAATCTAATCTACCCACCCATACTACCAATCACAAGACTCAGCCAACAACGCCGCCAACTCCTCCAAATACTTCTTATCCTCGTCATCAAACCCATCCGGCTCCGCACAATCCACATCGATAATCGCAACCGTCTACCCAACACATTAGCCACCCAAAACAAAACTCCCCAAAAAGAAAAGAAGAGTACTCACCTCTCCCCGCACCAAAACCGGCACAACAATCTCACTCCGACTACTCGCATCACAGGCAATATGGCCCGGAAACTCCAACACATCCGGCACAACCACCGCCTCGCGTTTCTCGGCCGCCGTGCCGCACACGCCCCGCCCGAAGCGAATCTCCTGACATGCGGGACGACCTTGGAAGGGACCGAGGAGGAGGATGGGTTTGGAGGGGGTGGTGGTGGTGGTGGTGGAGGGTTTCAGGGAAGGGAATTTGTCCTGGCGGATGTAGAAGCCGGCCCAGTTGACGGAGGAGGAGGGGGCGGGGAGAGCGGCGTAGGCGTGCCAGAGGAGGGAGGCGACGTTGGAGAAGTTGCTGTATTGTTGTTGGTGGGTTGGTATGGGTTGGTTGGGGTTTGAACTTGGGGTGGGAGGAAGTGC